GAAGTTTGCGTATGCGGCGGTATGTCACCCGCAGTCAAACGGCCAGGCTGAGGCCGCTAACAAGCAGATACTAGGGGCAGTTAAGAAAAAAGTAGAAGACGTCAAAGGCTTGTGGGCGGATCTGATACCTGAGATTTTGTGGGCGAACCGTACGACAACAAGAGAAACTACGGGGGAATCTCCTTTCAACCTCGCTTTCGGCTCAGAGGCAGTGGTTCCGGCGGAAGTGGGACTACCTACTTTTCGGGTACAACACTTCTGCGAAAGTCAAAATGATTTGTTGCTTCGACAACAATTGGATTTTCTACCGGAAGTGAGGCTGACGGCTGCCATAAAATCTGCGGCATACAAAAACCGAATGAGCCACGCTTATAATCGGCGCGTCAATTATCGGCCCATGGAAGATGGTGATTTAGTTCTGCGTAAAACGGCCGCAACCGGCAAAGGGAACGCAGAGGGTAAATTTACTGCAACCTGGGAGGGGCCTTACCAAATATATGAAACACTTCGGCAAGGGTCTTATCGGCTAATGACCCTCGAAGGAGTACCCCTGAAGAATGTTTGGAACGCTAGTGTGTTAAAGAAGTATTTCATGTGAAGTTTAAATGTGTTCTATTTTATGTAGTATAAATTTTGATGACATGTTGTCATACGTATGTTTATGGCATTTACTAGCATTGTAACCTATTTCAATACTTATGAAATACAACCACTCTACCTACTTTCGATACGATCTAATCACAGCCTAGCTAGCTGACTCGGTCGTTCAAGTGAGGGAAAAATAATGAAATAAAATAATAATGGACCTCAAGGGGAGTTGAAAGTGCGGTCTGATCCACTGCCTTTGCTCAGGCTGACAAAGGTTGGATACCTTATCTCGGCATGTTTCACATCCGATATTCAATACAGGCATTACAGAGTTTTCCCAAAATTTGTTTACAAATAAATTTTGCCGAAAAACTCGGGGAGTATTATTGGTAAGGTGTAACTTGAAAATACCGATAACAAAGTATTGTTGGTAAGGTGTAACTTGAAAATACCGATAACAAAGTATTATTGGTAAGGTGTAACTTGAAAATACCGATAACAAAGTATTATTGGTAAGGTGTAACTTGAAAATACCGATAACAAAGTATTATTGGTACGGTGTAACTTGAAAATACCGATAACAAAGTATTATTGGTAAGGTGTAACTTGAAAATACCGATAACAAAGTTGAATGCAGGCATTATTTGGTTTTCTAAAATTTTATTTACAAATAAAATACCGAAAAGTGTAACTTTGAAATGCCGAAAAACGTAAATTCGGTTAAAAACCGAGAGAATAACTAAAAAACGATTCAAGGAATGCAATCATTAAGTGTTAGTTAAAAGGTAAGTAACGACCATAGCATAAACAAAATACGCACGACAGTAAGAATTATGGTAAAGAAGTAAATAAACTAATTACTCAAAAATAATTGTTTTAAATACAGACATACACAGATATAGACAAATATAATTGTTTGAGCACAGAAACAGATACAGACAAACATAAACATAAAAGCCCAACGATGACTGCCTTCCTTGTTAATTCTTGTCGGCCTCCTTTGTTGTTTCAGCCGCGTTAACGGGCTCTTTCACAGTGTCTTTGTTGGAGGGACCGGCAGACCCATCTTTACCAGCATGAGTGGTAACAGGGCTACTGATAAGGCCGTCATCGAACTCTACTTCTGGAAATTCTTGTGGGTCTAAGTTTGTTATCACAGCATGCGGTGGGAGCTCGTCAAAGTACTCACTCTCATAGCTGGTAGGAGAGTGGTTCATTTCTTCATTAAAAGCCTTCTCGACGGCCTGCCATTTCGTCGAATCCCACCCCTCAGCTTTGCACACACAGCGATGCGCAGAGACCCAACCGGCAGTGTACCGGTCAACCAGCAAGTTGGCATAAAGGTCGGTCTGCAGGAACTGATTAACGGCTCGGCGCCTGACTCCCGGCTTATCACGCTCCATTTCCTCAACTTTGCTGCCAGCTTCGCCTTAGCCTCCCTCTCGTCCTTCAGACTCTGCTCGAGGCTAGCAACCTTCTTTTTTAACTGCGCCTGGTCCGTTAACTTCTTGTTTAGCTCAGACACTTGCTTTTGCAAGGTCTTCATGTCAGATTAAACCTTATCGCGCTCCTCGATGACGAGCTTACAAGCGTCGTCAGCCTTCTTCAGCTTGGTCTCAGCTTTATCGGCGGCGCGCTGATAATGCTGGTACATGTGTACCACTTCAACAGCAGAATTGACGGTCTAGTTGACGATAAACAGAAATTGCCGTTAGTAAAAAAAATATATATATAAAAAATAAAAAAATAATAATAATATATATATATATATATGTCGATATATAAATAACACAGAGAATGTAAAATAGAAATAAATACGTATCTATAAAATTAATATTGCAGGTAAGAGCGCTGCCTTACCCAGAGAATATTGTTCATCAGTTGGCCGCAGGGAGCAGCAACGCGATTGGCAGGCCTGTCGGCTGGAGTTGCCAAGTCCTTGAGCATCCTCCACCCCATGCTCCCGCCAGTGCTAGGGTCGTCACTGAGAACGGACTCCCCATGATTAACGTTGATTCGGGGATGCCATGGGTCATCGGCAGCACCGAAAGGTACAACCAACTCCTCGACAACCTCTTCCGGGATCCTAACATGCGGAATCTCGATGAAGTCACCGACAAGAGCAGGGACGAAAGCGCTCTTGCTGGGACCGCTAGAGCGCGTCGAGAGGACCGCTGGAGTCTCCTTGTTTGGAGGCTTGTCGATGTTGGCCTGGTTGGTTCTGGCCCCGCTACTGCCGGCCCTAGGAATAGTCGGGTCCCTTAAGGTGACCGTCAACTTTTTCGGCGGATTAGGTTCGGTCTCGTCCTCCAAATTAACGACCCCTTCCGGCCAGGTCCCTTGTGCATCCTTTTCGAGGGGTGCCACCTCACTATCATGCTTTTTTTGCCTTTTCTGTTGCTCTCGGTCGGAGGACTCAGACGTCCTCTTAGACGCATTCCCTCCACCCCTTTTCACAACTAGGGTGCGGGGTTTGGTAGCACGTTCGGTAGGAGCCATATCTTGTCGTCTCGTTCTTTTTCTTTTCGAGGCTTGATAACTTGCTATTTGATACGATTTTAGGGTGTTTTGAACCTAGTTTACTTGATATAAATTGCGTTTTGGTTCATTTTTACTCTATTATTATGCAATTCTTGTGTATCCTATGCTTCACGGGTTGTTGGTGTTTTTGTTGAGATTCTAGGTTCAAAAGAACGACCAAATGAAGCCCATGGATACAAAGCCAAGGTTAGAAGCAAGAAGATGGATGAAAGAAGCCAAGGAAAGGAGCATTATAGAAGAAAAGATGAAAAAAAGGGGTTTAGAAGACCCTGCACGGCTGTGCCAGACCTTGCACGTCCGTGCAGGAGGTTCCAGAAAGCTTCAGCAAGCTGCCAAGGCCTGCACGGCCGTGCTTAATCTGGCACGTCCGTGCAGAAGAGGGTGCACGACTGTGCCAGACTTTGCACGTCCGTGCAGAAGTGCTCCAGAAACTCAGAACATTCTGCCAAGGCCTGCATGGACGTGCCAAATTAAGCACGTCCGTGCAGATGTAGCTGCACGTCCGTGCCAATATCTGCACGTCCGTGCGGAACTGCTCGATTCTTAGCAGTACGTTCTGCCTCAATTCTGCCCCCTCTGCACGTCCGTGCCAAACTTGGCACGGCCGTGCTAAGCCTTGCACGTCCGTGCCAAATCTGGCACGTCCGTGCAGACCTGCAGTCGAACTCCTTCCTTGTTTTCTCCGTCCTTTTTATTTGGGGGTCATATAAATACCCCTTTAGAGCTCATTTGTACGGGGGAGGCAGTTTTTCAGAGCTTTTCTCTTAGTTTGTAGTCTTAGAACATTAAATTCTCAAATCATTAGTTAGTTCTCAATTATTAGCTTGGAATTATTCAAATTCAATCATTGTAGAAGACAAAATCCACCATTGTTGCTCACCTTGAAGCTTCATAGTAACCATTTCTTACTCATCTTTTCTACTTCTCTTTACTTTGTTGTTAATTATTTGCTAGTTCTTGCATGTTTTGGATTGTTAATTAGCTTAATCCTTAGTTTTAATTTGTTCATGAATTGCTTGAAATCTTTAATTGCTTTAACCCCCATGGATTGTGAGTAGTCTAAATTCTAGGGTTTGGGCAAAACCCTCAATGTAGTCACTAATTACTTGTTGCATGTGCTAATTTGGTTGTTGTGGGATGTTAATTAGTTGAGCTTAAGTGGTTTAATTTCTTAGTTCTTGTATATGGCCATTGCTAGAACTATTTATCCAAGCTTTCTCAACGAAGGATCGAGAGATGAACTTGAGTTAGCTCCCTTATGCTTGATTGACCCGAAATGCCATGAGAATAGGGATTACCGGTCAAGGGAATGTTTATGTCATCGTGATTATGCTTTAACACTTGTTTTATGCTATGTAACCACGAGAGTAGGTCGTATTCATGATTCAAGTAATCCCTCTAGCTTGAGAGAGTAGTTGGGTGCTTTAGATGACTTCCCCTAATTTATCCCATTAATTTACCTTGATTGTTGCATGCTAATTGTGATTTGTGATGAAGTTGAGTGGTATAACCCAAGCCCTAGATTCCTCTTAATATTGTTAACCTCCTCTTAGCTTAGTTGAATTGTGTTAGAAGAAGTTACTAAAAACCAACCCAATTTAGAATTCGTTTAGCTTATTTAAACGGTAGTACTCGGTGGTTGATTCAACGCCTCTCTTGGGTTCGACCCTTTCTTACCCTTACTATTGTTAGTGAGACCAAGATAGGAATTATTATCTTTGGTAGGCTCGACGACGGCCTATCAAGTTTTGGCGCCGTTGCCGGGGAGGCAAAGTCACATTGAATGTATTATTGTTGAATGAGACTAGATGTGTGTATATGTATAGTAGTTTTCTTACCTTAATTTTTGTTTATGTGTGTTTAAATTGCGATAGTCATTGCTAACGTTTTTCTTAGCTTTGTTTGACTTTGCATGACACGAAAGAGTAAGCAATCACCGCTTATTCCCGTTGATCCAGAGCTAAATAGGACTTTGAGAAACGTGAGGAGACTCTTGCAAGGCACACCCGAGTTTTCCATTGTATATTCGGATTCCGATCCGGAAGAGGTTTTTGGAACTAACGAAGAAGATAACATGGGAGAGAATCCTCCTCAACCATTGTTAAGAGACTATGACCACCCCAACGCATTCCAACTTCGGAGTGGCATACGTCTTCCCACCACAAATGCAAACAACTTTGAACTTTCACCTCAACTCATCCGTATGATTCAAAGCGATCAATTCGGAGGTAGTCCTCATGAGTGTCCTTTTGCTCATTTGGACAACTTTCTTGAGTTGTGTACAACTATCAAGCAAAACAACATTTCGGAAGAGTTCATCCGTATGCACATGTTTCAATTCTCCCTCCGTGATAAAGCAAAACATTGGTTGAGAACGGTTGAAGAGGGATCATTGAGTACATGGGACGAAGTCACTAGAGCCTTTCTTGGAAAGTATTGTCCTCCGGAAAAGACCGCCGAACTAAGAAGAAAGATCACCAATTTCAATCAAGACATTGATGAAACATTGAGTGAAGCTTGGGAGCGTTTCAAAGATTACACAAGGAAATGCCCCCACCATGGTTTTACATCATGGATCATTGTACAAAGCTTCTATGACGGTCTTACTCCTATTTCAAGGGCCAACCTTGATTCCGGGGCCGGTGGTAGCCTCAAAAAGCTATCGGTGGACGATGCATACAAGATGATTGAAGAAGTGGCCAAGCATTATGCATATGGAGGTGATAGAAGGCAACCTCAAACAAAGAAGGGCGGAATTCATGATCTTAGTGCAATAGATCTTATTGCATCAAAGTTTGATATGCTAGCTCACAAGCTAGATCAAGCCACCCTCACACCCTCAAGCTCTTCCTCGCAAGTCATGTCTTGTGAGACTTGTGGAGGAAATGATCACTTGTCCTCTTATTGCAACTCAACGAATCAAGAGCAAGCGGCGGCAATTGGGCAAAGGAATGAACAATACTCCCAATCCCACAATCAAAGTTGGAAGCCCCAACATAACACGGGATGGAAGCAATACAACCAAGGCCCCCCACAAAATAACTACAACCAAAATCAAACCCAACCTCAAAACCACTACAACCAACCTCAATCACAAAACCAACAAGCTCCATACCGCCATCCCAACCAAAGGGATCAAAACCACCAAAGATCACAATATAACCAACCCGCTCCTCCTCCTCCACCTCCTCAAAAGACTAGCCTTGAGTCCGTTCTTGAAACTTTCATGACTCAACAAATAAGGAACAATGCGGAGATGAATGCAAACATCCAACAACTCCAAGCACATAATAAGATAATGGAGGGCCAATTGGCTCAAATTGCACAACAAGTTGGAAGTTCATCCTCCAATCCTAGTGGTCACTTTCCAAGCTCAACGGTAGTGAACCCAAAGGAGCAAGCTAAGGCTATCACTTTGAGATCGGGAAGGGGTTATGAGGGCCCGGTTATGAGTGAGGAGGAGACACAAAAGAGAGATGAGGGAGTTGTGGTGAGAAGTGAGGATGATTTTGAAAATGAAGTAGTTGAAGTTGAGAGAAAAGAGCAAAAGAGTGATGAGGGAGCCACAAAGAAAGACGAGGGAGATGAAGAAAGAATAGAAAAGCCCCCTATGAGAGTATATAAGCCCCCCATTCCGTTTCCTCATAGAATTGTAGAGAAGAAGTTGAATGAGAAGTTTTCAAAATTTCTTGAAGTCATGAGAGGACTTCAAGTGAACATCCCCTTTCTTCATGCTATGTCACAAATGCCTACCTATGCAAAATTTTTGAAGGATCTTCTATCCAACAAGAGTAGGCTTGAAGAGAGTGCAACCATCTCCCTTCCTAAGGAGGTGAGTGCAATCATCCAAAACAAGCTTCCCCAAAAGCTTGGTGACCCCGGTAGCTATGCAATACCGGTGAAGATTGGAGATTTGGAAGCTATGGATGCTTTATGTGATCTTGGGGCAAGTGTGAGCTTGATGCCCTATTCTATTGCAAAGACCTTGAAAGTTGGAGACTTGAAACCAACAAGAATGTCCTTACAACTAGCCGACCGCACGGTTAGGCTACCTTTGGGGATTCTTGAAGATGTGCCAGTTCAAGTTGGAAGAGTATTTGTGCCGTGTGATTTTGTAGTAATGGAGATGGAAGAAGATTCAAGAGTACCCCTCATTTTGGGGAGACCATTTTTGAACACCGCGGGAGTGGTGATTGATATGAAGGAAGGAAGATTGACTTTAAATGTGGGAGATGAGAAAATTTCATTTTCATTCTCACAACCTTTAAAAAAGCCATTGATTGATGAAGTTCATAGAATTGACACATTGGAGAGGGACTTAGAAGAGTTCCGAGAAAGATTGTATGAAAGAGATCCTTTACAAGCTACCCTAACGGGAAGCTTTGTTGAGGAGGGTGAAGAAGCAAAGGGGTATGATCTCTTGCTCAACCAACCTTTGGCCCACGAGATGATAAAATTTGAAGTGCTTAACGTGGAGGCAAAAGAGGAGTGGACTACGCCTCCTCCTAAGGTTGAACTTAAACCCCTTCCCCCTCTACTTAAATATGCTTTTCTTGATGATAGTGAGAATTATCCCGTTATTGTCAATGCTAAGCTCGATGACACCTCTCTTGAGAAACTCCTAGTTGTTTTAAGGAAGTATAGAGATGTCATTGGGTACAAAATTGATGACATTAAGGGGATAAGTCCCACCATATGCATGCATAAAATTCTACTTGATGATGATCATGCTTCCTCGATTGAGCACCAAAGAAGGCTCAATCCCAATATGAAGGAAGTGGTAAAAAAGGAAGTTTTAAAACTTCTTGAGGCGGGCATAATCTATCCTATCTCCGATAGTAAGTGGGTTAGCCCGGTTCAAGTTGTGCCTAAAAAGGGAGGCATGACCATCATCAAAAATGATAAGGGTGAGACCATTTCTACGAGGTCGATCACCGGGTGGAGGATGTGCATTGATTATCGAAAATTGAATAAATCCACCCGGAAAGACCACTTCCCACTCCCCTTCATTGATCAAATATTGGAAAGACTAGCATCACATAGTCATTATTGCTTCTTGGATGGATACTCGGGATTCTTTCAAATTCCAATCCACCCCGAGGACCAAGAAAAGACTACATTCACATGTCCTTTTGGCACCTTCGCATATCGAAGAATGCCATTTGGGCTTTGTAATGCACCTTCCACATTTCAAAGGTGTATGATGTCTATTTTTTCCGACATGCTTGAATCATCAATTGAGGTATTCATGGATGACTTTTCTGTTTTTGGTTCATCTTTTGACACTTGTCTTTCAAACTTGATTAAAGTGTTAAAAAGATGTCAAGAGGTGAACTTAGTTTTGAATTGGGAGAAATGTCATTTCATGGTAGAGGAGGGAATTGTTCTTGGTCATGTGATTTCTAGTAGGGCCATTGAGGTAGATCGTGCCAAGATTGAAGTAATTGAGCGCCTCCCACCCCCTAAAAATGTGAAGGGGATAAGGAGCTTTCTTGGACATGCGGGTTTTTACCGCCGGTTCATAAAGGATTTTTCAAAAATCGCAAAGCCGCTCACTCAATTGTTGGTAAAAGATGCCCCTTTTGTGTTTACTAATGATTGTCAGCTAGCATTTGATAGGTTGAAGGAAGCCTTGATTTCGGCTCCTATAATTCAACCCCCTAATTGGGAACTTCCTTTCGAGCTTATGTGTGATGCTTCGGATTTCGCCGTTGGGTCTGTTCTTGGACAAAGGAAGGACAAGAAGCTCCATGCTATCTATTATACTAGCAAAACATTGGATGAGGCACAAAGGAATTACACAACCACGGAAAAGGAGTTTCTAGCCATTGTTCATGCAATTGAGAAGTTTAGGTCCTACTTGTTGGGCTCTAAGGTCATAGTTTTCACCGACCATGCGGCCTTGAAGTACCTCTTGTCTAAGAAGGAACCTAAGCCAAGACTATGTACCGGCATTTCTACCCAGGGGGCTCAAGCTCCCAAGGGGGCCCGAACCAATGAGTTAGTTTCTTCCTCCCCTTCTCTTTGTGCTTGCATTGCTTTAACATTGGGGACAATGTTTATGATAGCTTGGGGGGGAGTGGAGTGTTCTCTCATGTGTCATTGGTTCGTGTTGTGTTTTCGTGTTTCCATGATTGAGTTTGCATGTTGGTTTTTCCCATTCTCTTCTTCCCTAACATCCAAATCCTTTAAATCCAAATTTGCTCCCTTTGAAATCCAATACCCTAAATCCAAATTTCTTATCTTGTGAATACCTCTCTTATCTTTTCATTTAGTTGTATAGTTTTTTTTATTATTATTTTTTTTTTTTATGCTTAGTTTAGCTAGCCCAATGCTGTAATTTTTCATTTCTTACTCAAAAAAAAAATTCGAAAAACGAAAAAATATTGAAAAATGAAAAGATTGCCCAAGGATGAAACTCAAATGACGACGCTAATATGTTTTGCTTGCTTGACTCTTGAGTGATGAGTAAAAGTTCTTTTAGAAGGGTGCATGCAAGAGTTGGGGTCATTTAGAGGTCTATTAATCCTGGTTGCATTAGTGTATATGAAATGAAAGTCGATGAATGCTCAATTGCACATCTAGCATAGGATATTGTTAAATTTGCCCAAAGTAGGATATGTTTGAGTCAAATTGCGGTCCCTTGTGCCCTTAATGTGCCTCACTTCCTCCCCGAAATGAAACTCTATTAGGGAATTGGTTATACTTGTATTATGTGTAATAAGTGGCATAATAAGCCACACGTTTCGAATAAAGAAAGAGCCGCTCACAGTTAAAAGAGGCGAGGGCAATAATGTAAAAAAAAATGAGAAAAAAAAAATAAAAAATAAATAGAAAAGAAGGGAGAACAAAAAAAAAAACTCCCCCAAAAATTCTCAAAATTTTGATTTTCTTTTCTTTAGAGGTCAACTTGTGGATGCCTCCCACACATTGTCGAATTTGTTGCTTATTGTTTCTTGTGAAATTCCCGAGTTAGAGTGTAATTAAGGGGCCTTGGGTGTGCATTTTGGGAGGTGGACTAGCATTTTGAGATTTTATAACCGAAAGAGGGCTCATTACAACTTTGGAATATCTAGGTGTGCTCTAATGAACTAGTAAAAGGCCAAAGGAAGTATCCTAGTGCAACCTTCTTTAGTTTTCCTCTCTACCCCCAACTCATGTGTACATTTGTATGATCGGTAATTCTTGAAAGTCGTTCACTTGTCTTGCTTGTGTCTCATATCCCGATGAGTTGACTTGGGCGAAAAATTGAACTTGTGCGATTTTTGGCGATGTGCTGTGGACTGCGTGAGTTGTGGGGCAAACTCATTGGAAACCCTCACGAGATAAAAACTCGTCCTCTAAGGCGACTTAGAGGTTTAAATTGCTTCTCACTTGTGCTAAAAGTGATGATGGTTGTCACCATGCGGATTTGTTTATGTATGCTTCCCCCTTGTTGCCTCTCCTTGGATTGATGATTAGCAATTTGTTTTCCTCCTTTGGTTTGACATTTTTGTTTTGCTCGAGGACGAACAAAAGCTTAGCTTGGGGGGATTTGATAACTTGCTATTTGATACGATTTTAGGGTGTTTTGAACCTAGTTTACTTGATATAAATTGCGTTTTGGTTCATTTTTACTCTATTATTATGCAATTCTTGTGTATCCTATGCTTCACGGGTTGTTGGTGTTTTTGTTGAGATTCTAGGTTCAAAAGAACGACCAAATGGAGCTCATGGATACAAAGCCGAGGTTAGAAGCAAGAAGATGGATGAAAGAAGCCAAGGAAAGGAGCATTATAGAAGAAAAGATGAAAAAAGGGGTTTAGAAGACCCTGCACGGCTGTGCCAGAACTTGCACGTCCGTGCAGGAGGTTCCAGAAAGCTTCAGCAAGCTGCCAAGGCCTGCACGGCCGTGCTTAATCTGGCACGTCCGTGCAGAAGAGGGTGCACGACCGTGCCAGACTTTGCACGTCCGTGCAGAAGTGCTCCAGAAACTCAGAACATTCTGCCAAGGCCTGCATGGACGTGCCAAATTAAGCACGTCCGTGCAGATGTAGCTGCACGTCCGTGCCAATATCTTCACGTCCGTGCGGAACTGCTCGATTCTTAGCAGTACGTTCTGCCTCAATTCTGCCCCCTCTGCACGTCCGTGCCAAACTTGGCACGGCCGTGCTTAGCCTTGCACGTCCGTGCCAAATCTGGCACGTCCGTGCAGACCTGCAGTCGAACTCCTTCCTTGTTTTCTCCGTCCTTTTTATTTGGGGGTCATATAAATACCCCTTTAGAGCTCATTTGTACGGGGGAGGCAGTTTTTCAGAGCTTTTCTCTTAGTTTGTAGTCTTAGAACATTAAATTCTCAAATCATTAGTTAGTTCTCAATTATTAGCTTGGAATTATTCAAATTCAATCATTGTAGAAGACAAAATCCACCATTGTTGCTCACCTTGAAGCTTCATAGTAACCATTTCTTACTCATCTTTTCTACTTCTCTTTACTTTGTTGTTAATTATTTGCTAGTTCTTGCATGTTTTGGATTGTTAATTAGCTTAATCCTTAGTTTTAATTTGTTCATGAATTGCTTGAAATCTTTAATTGCTTTAACCCCCATGGATTGTGAGTAGTCTAAATTCTAGGGTTTGGGCAAAACCCTCAATGTAGTCACTAATTACTTGTTGCATGTGCTAATTTGGTTGTTGTGGGATGTTAATTAGTTGAGCTTAAGTGGTTTAATTGCTTAGTTCTTGTATATGGCCATTGCTAGAACTATTTATCCAAGCTTTCTCAACGAAGGATCGAGAGATGAACTTGAGTTAGCTCCCTTATGCTTGATTGACCCGAAATGCCATGAGAATAGGGATTACCGGTCAAGGGAATGTTTATGTCATCGTGATTATGCTTTAACACTTGTTTTATGCTATGTAACCACGAGAGTAGGTCGTATTCATGATTCAAGTAATCCCTCTAGCTTGAGAGAGTAGTTGGGTGCTTTAGATGACTTCCCCTAATTTATCCCATTAATTTACCTTGATTGTTGCATGCTAATTGTGATTTGTGATGAAGTTGAGTGGTATAACCCAAGCCCTAGATTCCTCTTAATATTGTTAACCTCCTCTTAGCTTAGTTGATGTGTTAGAAGAAGTTACTAAAAACCAACCCAATTTAGAATTCGTTTAGCTTATTTAAACGGTAGTACTCGGTGGTTGATTCAACGCCTCTCTTGGGTTCGACCCTTTCTTACCCTTACTATTGTTAGTGAGACCAAGATAGGAATTATTATCTTTGGTAGGCTCGACGACGGCCTATCAAGGCTCTGGTGGCGAAGGTGGGAAGGGTGTCGTATGACTTCTTTGGCCGATCCGGGCACTGTTGCTTCACTCTCCCGTCAGGGTGCAACCCTAGTCGGCTAAAGTCAAGTTTGTCAATACCTGGCGGAGGAAAAATCGAAGAAAAACCGATAATAAACGTCAATAAACCGATATCGTAAAGGTAAACTTGGGCGTTAAAACAAGTGTAAGTAAAATACACGCAGGCAGGTAAGAGAATAAGCAGGCAAAACACTTATCAAAATTAATTCCTGCATTCAACTTACAGTAAAGATAAATATAAGCAAATGTATATAATTTATAAATGTTTCCATACCAAAAGCATCGGTATGGCAGAGACCGACATGAGAAAGAGGGGCGTTGCCCAGTATATAATTACAATGGGGCAACCACACCCCCGGAACAGCTTTATTCTTCTTACCAGCACTAACATATGTACAATTAAACCACTTAAAAGCTTTTTTCTCCATCGTTCCTAACGCTCTCGACCGTATGGTCTCGAACATGCTGTGTGGGTGATGAAATGTCCTACGGACGGTAAAATCGTCAGGAACACTCATAACATAAAATTCATTCTTCCAATTCTTGCAACTGGTCAATTTTGGCCACACTGTGCATTTACCGGGAGCGGTAAAAAGGGACCACCATCCGGGTGACTGGCTATCTCTCTTTATCCAGTGCAATCTCCGAAATAAGTTCAGGGTAAGGGGAAAGTCCATAAATATCATGACCCAGACAAGAGACACTATATTTCGGATGGTTGGAGGCGTTAACTGTGCAATTGAAACATTCCAAGCCCCGAATATTTTTTCGATATAATGATGGAGTGGAAACCGTAAACCAAATTCTAAATGTTTTGCATACACAACAATGTGGCCGGCAGGCAGTCCAAAGCCGTTTGACCTTCGATTGGTAGTCTCAGCTCGTAGCCGTCAGGAAGACGGTAGAAGCGTTTGCCATGTTGGCAATACTCTTTCTCGGTGGTTGTCTGCAACCATACCGGATCCACAACTGACTCAGTTATTTCATAGCTGTTGGGAATTTCTTGAGGTTCTAGATACTTTGGATCATCTCGATCTGAGTCGTATTCCTCGTCGAGACATTCTTCTTCTGCGATCTGAGCAGCAAGATAGAAGTCTGCAGCAATTTCCTCGTCAGTCTCGTCGTCTTCTTCCTCATCATTATCTCCCTCCCCAAGCTTTTCTGATCCCTCTGCATCGTCTTTAATTCTTCATTACCGACGCTTTCACCCCCACTTTCTTGCCGTTCTAGGCTATCTTGAACTGACCGGATATCTTCTTCTCGGATATCCGAAACTTCATGCCCAAGGTCAACAACTTCTTCATCAACAGAGGGTCTACTGCTCTCACCAACCTCACGCTGGTAACTGATATGTTTTGTTCTCGGCATCCTGTCAATATTAGTGTCGTATTGATTAAATAAATCCAAATTTGACCTCAAATGATAACGAACGCTAATAGGCTCAACATCGGCAATCTCTATGTCCTCTGGAATATCGGGGTTGGTAGGACGCAAAGCCTTCTCGGCGTCAGCCAGAAACTTATGACGGTAATAAGCTTCTCTTTCTTCTACAAAAGTTAAGGGTGTACAGAGTTCAGCCTCATTGGCTTTACCCGTATTTGCATGCATGCCAGAACCAGACATTCACAAATAATGAAATAAACGCAAAATCTACTTAACCACAAACCAGTGAGAAATCAAAAAGAAAGTTAGGGTTTTTTTACCTCTTTTGAACTCAACTCTTGAAAGCGTAACTCAGGAATTAAGTGTCCTCCGTTTACAAACACCGGTCACAATACAACTGAACAAACCTTTGACAAATCGACCCCTGAATCGCAGAAATATATGCGTACTACGAGCGAAATGAAGTAGAAATTTTTCGAAATTTTTTCGCAAGGGAAATGAAGGGTCAAAAGTACGAAATTCGCTATTTTACTGTCCAAATGAAGCGGTTGATGTGACATTTACCGCATGCAATCCAACGGCTGTAATAAAACGCCTTTTCAAAAACACCCTACTTCGATGACTGACACGTGCCCCATTACTTTATTACATTTTCCCGCCAAATCCTGGGGAAGAAATTTTCAAACAAGTGTGAAATCTTTTTAACTCCTATTTTCGGTTTTCGTATTTAATTGAGCCAAGTACTATCGGCATTTTGCTCAGTAATTGAGCAAAGTACTATCGTCAGTTTGCTCACTTGGGGGGCAAATCGTAGACTTTTTCGTATTTAATTGAGCCAAGTACTATCGGCATTTTGCTAAGTAATTGAGCAAAGTACTATCGTCACTTTGCTCACTTGAGGGGCAAATCGTAGATTTTTTCGTATTTAATCGAGCAAAGTACTATCGGCATTTTGCTCATTAATTGAGCAAAGTACTATCGTCAGTTTGCTCACTTGGGGGGCAAATCGTAGATTTTTTGGTATTTAATCGAGCAAAGTACTATCGGCATTTTGATCAGTAATTAAGCAAAGTACTATCGTCAGTTTGCTCACTTGGGGGGGCAATCGTAGATTTTTTTCGTAGTTAATTGAGCTGAGCCCTATCGGCATTTTGCTCAGTAAGTGAGCAAAGTACTATCGTCAATTTGCTCACTTGGGGGGCAAATCGTAGATTTATTGGTTTTCTCATCATTCTTGTATGGCATATTGTGCATTCCAGCACCGTGTTCCATCGCAAGTGAGCACGTCAGTTTTACTAACGTCCTCACTTGGGGGGCTAGTTGTACGGGATATACCGGTAGCATCTATAATATGCCGGTAAAAGAGTGTCGTGCAGTTTAAAGCCCTCGTTAATCATTGAATAATTCAAGTCCTTACCGGCATCAGTCTCTCCCACGTGGAGAGCTGTTTCTCGGAACACGGCATGTCCCTCTGATACGTGGAGAGTTGCTTGGTGCCGCGTAGGCACCTGCTATTTACAAGGTCGGTGTGCCACCTATCTGTATAGGTGGCACCTGCTTGGTTGTGTTTCTATAAATACCCAAGCAAATCCTCATTTCAAAGGTAGAATCTCTCTCTCTCTCTAAAACACTTTCTCTCTCTTCTTTCACTTTCTTCTCACAAAGGTACTAACTTTAGCATCGGAGTGGTTATTCCCGGATAACCCCCGGGCTAGCTAATCTGTATTGGCTATGTAGGTGAGCAATTGGACGGAACATTACCAGCCCTCGGACATTAACGGAAGCAGAATTCAGCAGGAACAGTACAACCAAAAACAAAATTAGAAGAGGCTTACAAACACACCATCATATATGTTGACGCCATACAAAGCCTTCCTGTTGATGTAGAAATTAGTACCAGATATCACTCACTGGCCCCTGAAGTCCATCAGCCCCTGGCCAACAAACCTGGAATACAGTGAACAAAACTAAAACTTCTTCCATGAAATGTAACTGATATACGGATAACATAACCACATATAGATTGACTTACTGTCCATACGAATCTCATCTGACAGTCATAGATGTAATTCTCATTAACATTATGGTATACTTGGGGGTATTGAATCCAGCCTAAAGTAGGTGATATCTTAGGATCAAGAAAAAAAACACATCGCTTGTCGAGCTGAAAATGAGTCGTTGCAGTACATATCGCAGTCTAAAACTAGAATGCAAGGAGAATTGCTCAATGTGGCAGAAACTCTGAGCTGCAATTCCAATAATTACATTAAACGGATACGTACAAGGAAATTCAGGCTAAATTTCTTACTACATCCTTAAAGAGCAATGGTTGCATCAAAGACAGATTTTATGTAAGTGCTAGAGTCATACTAGAACATTAAGAGCTCCGGCCTTAAAGTGATGAGGATGAGAACGTCTTTTTTCACGGGCAACATATACAAGGGAAGGCATCACTACATGTTCTGGATTAGTTGCAGTATCTTCTTCTATACTCTTTTCATCTATCACCTGCAACAACATAGACATAGTGTTGGAACAACAAGTGTGTAGTGTGTGAATTTTGTGAAAAACTCAAAGTCCCACATTGGTGGGAAATGAGAGTTTTACTCTCTTTATAATATAGAGAGTGGGCTAAAGGGGTGTGGCCCTTGGGCTACCCACATTTTGTGGAGAGGGAGGACCTACATGGTAAACCATCTATCACACACGCGCGCCGGACCGAGCCGGGTCGGGTCGGGTTTATTAAATAAACTTATTTTTTGGACAAGGCTAATTGCGTGATTAGTTCCTTGATTTTTGCTAAACGTTTTTGACTGATTACATTTGACCGTTTTTTCAAAACTGATTAATGGAGCGTTAATCATGCAAACGTTTTCACTTATTTTTATATTATAAAGAGAGTAAAACAAATGAGAGTTTTACTCTCTTTATAATATGACCGTTTTAATTGCGTGATTAGTGCCTAATTAAACAGCAGCAGTTACGTTGCAATTTTTCCTATAAAAGGCGTGTTGATTTCCTGTTTTGTTGCCCGGTGGTTTTGTGCAGTTCCACCGGTATAATTTCAATACAGAAAGGCTGTTTTATCCTGGGGAACATCCGGTTTAGTACGAACTGCTTGCACCTTTTCAGGGCAGTGCCGTGAATGTTCTAAAGAAAGCGACATAGTCCGCGACTCAGTCTATTTTTCGGTAACTTTGTTCTTACTGTTTTTGTTCCCGCAGTTCCGTTTATAACACATAGAGACTTTAACATAATCAAATTTAAAAATTCTAATTAGTTAATAAAACATAAAACTAATTGACAAATACTACTTGTCTTTATGTCCATAATTACCAATTGTTTAGTCAAAGTGAACCTACATCACAAATTATTCAATCTACTACTTTAGTATGGTGCTGAATAAAATAGTTTAACAAAGTGTACCGAATATTATAATTAATAAGAAAGGAAAATGTCTCTATAAGTGCCAACCTTGAAATTGTTTAAACAAGCTTAGCTCAATTAAGCTAATATAACCCCTTAATCATTGCAAGGTTTTAATAAGCTTCTATGGAAATACTTGCTCTTTTACAATGCATAAAATCATACGAATAGTAACAATAATTGAAGCAATCAACTATTAAAACAGACAAGGTAAGTGTACAACATCTAAAAACAAGATCAACCATTCAACCTGAACATTTGCTGGATGATCTTGAGCACTTCTCTTAGAATCACCATCGATCTCATCACAAACTGACTTCCTTTGAATTCGCAACTTGAAAGCCTTGTATTTTTCCTACACAAATTGTTTACTCCTATGGTGACTATTGAGCATTACAAGTGTTTTAACTTGTTTCAATAATTAAGAAATAGCAGCATTTCAATTAGAAGCAGTAGAAAAGTAAAGTACTAAACAATATAAATAAATATACAAAGCATCATATTAGCTTGAGAGTTGAGATGTACTATTAAAGAAACAGAGAGGATGGGGTATTTGTAAATTGTCAGGAGAGAAGTGTATATTTATAAGCCAAACCTGAAGTGTGTTTCTATCTTCAACGAACTCCCAGCTCTGACTTGCCTCCTCCGGCTTCTCAAAATAAGCCCGAGGACATATTGTTTTAACATTATACCTCCTACAGAAAGGCAACCACCATATTGCAAATACCCAAGCCTCTTTTATACCATTCAATGTCACAGAGTCACCCCCATCATCAGACAAATAAACACTTAATTTCTCAGCAGGATAATCCAAAGACATGGCAGAAATAACAGTATTCATGACCTCAAAGGTCGGCTCCTTCTTAGGATCAGTTGTACATATAAAAACATCGATTCCAGGTAACTTTTCATCCTTAGGCAGCCTCTCTGTGAAGATGGTCCGAGTAACGGGCCACCAGTAGAATGGCTGCTTGAGGAACCAAATAAATGAAAAGAGAAGCTCGGCAGCAAATAGTACAAGCCACAGTAAGAAAGGAATCAATTTAAAACCAGCTTTGTCAAGGAAAAAGATTGCTCTGTAGTAGAAAATGGTAACTAAGGCCAGGAAATGTGAAAGGGAATGTGATAGATAGAGAACTGCCTTTAGTTTATGAACATGACAGTGATGAAGAGATGTAGTTTGAGTGTGAGAGTTCTCCATTGCTGTTCTGGATTTTTAGTTGTCTTGGCACACATTATGGACATTAAATAGCATGATCAACCAGAATGAATTGACATAGATATAATGTTTTCAATTCTCAAAGGGGGGCAAAAAAAAACAAATTAAATTAAGTAGGACTTGTGGAAAGAGATGTAAACCCAAAAGTGGTGAGGGCCCTAAAAATAAATATAAAATGCATGGGAAAACAAAAGTATAATTAGGAGGATGAATTTTCAAAGAAACAAGTTAACATCAACTTATATTGAATTAAAATATACTTACCTCCGTTTTATTTAGTTGACACATATTCCTTTTTAGGAAGTTTTTTTAGTTGACACGTTTCCTTTTTGGGTAAGTTGTGGGAAAATACAAGTTAATCTGCCACATAAACGAATTTTTGTTAATCTGATGGCATTTTTGTTAATCCGATGGCATTTTTGTAAATATATTGAAAAAATAGGGTCATTTATTCAGTACTTTTCGTGAACTGTCCAATTACTATTTGTTTTTTGCTTTTACTATTTGGTAAGAAAATTACACACGTACCCCTCAACTATTACATGAAAAGATGCATATACCCCTCCACTGCCACTTGAAAAGACAATTATACCCCAGATAGTTTATCTGGGGTATTGACTGGGTATCCCTCGTAAGTTTTTTTATACCTTATATGTCCTAGACACCTCACTTGCTTTATCATTCTCTCTCACTCTCTCTCATTTCCTTAATATATGTGCCTAAATTGAACGTGTAAATAGAAACGGGGGAAGTATAATCCCAGTAATTAAGGCAAGGAAAGAAACCAAGGTGATTGGAATGTAAACAAAGAATATGGAATTTCTTTATTAAAATAGACAAATACAGGTTTAAAAGTAGTGCATAACTTGATAACTATCAGGCTATCAGCAGTTTGCAATTCTGCATAGAAAATGATTGGAGTTAATTTATTTGTAGAGAACAGATAACATATCAATTTGAGGGACCAAAATCTGAAAGAATGTAAGCACCAAATGACAATAAGAAAAAGAAGAAGAAAAAAAGAAAAGGAATTTTGTTTAGTATAAACATGTAAGCTACTGCTGATAATAAGGGGAGAAAAAATAATGAAACTAACATGTAAGCTCTGTAGCATTAGATAATTTAAAATGATTTCTAACAACTTAACAACAAACTGAATGTACATCAATATCTAAGAACTAACCTTAAAGTTTACCATATTTAATTTAAGGTTATCGATTTCATTGCCAAATTCCAAATTGGAACCCTTAATTCCCAAATCAATATTCCTACGATTGTTAGTTTCCTCCTGAAATAGAGGTAAGCTCACCAATTTGAAGAATCTGTTTCCCTTCCTCCGCCGGCGTCGCCGTTTTCCGGCGGCCGTCGTGCTAGCTGTTGAGGTTTGTACTCTTAGTGATTGAATTATTTTGAGTAAGTAATTGATTAATTGATGAATGTTTTTGGGAAGCATGATGTTGAGTTTGTGGAGAAGCTGGGATTTGAGAATTATTCATGACTTTAAATCTAATAAGCATAAGGAAACTGGTGCTCAGGTTATGTAGGTTTCGAATGATAATAACAGCCAAAATTATAAATAAAGAAATATCATATGATTAGTACTCACTACTTTGTATGTATGTCAGTATGTGTTTCTTGAATGACCTACATACATTTTAATGCATTAAAATTCTCACAAGAGACTTGTTTGAATCTTGATTCATATCATACGAGTGCATTGTAGTGCAATTAGAGATTTAGAGGGTCTTATCTCACAAATCAATGTACCAAGTATATGATATGAGAAGAGGCATCTCATATATCGAATTCTCGCTTATTATCATTCATGACATTTTGATGAATACAAATCAATACACTTTTTTTTTAGAGCCACAAGGACGAGGTAAGAATCGATCTTAGGATTCCCTGAACCAGAAGGAAGCTCTAACTACTTGACCTATTCCTCACTCTCATTGCACTTCCAATATAACACTACAGATATAACACTATTACTTACATTAATAACTTCATAAGTGGACAATCTTTACAAATGCAACTCAATTGTACCAGTTGTTATACGTCCTTTTCTGTTTGTAAGTGTATTTATGAATTTTTAATATTCATCTAACTAAATTTTTATTAATTTTGCAGACTTTTATTAATATAATTGTGGCCTTTATTTAATCTTATTAATTAATTTATTCTACTTCAGCAGCCAAACCATGTACTAATGTCCTTAAATCTTTTTTTTTTATTTTTTTTATCATAAATTGACCTTTAATTATACCAAACAGAAAACATGACTACATAAAATAGCCGACAATTTTATTAATATAATTTTATAAAAAAAAAAAAAAAAAAAAAAAAAAAAAAAAAAAAAAAAAAAATCCTTTTAGGATTAAAAGATAAAACGTCCAAAGATGAATAACAGCACAACAAAGACAGAAGATGTTAAAGTAGCAGACAATGGAATGCAGCCCTTATCCTGCCTAACAAACATGGCTTCCAACACTGGATAACTGATTATCAACCCATATAATGAGAGAATTCCCTGACTAAACATTTCTTCCCAATTTCCCACACCAATCACTCTTGCAACTCCTCCCACAAAGCAACACAGGTTTAAGGAGACGGCGCTCACTAACGGAACAAGAAACATGTTTGATGTGCTAAAGTCATACTTCCCCATTGCATATAAATTAGCTTTATTACTGTCCTCAGCTTTATTAGTAGGTATGAAACTTGCCTCTCGAAGCCCGAGTTTCGCCATAACACAATCAGCAACTCCGTAACCAAAGCATGTAAGCGACTTTATTTTCCAAATCCTTTGTTCGTTTAGCCATGTTCTTACTGACCCTCCTGTGTCAACAACTTCACATAGATGCTTCACCAAGGATGATATAAACACAAATCCAAATGCTATGAAAAATGGGTCTGACACCTGCATACAAATTTAAATTTCTTTAGTTAAGTGTTTAAACATGCAATACTCCTACTTCAGAGCACATATAATTAATCTTACTATTACAGAGTTGACTTATTAATCAAAAACTTTAATATATCTTCTTCAAAAAAAAAAAAAAAAAAAAAAAAAAAACTTAAATATATCAAATACACAAGTAACACAACCTACATAAGTAGTATTTACCTTAGGGTATAATGAAACACCATAGAGGAAGCTAATCAGAGGAATGGTAACAAAACACCAAACTGCTATAAAATCAAAACTGTATAAGACGACCCAGGATGAAGATATCCGATGAAAAAGTTGCATTCTTGACGGACTGTAGACAAGGGGGCAATATTTTGAAAGCCCAATTTCAGCAAGTCCTGAGATCCATCTGGTAAATTGAATTAAATATTCATCGAGGTTAGTCGTAGCAGAACCTAGAAATTGTGGCCTAGGTGGATTCAAATAAACTGATCTCCACCCTTTGCTCTGCAACATATAACCTGTCATTGCATCTTCCACCACACTTTTATACCAAAAACCAGCCTGCACATGAATAAATAACTTATGATGATCTTTTTCTCAGTTTTCTTACTCATTAAAACTGGGTTCTACGCTTCTACATACTTACCCCTTCACCCCATTTAGTATTTTCTTCATAAGTACATGAGGCTAAATACTGGACTTCTTGTACTGGAGCAGTGCAAAGCTCACTGTGCTTGATTTCACTAGGCATGTCATTTTGTCGTAGTGATTTGATGAACTCAGTGGAAGGACCAAGTATATTTTTTGCTTCCTTTATTATTTCATTACCTACAATACAATTTGATACTATCAGTGAGAAGTAGATACAATATAAGGAGGCTTAGAGGTAAGGCAATTTAAGGGGATTCTAAAATCAAGTCCCAAACACATAACTTCTCAAAATCTGAACCATCAATTAGTATTCATGGAATCTTGCTTTAACTGATACAATAGTTAAAACACAAAAACAAAAGTAGAAGAGGCTTACAAACAGACCATCATATATATTGATGCCATACAAAGCCTTCCTGCTGACGTAGAAATTAGTACCAGATATCACTGGCCCCTGAAGTCCATCTGCCCCTGGCCAAAAAGCCTGAAATACAGTGAGCAAAACCAAAAACTTCTTCCCTGAAGATTAACTGAAATACAGATAACATAACCATAGATTGATCGGCTTACTTTCCATAGGAATCTCATCTGAGTGTCATAGATGTCATTTTTATTAACATTATGGTATACTTGGGGGTATTGAACCCAGCCTAAAGTAGGTGATATCTTGGGATCAAGATAGAAACACATCGCTTGTCGAGCTGAAATCGAGTCGTTGCAGTACATATCGCAGTCTAGAACTAGAATGCAAGGAGAATTGCTCAATGTGGCAGAAATCCTGAGCTGCAATTCCAATAACTACATTAAATGGATACGTATAAGGAAATTCAGGCTAAATTTCTCACTACATCCTTAAGAACAATGGTTGCATCAAAGACAGGTTTTATGAAAGTGCTAGAGTCATACTAGAACATTAAGAGCTCCGGCCTTAAAGTGATGAGGATGAGAACGTCTTTTTTTCACGGGCAACATATACAAGGGAAGGCATCACTACATGTTCTGGATTAGTTGCAGTATCTTCTTCCATAACCTTCCCATCTATCACCTGCAACAACATAGACATAGAGACTTTAACATCATCAATTCAAAAATTGAAGTTGTAAATAAAATATAAAACTAATTGACATATATTACTAGTCTTTATGTCCATATACCAACTGTTTAGTCAAAGTGCGCCTACATCACAAATTATTCAACCTACTCCTTTAGTATAGTGCTGAATAAAATAAGTTTTAACAGAGTGTACCTAATACTGTAATTAATAAGACTGGAAAACGCCTCTTATCATTGCCAACCTTGAAATTGTTTAAACAAGCTTAGCTCAACTAAGCTAATATTACCCCTTAATCTTTGCAAGGTTTTAACAAGTTTCTATGGTAATACTTGCTATTTTAAAATGCATAAAATTATACGAATATAAACAATAATTGAAGAAACCAAATATTAAAAAAACAGACAAGGTAAGTGTACAACATTTAAAAACAAGAAATCAACCTGAACATTCGACGGATGATCCTGAGCACTTCTCTTAGAATCATCATTGATCTCATCGGCGACTGACTTCCTTTGAACTCGCAACTTGAAAGCCTTGTATTTTTCCTACACAATTTGTTTACAAGTATGGTGACTATTGAGCATTACATGTGTTTTAACTAATTTCAACAATTAAGTAGCAGCGGTTCAATTAGAAGCAGTATAAAGGTAAAGTATTGAACAATATAAATAAATTTACAAAGCATCATACTTGTATTAGTTTGACTGTTTGAAAGTTGAGATGTACTATTGAAGAAACAGAGAGCATGGAGTATTTGTAAATTGTCAGGAGAGAAGTGTTTATTTATAAGCCATACCAGAAGTGTGTTTCTATCTTTCTTCAACGAATTCCCTGCTCTGACTTGCCTCCTCTGGCTTCTCAAAATAAGCCCGAGGACAAATTGTTTTAACATTATACCTCCTACAGAAAGGCAACCACCATATTGCAAATACCCAAGCCTCTTTTATACCATTCAATGTCACAGAGGCACCCCCATCATCAGACAAATAAACACTTAATTTCTCAGCAGGATAATCCAAAGACATGGCAGAAATAACAGTATTCATGACCTCAAAGGTCGGCTCCTTCTTAGGATCAGTTGTGCATATAAAAATATCGATTCCAGGTAATTTTTCATCCTTAGGCAGGCTCTCCGTGAAGACGGTCCGAGTCACGGGCCACCAGTAGAATGGCTGCTTGAGGAACCAAATAAATGACAAGAGAAGCTCAGCAGCAAATAGTACAAACCAAAGTAAGAAAGGAATCAATTTAAAACCAGCTTTGTCAAGGAAAAAGATTGCTCTGTAATAGAAAATGGCAACTATGGCCAGGAAATGTGAAAGGGAATGTAATATATAGAGAACTGCCTTTAGTTTATGAACATGGCAGTGGTGAAGAGAAGTAGCATGAGTGTGAGAGTTCTCCATTGCTCTTCTGGACTCCTGGTTGTTTTGGCACACATTAAGGTCATTAAATAGCATGATCAACCAGAATGAATCAACTTAGATATAATGCTTCCAATTCTAGGAAGGGGACAAAGATATAAACCAACTTTGGATCCCAAATTAGAATAAGACTTGTTGAAAGAGATGTAAACCCAAAAGTGGTGAGGGCCCCTAAAAATATAATATAAAATGCATGGGAAGATAAAAGTATAATTAGGAGGTTGAATTTTCAAAGGAACAAGTTAACATCAACTTTATATTGAATTAAAATATATAATTCCAATAATTAAGACAAAGAAAGAAACCAAATTGATTGGAAGGATTTGGAATGTATACAAAGAATATGGAAAGTAGAGCATAACTTGATAACTATCAGCAGTCTGCAATTCTGCATAGAAAAGAATTGGAGCTAATTTATTTGCAGAGAACGGATAAATATCAATTTTTGAGGGACAAAAATCTGAAAGAATGTAAGCACCAAATGACATTAAGAAAAAGGGAAGGAAAAAAAAAAAAAAAAAAAAAAGAGGCCTTCTTGCACATACCCTGGGACTAGTCTACTACTCGCTTACCAGGAGTTTAAAAATGAATTAAAGATTATCTAAAAAAAAAAGAATTAGTAAAAGAAATTGTTTTGCAGAATTGCAGCTCTACAGAAGATCTGCAAAACAATTTGATGAGCTGTATGCCTGTATGTATAAACATGTAAAAGTGTAAACTACTCCTGATAATAAGGAGAAAATAAATGACTATAGAAAAGATTTCTCCAAGTAAATATCCAATAATAATTCAAAACTTGGCTTGCTTTTTATACTTCACATATTTGCATCAAACCCACTTATGGGATTAAGGCTTTGATTGATTAATTTGCATCAAACTTTGTATAACATCATATTCAATTACTCATCTGATCTCTAGTGCCTCTGCAAGGTAATTAAGCAGTTACCAATCTGTCTAGGGGAAGGAAAAAGAGGGAAGGGAAAGGGAGGTGAGGTGAGATGAAGGGAGGGAGAAGGAGACCTTCCATTCTCCTTCCAAATATCTCCAACAATGGAGAGATTTGATTTATTAAAAGTGGAAGAAAAATAGATCACTCCAATTCCCTCCCCTTCCCTCCTTACATTAGATATCCAAACAAGGGAGAATGCATCCCTCCATTTCTCCTCTCTTCCTTTCCCTCCATTTCTCTCTATCCAAACATAGCGTAAGTTTCATGGAATTCAAGTAATTCATTCATATGCTCCTTTATCGATCAGTCAAAATATAGTCATCTGCAAAATTAATCAATCGGTCTACTGTAATTTGAAGTAAAACTGACACTACTCAATCATTGTTACAAGATATAAACCTTTGTTGCATTTATAAAACATTATGTGTAATCAACTTTATTCAAACCATATATGACTTTTATCTAACACACACACACCTAGCTATGTCTCTTTAAGACGTTTACGTAGATGCCCAATTTACAGAGCGCATAAGATCTAATCTAGTCATCAACATAAACAAAGTTGGCATGTCAAAAAAAAGCATACCATTTGCCAAAATACAAAACATCTAAAGGGAGAAACAAAATCAAAAGAAAGCTCTGTAGCATTAGATAATTTGTAATGATTTCTAAAAATTTAACAAGAAACTGAATGTACATCAATACTTAAGAACCTTAAATTTTACCATATTTAATCTAAGTCGTCATCTTTTCCAAAGCCAAAGGCAGTCTTTTTCTCTTTCTGTTGCTGCAACATGAATTCATCAAACTGCTTTGCTCTCTTTTGCATGACCTCAATGATCTCATCTGTGGCAGCATAAATCTGCTTAGGCAAATATACTTCTAAATAATCAAACCATTCCCCTAGAGTCATCTTTTCCAGGTCGGGCACAATAGTGGCCTCTTTACTTCTATCATAACACTTAACCTCTGACTCTTTAACAATCTCTTCAATATCTGACTCTTCCACTCTCCCATCATTCAGCACTTCATCATTCAGCACTTCATCATTCAGCACTACATCAATCTCTACTCCATTACAAACCCTTTCCTCAACATGAGAAACGCCAACCGGACTGCCATCCTGTTGGGCACCTTCCTCCGCACAATGTTGCTCTCTCACACATTGAGCACCTCCATCCTGATCAAGAACCACCCCCTCCAAAAACTGTGCATTTGTCTTATCATCTAGTACATTTTGCTCAGTACTAGCATCCATCCCTTCTATGCAAGGTTGCTGCCTTAAATTCACCACCTTTTCTGGCAATTCCTTCCCCAACACCTCAGAATTCACTTCTTCTTCCAAAACATCTTCAACAGCTTCAGTGTCTTCCATTCTCCGATCATCCAACATTGCATCACCCTCTATACCACATAGACCTTTTTCCTGCTGAGTAGTCTCATCCATCGTTTCTGCAAAATCCTGCTCTTTCAAAGACAGAGCACCTCCCTCTTGTTCAGAAAGCTCCGCCTTTAAAACTTGCTCATTCATTTTATCACCCTCCAAATCTTCACACGACTGCTGCTGAGGAACTTCCTTTTCTAATACCTCATGATTATCCATCTTCTCCTCCGGTAAAACATCTAGGACATTGTCTAAACTCCTAACAATAGGCTTCTTTTTCCTCCCACGACCTCCTCGTGTCTTGTTATTTTCGACTACTTCCTTACAATCATCCACATCCACATCCAACCCCTTGCTTTCCTCCATCACAGAGATGGGCATTTCTTCAACCTCAGCATTCTTTCCACGCCGAGTCCTCCTCGGCTGCATTACCTGTTCTAAACCCAGAAATTCAACTTCTCCTCTCCTAGTGTTCCTCTTTCTCATAACACCTTCCAAATTCTCAACATGTTCATCCTCTTTCTTCTGCCGCCCTCTTCCGCGCCGTTTTGGAATTTGTTCAACCATACTACTATCTACATTCAAATCCCCAACCCTAGAATTTGAAGCAGGTCGCCTACTAGGGTTATCAATTTCATCCCCAATTTCCAAATTGGAACCCTCAATAACCTTAGTTCCCAAATCAATAGCAGCTTTTCTATTCCTAGTAATTCTACGATTGTTAGTTTCCTCCTGAATTACAGCAATTTCAACCCTAATAGAGGTAAGCTCACCAATTTTAATCTCATCCCCATTTTGAATTACAGAAGGGAAAAGGGGTTTAAGCTGAGAGGAGTTCAAGATAGTACCATTTGAAGAATCGAGGTCTTTGATTTCCCAGTTTCCAGAATCTGGGTTGAATTGAATGATGAGATGTTTGGAGGAAATCCCAGAATCTTTGATGGTAAGATTGTTGCCTTTGACGACTCGACCGATTCGAACAGTGGATCTGGAGGTGAATTCTAGGGTTTCGCCTTGACGAGGACCTTGTTGCATTACCAGCTTCAGAGTTGATGATTTGGAGGACGCCATTGTTGGGAAATTTGGAGGTTGAATTGAAACCAGAAGAATTGAAAAGAGCGTTCGTAGTTCACAATTGGAGTTGTTGGCGCTCTCTGGAATTTCAAATTTCTTTCACTGTTGAGGAGTTTAAAGGAACAATAGAGTATTTCATTTTCATTTTTAAATTGGGGAGTAATTTTGAATATTTGCAATGTTGAATAGAGAATTGTGGATAATTCATGTAATGGGCCTACTTTTACATGATTTGCTACTAAGACCATCTTTATTGGTGAACCCAAATAAATGGTTCATGAGTCACTATCACCATTTTTCTCTCATCCACATCAACTCAACAAACCATTTACAATATTCACTCTTAACAATGAACACTAAACAATGGTTCATCATCAATACTCCCTACCCCACCTTATTTTATTTTTGTAAATATAATCTTTTTTGTTTCATAATTATAATTTATTAACCCGATGTCAATGTAATTAATTGACGTATTTAATATTTTAATCGTGATTACTAATTAAGAAATTATCGCATTTTTTTATCAGCTTTTTAAAAAACTAATTCTTGTGATTAATATTTTTTAAACAACAACGCAGCTAATTTTAATTAACAAAAAAAAAAGAGGTACAAATCGTGATTACAGTTCTACAACTATAATCTAGTACATTTTATTTAAAAACAAAAAAAAAACAACTACACATCGTTTTGTAAGATGTCCTTAGGGATAACCATTTGTTGTAAACCTAGTTGCCTAAGTTTTCGTTGTTACCAAATTTATTCCATATATGTTCGACCAAGTCGTTTTTTTAGCTGCAAATGAGTCTGTTGATCCTCAATCTCTGTTCTACGAGACAAGTATAAGCCGATATCCACAATACGATCAGTACGGTACTCGGTAGTGTCCTCATTAGCGTTGCCTCCAGCATTCATAAACTCATTGGTATTAACGTTATTTTGATACGTCTCTCGTTCATCTTCAACGATCATATTATGTATTATGATGCAGGCGAGCATGATATTGTGGAGTATGTCGGTATCCCACGCCAAAGACGGCTTTTTAATAATGGCAAAACGAGCTTGAAGGATCATATTTTGACCCAAATTTTTTTTCTTCTTTCTATTTGTTTTGGGGTTGGTATTAGCATCCATAATTATAATTTATATTTGGAAAAAATAAAAAATTAATAATAATAATAATAACGACAATAATAATAAAAATAATAATAATAACGATAATAATAATAAAGGAAATAATAATAATAACGATAATAATAATAAAAATGATAATAATAACGATGATAATAATAATAATAATAATAATAATAATAATAATAATAATAATAATATTAATAATAATAATATTGGTAATTATAGAGGGGATTTTTGAAGAGAAAAATATAGTAGAAAGAAATGGATTTTCAAAGTTGAAGAAAGTATAGCAATATGGGTGTCTATTTATAGAGGGGAAAAAAATAGAGCCGTTGGTAATTTTTTTTTTTTTATTTGTGTTTTGTAAAATATATCCGTTGCAAAATTACAACGGATTTATTTAAAACAGTGACACGTGTCAAGTAGCGGCTGGGCCAAGTGGTGCGCTCCCAGCCGCTGCTTTCTATTTTTTTTCCTGAAAAAAAAATAAAAATGGGTGGGGCCCACAACCCTTAAATTCGTCCAAATGCTTGCAGCAGCAATCGATCCCACAACCATCACTATGAACAATTATAGAGATCGCCATTAAGCCACCCATTCACTTGTTCACTCATTGTGAACTATTTTTTTGTTCACCCTTAAGGCTGCCCTAAGATGTTTTTTGTTCGGCCGGTTTTAGAGTCAATAAGATAGTAAATATAAAGAAGAATTATAATAGAAAATCAGTAAAAAGAATTTCAATTCATTCATCTTAATTCTATTTCTGTAAAAGCAAAAATAATTTCAATAATAATTTAAGTTCAACAAAAATACGGTGATGTAAACAAGGCCTAATAGAAAAAACAATAGAGGAATTAATTCACCATAAAATTTAAATACATAAATCGTAATTCATTATCAAACTTGTTTTATAACTAACTATATCCATAGTCAAATATGGAGTATCGGTAACAACACATGTTGTAGCAACCATAAGAGTTTCAAAATTCCAGATATAAATCATTAGTGTGTAAGTTCAAAAAGATGAAATATTTGAAATATTCATCTATATGAATCCAACAATGCAACCGGCTAATGAAAAGTATTTATATACTTGTTCTTGCAAGAGGGACAGAACAAACGGTATTGAACTCATTATTGCAACCGTCTACAAGTGTTGCTGATCTTAATAAACATAAACAAAAACAAGGACTAATCTAGAGAAGTGAAGTGAAAACTGTACTAGGCAGTTACTCAATCACTCCTTATTCTTTCTTTCTAAGTTTGTCTGTAACTTTTGTAACAATCCCTTCGAAAGTAGGGTAGCTAAGAAGTAGGAGATAAAATGACAGGAAAAGTTGCCCGAACATATCATCATAGTTGTTGTGGTTGATCACCCTTACAAGTCCCCCAACGAACGACACCAAATTTAGTATAGTCAAAATGATGAGAGGAACCATTAGCATTGCTGCTCCTGAGAAATCGAACTTTCCCTTCTCGTATTTATCCAACTTCTCTTTCTCCACAACCTTATTTGTTAATCTGAATGTTGTTTTCTGTATCCCAATCTTCTTCATTATTGCTTCAGTTGATCCAAACAAGCAGGCTGTTATCGCTTTCATGATCCAGATTCTCACCTCATTCCACCACTGTTGCACTGAATGATCACTTGCTAGCACTTCGAATAGATGTTGAACATGGGAGGATACAAATACAAACACGAAACCCAACATCCATGGATCCGATACCTTCAAAGTCACATACAGTACAAACATCATTAACTATTCACCTCATAAATACATAAATGTAGCATAATGTTACAGCAGGTACTCTGTTGCACAATGGAAGAGTAGTCTTACCTTAGGAAAAACAGGAACGCCCTTAAGTAGGCAGAATGGTAGAACAACACCATATATAAAGAGTGGAACTGCTAGAAGACCTGAACACGTGATGTACGCGTAACACATGCTTTGCAATATAGACATTCTGGACATGGCATAAGTAAGAGGGCTAAACTTTGACATGGCAACTCCAAGTAATCCGGAAGTCCATTTTATTAATTGAACAATAGCATCCTTCATGTCAATTGTCGTGCATCCCAAGAAGCACGGTCTTTTGGGATAAAGATACACAGATCTCCATCCTTTACAATGTAAGAGATATCCAGTGTATGAACTCTCCAACAGGCAATCATACGAAAACCCTACCTGTATGTAAGAAAATGTTTTCAGGAATTTGATACTTATATGATAAATGCTACATCTGTTTCATATTATTTGCAACAATTAGACATTTTTTTCTCTACTTATATCAAATAATTGCAAATAATATGAAACAGCTAATCGTTGCAAATAATATGAAACCGCAGAGGTAGTAAGAAGTATTTTCCATGTACAGTATCAAATACTTGCCTCAACACCCCATAGCGAGTTTGCTTCATAAGTGCAAGTAGCCAAATTTCTAGCCTCTTGTAACAAATCGTTTGTGAATTCCTTCAAGACAAGATCCTGGTTCGAGTTTTCTTTAAGTGAAGCAATGAATTTTGTGGAAGAACCAAAAGCCTTTTCTGGTTCATTGATGAGGTATTCATCTGCAAACACAATAATATTTAGTCACCAATTATTATAATGCACAATATCATTGCATATTCCATGATATATACATCAGAGGTTTCCATTTTACCTTCATTATGGGGCCTTCCATATATCGCCTTCTTCTTCAGATAATACCCAGTTCCATTCAAGACCGGTCCTCTGAGTCCATCCATGCCTTGCCATTTCGTCTGCATCATAATAAAATTGGAATTCATTATGTTACATAATGTAGTATCATTTTAGCCTATGTTAGTATAAAGGTATGTAAACAACATAGTATAAAATCGATTAGTCCAAAGCTAAGAGCAGTGTACCGTATGAGCTGATCTGGCTTGACCATCATAGATATCATTTTTACTAGTGTTGTAGAAAATTTGAGGGTATTGAACAAAGGCAAGAGAGGGAGACATGTTCGGGTCAAGATGGAAGCACATAGATTGACGAGCAGAGGTTGGATCATGACAGTACATATCACAGTCTAACACCAATAAGTAAGGCGCATTGCTCAATAGTCCTGATACTCGGAGCTGCCAATTAAGTTCAATTTTGATCAGTTGATGGATTGCAATATAAAATATATTACGGAGTAAGATTGAATATGATGAAGCTCGACTTGCTTACAAGAGCGTTAAGGGCTCCAGCTTTGAAACGATGAGGATGACCTGGTCTCTTTTCCCTGGCTACATAAACTACAAGGGGCATTTTCACTTCAGCTTCTCCATCCTGTTTACTGTCATGTATAATCTGATATTTTTTTTTTTTTTTGTGAAGAATGCAACTGTCAGTTTAAATTCTCCTATTAAACGAACCATTATTACATCTATGTAACACAATTACACAATACCAACTGAGTTTTAGGCCTTTTAGCATAACATAATTTTGATGTCATTATCCAATTATAAAAAACAAAAAAACAAAAAAACAAAAAACAAAAAAAACAAAAATATGGTGCTTTCTAAGAATACAATTTTCGTATATGCAATTGGTCAATTGGACCATGATGCACATGGATCATCCTCTAGAAAAAACATATTCTACATTTCTACTCCATAAATAAATGGACATTTTATTTTTAAGGAGTAGTAATAGATCATATGATTCATGTCTCCTCTTTTAAGAACATTCAAATTAAGAAAATGTTATACATAGCCCTTGGCTACGTATAAGCATTAAATACATACTAGAATCACATAAATTTAGGAAATAAAAAAAAGTATAAATACTAATTAGGTCTCGTTCACCTCACCTTATTTTTGGGAATTATTTTTATTGAACTGAAATTAATTTTATTGATTCTTTGTTATATTTCTACTTTACAATTATTAAATTTTTATTGAACTGAAATTATTTTCAGTTAATTGAACTATTTTTTTTTCAAGGTGAAGTGAAAAAGGCCTTATATTTTCTCCTTAAAGGTACCGATTATTTTTAGTGAACAAGGTCTTCCATTAATTTATGCGTATTTTTGTCATAAATTTCTAATTTTGTACAATTTTAAAGAGTGTATCTAATACTTATAGCATTACCCTCAAATTATAACAAGATGTAAATGCAATAAATTATGGAGTAGCATTCAATTGCTTGCTTTTTACTTAAATGACATAATTCATAAGTGTGTTCAATTTCATATTAATAATTTAATAGGATGAGTAATATTCAGATTCAGTGTACTTTATCGTATAAAAAAATGACAATTTAATGATAAATTTATACTCCGTACGACTGACAATATTAAAAAATTGAGAGAAACGCACCTCAATGCAAGGTTCACGATCATGCACAACGGTGCATTTATTAATATCACCGCTTTCTTTCTCCACATATTTCTTAAAAGCTTCGTATTTCGACTGCAATACAACATCAGTAATCAATGGTCAAAATCAATTGAAATTGTTAATTTGTGTTACTCTATTTCAAATTTTAGATATTGTTTAGTGTAATTTCTAAGATAAGAGTACACGTTTTTCCTAAAAAAAAAAAAAAAAAAAAAAAAATAATACTCCATACAACTTTCAAGATGAATTTGAAGCATATATATTTATTGACCTATATCTTTAATTTATTTATTAATAGAAAAAAAATGCATTAGCATGTGGAAGAAAGCGAAACGTACAAAAATAAATAGAAAAATAATACCTTCATTATCTAATTAATTATAACCTTGAGGTATTATATTTGTGATATAATTCAACTAACATTTAACAGAGATAGTACGACTCGTACCTTGAGGAGTGATTCATGAGCGTTAAAGTCTTGATCACGATGAAGTCTTTCATCATTACCCAAAGCGGAGAAGAAAGCATCAGGACACCTAGTCTTAATACCATACATATTACAAAAAGGAATCCAAACCTTAGCAAATTCAACAGCCTTCTTAATAGCCTCTCTAGTCAAAGGAGAACCACCATCATCCGACAAATACACCGCCATTTTTTCAGGCGGATAATCGAGCGCCATGGATGATATCACCGAGTTCATCACTTCCAACACAGGCTCCTTGGTGGGATCAGCGGTGCATATAAAAATATCGATCTTTGGAAGATCGCGTGGATTGATGGACTCATAGCCAGACACATCGTGCAAGACGGGGCGCCAACGGAAGGCCTGAGTCATGGCCCAAATGAAGGTGAAAACGAGGTCGGCGATAGTCAATAATACCCATGGAAAAAGGGAGATATGAGGGTTGGAGAAAGACGAGAAACGGTAGTAGAAGAGAGCAAGAATGGCTAAAGAGTGAAAGAGGATATGAATACGGTTGATAATGACTCTTTTGGTTTGGACTTTGCAAATGTGTGTTGCCGCCATTTTGAAATGATATGAGTCTTCCTATTTGGTTCCTAATTTTTGTGTATATAAATACTCCGTACAAAAAACCAAAATCTTGAAGAATATGTGCTCGAGGAACCCGGGTGACACAAGACTAAGTCACCAGTTTCACTTTTTATATTGGTAAATTAGTTGTTTCATTTTCATTTGTGTACTACACTAACCATACATTCATACCTTTGTTTCTAGACTACAATGATTAGTGAGATAACTAATAATTAATTAATCAAATTAACATATGTTTTTCTCCTGCTTATTTTTGAAGTTTGCTTATTTTAATTGAATCGGAAGCGAAAAAGTAACTTGAAATTACCCTAAAACACTTCTTGTTTTGGGTTATTTACAGATCAAGATAGGTATTAAGATTCATTGAAAATAGTTGCAACTAATGCCCTTTTATATGGAACTTTTAATCTTGAGACAAATGATTCTATTATACTACTCCGTGCTATTTTTTTAGATTGATCTCATGAGTGGTAAACGGGACGAATGCGCTTATTAACAAAGATTATGTGTACAAGATAATGAGACTGGAAAAATTATTGAGTAAAGAGATTGCTGTGAGGGTGACGATGAGTTACCATTGTGGGCGCTCTAATACGGTAATGGGGGTGAATAACTGAGTTCATACTTCTAAATCATCTCTTTGGTTCTGCAAAACTGACTGAACTCAAAACTACCAATGATAGAACAAACTAGTCTATTTGACGTGAGCAGCTTAGAACATATGTTGAAAGAAGGATATAAAAAAAAAATTCACCATTAATCTCTGTACGCCTATCACCTGTAATACTGTATCATGTAAAAAGAACCCTGCTACAATCAATGTAATTATGAGCGTGTAAATTTTTTAGCTTAAGCCTGCACATAAATTTACAACTGATTTTGAAGATACACGGCACGCAAATCAATCTCATATAGGATCAGCTTCTAGGCCTTTTACACTACTCGAGGAGCGGTCAGAAGTGGAATACAAAGTTGATAGATGCAAGAGGTCAAGGCTCTGACACGAATAAACCAATACTTGAGGTGCTCAAGCATTTAGAAATCCTGCTTCTATACTGTAAAAGGAATAAATAATAAACATTATACTTGTATATACCAAAAAAATCTCAGAAATCTTACTTTAGATTTGGTTTTTTTCTTGGGGAAAAGAAGGGAGGGGGGGTGTTCAGGGCACACAGAGGAGGAGATATGACGTACTTTGTCAATTCATCATACTACGAGCAGTGGAAAATTTCTAGTTACCACACTTACACAACAAGGGTCCTATACAATACAATATGGGTCTCAATTCAGCCATAAATAAGAGATTGAGCTACTGGAGGCTAACAACAGATGAAAGGTGACTAAATTCAGATGTTTCATTAAAAAGGCAGTTTTAAAAAGTGACAAGTGTAGATTCGTTCCTAAAGATAGTCTTCAAGTTTTTTTTTTTTTACATAACTGGCCAGGCAAAAACCCTAACATTACTATATTTCTCGATTCAACACTCAACTTCAAGCATATTAGGACACGAGAGAAACGTTTTTGTAAAAAATTAACAAAAAAAAAATCTCATCATCCATAAGATGCAGTTGTTTAACGATAAGGTGATTTCAGAACAAACACAAACTGGATCAATGATGCTTTTAGTGGAATAGAAGGCCAGTAGATCAATCACAAAATTCACAAAATAAAAGGCAAGGTAAAGTACAAAAAGAATTACCATATTCTCCAAGCCCAAACATTCACATTGAAGTTAATGGCATATATCTCACAAACTGATTTTACACCAATGACAGAAGCAGCCCATTCCCAAATCTGCCAAGCAAACAGCAAAATTAGCATCACAAGTACTGCAAATCAACATATTTTTCTAGGTCATTCTGACATCACTTGCCTATTTCCTCTCCCTCCCGATGGACATAATAAAGGCCCATCGAGGTAGTTAATAGTTATTCCAATGAACCAAATTGAAAACTGTCAAGCAATGAAACAAAATGACAAGCAGCAGTAATTCAAAAGGAAATTAATGATTTCCCTTGGAGAATCTCACCAAAATCAAGTCTAAGTGCTCATTTTCGAGTAGAAACTGCAGGGCGTTCCATATGTTCCCATGTTGGACCTTGAGGAGTTGAAGGAATTCCAAACTTCAGCATCTGTTTCAGCCATTTGACCCTATTTACAAGTTCTTCCAAATCCAAGATTATTGATTCTATGTCATCACAGCCAGTAGAATTTAGAGTTATTGTCTCATTCAACCGCATTTTCTTTGCAGATCCTTTTTCATGATACTGTTCTTCGTCAGAAGTAGCTACTGGGGCTTCAGCTGAAACATCTCGAACATACGTACTGGAAACACCATCTGAACAACTATGCTTCCCAATGGTTGACCCCCTTATATCCAACTCCGCATTTACCTCATGTGTTTGCTCCATTGCTTTTTTAGGAGTATCTTCGCGCTGCTTCAATGAATCCTTGGAGTGTATTGATCTGTATAGATGTGGCAATGAGCTAGCTGAAGTATGAGAAGAGATTGACTGATTAAACTGCAATGAGGACCTTGGTGTGACCTTGACATTCTGCTTGTCTTCATTCAGCACATCAAACAAGCATTTTGAAGTCCGGGCTGCAGGCAAATGAAAATAAATAAATTTACCTCCTCATACAAATGGTTTAGATAAAGGTTAGAAAACTTTAGATACACATAACAGATGCTTTCAAAGAACATCCCTCGTGCAAAATATGTACTCAACTGAAACCAAAATGGAGAACTAGCAATCAGCAGGTTATCCAAGATAAAAATTCCACCAACTAATCCTACACACCAGCAATCCCTGAGGAGCCAAAACACGAAGGATTTCACGTAAAGACCAGCATAGAGATATAGTACAAAGTTTGACCACAAGTCCACAATGCCACCCAACAATAATAATAGGAGTACTAAGACAGGTTTGTCTTTGTTAAATACTATAAGCTCAGATCTTTATTAGGTACAGAAACTCCAGGTATCACTTAACCAAAATTGCAGACAGGTTAAAAAAACTTTGCTTCTGTTACATAATAGTATGATACTATTTACCCTAATCACCAGGTGCAAAATTAAAAATATAAAACAAAAACAAAAAGAATTGTTACTTATCTTTTTCCAGGAAACCTATCTAGAAACCCCTTGGAAAAGAGTAACCACAAATAATCTTTTGAAAATTCTAGTCCATAAGATAAGATTGTCGAGTCACTTTGTCCAAATGGAGCAAGCATTAAAGGCGTGTCACAAATAACCTCTAAGCACATAAATCTCTTCTGCATTGTAGGGCAAGGACACAATGACACATTGACCCAGTGTTAGAATCAAACCTCTATTCCATGTTTTAAATGCTTTCATATACTTTTTTTTAAGTTTTCTAGACTATAGATTCCATTATTATTATGTTTTCGTCAATCCCGTGTTAATTGGGATAAGAATTTAAACCCAAAAAGACAGTCACTAAGGAGCATCTGATTAACGAATATCCAAAAGCTTCCTAGCAAGTGTTACCTCACTTCTATGCTTGCATGTTGTTACACCTTTGTAGGTATAGCGTTATCAAATGCAATTTACCACCCCAAATATACTAAATGTGATAATAATTTATTTATTTATTTTTAAAAAAAAAGTGATTTAATCCTGTTGTGTCTAGGGATGGCAATTTACTCCGGGTTCGATTCGAATCCGAACTGATCCGAAGAATAAAGTCCGATCCGAATCCGATAACATAAAGTCCAAATCCAAGTCCGCTCGAAAAAGTCCGAGTCCGAATAGGAGGTGGAGCGGACTTGGATTTTGGGTAGGGTCTGATCCGATTAATCCGAGTCCAATTTATTAGAAGATATGGGCCTTTTTCTGTTATTCTACACGACATGGGCCTTTTTCTATTACTCAAAAATAAATATGTGGTTATAAAACCTAACCAATTCATTTCCCCCAAACAGCCGCCACCTTCCTTTTTCTTTGTTTCTTCTCGAATATAACCCCTTCTCTCCTCTGAACACCTCATATTTTTAATTTGTCTCTATGATAAAATAATCTCTAGCAAATAAATACATGCAAGAAGGGAGTAGATCTCCGCTTATTATTAAACAAGATTGGTTGATGAACTTTTATTGGAACGGTCTTGCCTTTTTCTTTTTTTTTTATGTTATACGAAGTATAACATTATAATTTGAATTACTACGTCTATCATTTCACTTCAATACTTTTTTCTTTGGCATTAATTATAAATTTACATGGATGAATATCAATTTTACATTATTTATTTGCTGTTTTAATTGTTCATAATGTTAAATAACTGGATTTGGATTCGGAGTTGGGGACAATTTGGAAGTCCCAAAATCCGGCGGACTCGAACTCGGAGGATAATGTTCCAGACTCGGATCCGGATTTGGATTCGAATTTGTAGTCCGTTTATAAATCAGATCGGATTCAGATTTTATTAAGTCCAATCCGAATCCGACCCCGTTGTCATTCCTAGTTGTGTCGATGGTCGTCACCCGATCACCCACATTCTATCGCTGATAGATAGAAGTGCCCTTTGAGATTCAGATGCCCACTTGTGCTGCTTTGTGCTCACAAGTCTTGTTTCCACACAAGGCTTGTGCCCTTTCCAAGTGCCAACATAAGAAAAGAGATTGTGCCACGCGATCCAATGTCCAAACACTCAAACCGTAACACCCAACATCACCATTGGCCATCCACAAAAATAGGCAGAAAACGTAGGTGAGGGAGAGGAGAAAATTTTAGTGGTTTCGGTGGTGGTGGTGGTTTTGGGTTCGTGGGTGGATTTCAGTGGTTTTGGTGGTGGTTGTTCCCATTTTCGGTGCTGGTTCTAGGCTAGGTGATTGTTCTTGGTTTCTGATTTTATTTTTTTTTGGGGGGGGGGGGGGGGGGGGGGGGGTAGGATTAATACTTTATTGCCCTTATTTTTTAATAATCAAGCTTAAAAGTTTTGCCTTGGAGTCCGCACGCAACCCCTTTGTTGCCTTAACCGTTAACGGAGGAAGTATAAAACACAAAAGATAGTCAAATAAAATTGTGTGAATAGTGAGGTAAAAAAAACAAAACAAATGGTGCGATTAAAAAATTGGGAGGAAGCATTGTATTTTTGGGGAAAGTAGAATTTTGTTAAAGGACATCACAAAATAGTAATACGATTCTTCTCTCAGACACGGGAGTTAGATTCTAGGAGGATTGTAGCCAAGCTGTCATCGACACTATACCTAGACCTAGTTTCTACTTTCTAGTAGTCTTTCACTCATTAATTGAAAAAAACCCTCATATTATGAATCCAATCAGTCTTAATTCATTTACAATGTGTGAAGCCCTTTATGACAAACTAGGAATGCTATGATTCTCCTAGTAACAGACTATCCATCCACTCAGAAACCTTTCAAAATGTAAAGGAAACTTGAAGATTGGTAGTAAATCTCTTCCATCACAGTAGAATGTATACTTTCAAAAAAATCAAGGGCTAAATACTGACGAGTGTGCCATTACAATATATGTAACCTCTTTCGACTTTTGACAAACTATGACTGATATCATATTGTCACGTTCCAGATACCATATGGCTATCCAATCTTGGATTGTTTTAAATTCAAACTGAACAGAAAATTTAATTATAATATCACTCCCTTCACACTTTACACCTTTTTTTTTTTTTGAAAACCCACACTTTACACTATTAAAAGTACATAACTAGCAATAAATAATCAAAGATGCCAGACTATGGGGGGAACATTAGCATAATACAAAGGCATTACAGTCTATGACTTGATTAATGAAGGACTATGAATTCAGAAGTAGTCTGATACTAACTTTAGTAATGGCAGATACAGATTAAAATTTGCAAAGTTCATCAAAATTGGTGAGAGAAAACTCATTGAGATCTCAACATTCCAAATTAAATGTAATCCTTGGTGGTAAAAAGTTTATACATCACAATCACCTACTTTTAGTAACATGACTTACATCACAATTGACCATCTTTCAATTAAAATACTCTATATACAAAAATACGTATTAGGGACTCATGATAATGGGCAAACACCTAACAAACTCTCCCATCAAATTAATGAAGACAGTAGCAACAGGAAAGAGGAATTTTAAACTTCATAAATTTTGAAATCCGGAAGCAAGCAGCTAATAGATTAGAAAGAATACCTTGCTTCAACGGCTGAATCAAACGGGCATGCAATTGTCCGTTTTGAGTTTCCTGGAGGCATAGTAAGCATGGATTCAGATGTTACAACAACGAAGAACTTTTTGAAATTTCAAGTAGAAAAGTCCTGTGTTTGATGTTACAGTATTATAATAATAATAATAATAATAATAATAATAATAATAATAATAATAATAATAATAAATAAATAAATAAATGAATAAAATTAAAAAAAAAAAAAAAAAAAAAAAAAAAAAACACACACACACACTTTTGCAAACTGCTGTTGTTGAACAATATTTCAGCAGGCCCTCCCCCTCCTCTATTTCTCTTATATGAGTTATATCTCTTACTAGATCTATGTGCGAGCAATGCGTACAAATTATTTTAGAAAGTGAAACAACTAATGATATATTCATTACTTAAATTTAAAATAGCATTAATTAATGTGGAGTAAATTTAAAGTATAAAATTAAATGATGCCAACTACTCCCTCCGTTCCCTAATGTTTTTTACGTTTGGAATTATGCGCGGTTATTAAGAATTAGTGTTAAGTTAAGGTATATTGTAATATTTCAATGATTGAAAGTACAATTTTATTGAAAAATACAATGTTGAGCATGTGGGGTGAAGAAATTAGAGGAGAGAGGAGAGAGAAAGTAATAGTAAGTGCTGAAAAACTATTAAAATAGTACAAAAAGTACAATAGCACATAGAAAAGTAAGGACTTTTGAGTAAAAAAAATTGTAAAACAAGGGTAATTTTGTCCAATATTTATGATCAAAATAGGAAAGATACTAAATGTAAAGAATAAAAAGGAACAGCCTAAATGGAAACGTAACAAACATTTAGAAACGGAGGGAGTAGTATAGGAAATATATACACAATGAATATTGTATTCGTCAAAGCTCAGCATTAATTATCATACAAACCTAAGTCCATTGACCTGAAGTTTACTTGATTGAAGATTTAAAGAGGGTGGTATAAAATCGATGAAAAAACTAAGTTTATGATTGTATTTGTTCAAGGTTATTTCATGCAGCAAAGGTTTGGAAGGAATTCAGGACATAAGGGGAACGTGACGGCATGAGGCTCTCAATATGCTGCTTAGCAAATCACCAATGCTCTGTGGTCTTCAAATAGATCTGTGATAGAGAACTAACAGAAGTTTTTTCTTAAATCTTTCCCAGCATTAAGGATTGAACATGTTCCACATAAAGCTGATCATGTTAGGCCCAGGCCGGCCAAATTAGGGGCAGGCTTTGGGCAGAAATTTTCGGCCCAAAGTCGGGCCCAATCGGAAATTTTTTATTTTCCAACAGGCCTTGGAGATGCATTTCTAAGCTATTTAGTTATTTTTATTGGCCCGGCCTGAAAAATACTAAAAACCCAGTAGGCCCAATCCGATTTTGCGGGTTTTGGGCAAGCATCAGCCTGAATTTTTTACCCCGGCCCGGTCTTTGCTCACTTCTATTTTCTTGTGAACTGCTTTGAGAAAACTGATAACAAGAACCTATCACCTCCAATTTGAATCCAAAGCACAGGGACATAACCAGATTCTTAACAGACTCCCTGGAGTTCAACAAGACTGAAAAAGATGGTGAGGCTGATAAGGTCGTTTGGGTTAGCCAGTCATAAAAGCATGACAGCACTAATAAGGGCAAAAGAAAACGATCCTTTTATTAAGCTACGTGAACATATTAATTTCAGAAGTAGTGCTTTATCAAAAACTGGAAACAAGGTCCAAAGAAAGATACCAGTTCTGAAGGAGAATATAGCAATATACAAAAGAAGTATTTCATTTTCAGATAAAGGACTGCAGCTGTAAAAGCTTAGCACAATGTCACAATGTATACACACTTGTCATTTAAAACCTTTATCTCTGAGGCGGAAGATAATAATTTCCAAGCACCAAATGCAGGGCAATCTACAAATCAGGATCAGTAATACATGCCTCCTTGAACAGAAATACGCTACTACTGATCACAAAACAGAAGGGAAAAGAAAAAATTCAAATAATATGTGTCAGACTTGGTCCAACAATTATGCTTAGAAACAAGACCAGGTTTCATTCTAGCCTTTATCAGATTCAGACAATCAGACCAGCTCAATTATATAGCCTAGCATGGAAATTGTCCCGAAGACCCCACCAAGAAGAAATCTTAATATTTACCAAGTCAAAGATGCAATGCAATAGTCGAGCAGAAGAAAAAACCAAGAGTAAGAAGAAGCATTTGCTGCTTTAGCCACTTTCAAGTTTTGTTCTAGAAACTATGTGCTTTTAAGCTGAACAATACCACATACAATAACAAACTAGTAGGAAGAGTTTACCAAAGGTACAGGGACTGTCCAACCAGATTCAGGAGACCAATCCAGTGATGGGCGGAGATCCTTGCAATTGACAGTATAAGATGATCCTTCACCTCTGGGTGGCTCTAGTAATTTAATCTAAATGAGAGAGAAGTTAATAAAATATATTTGACTGGTAAGAGAAAAGATACAGCATCAATGCATCATACGATAAAAGATACAAAACTAGGAGTCATGGCATACGTTTGTTGCAGATGATATTTTATTGGTGAATGAGACTAGAGCTAGCGTTAATGCTAATTAGAGTGAATGAGACAAAGATAGAGCTTCAGGGGTTTATACTAAGAGCAAAACTGAGAACATGAAGTTCTGCTTTAATACTACTAAGAGGGAATCTAGCTAGGATGTAAAACAAACATAACATGCACTAGTGCTATTACCTGAACCGTGTCATTGTCTATGATTTCAGTTATTGTTCCTGACCAGTAACAGCCATCAGTTAACCAGTCCACCAAATCTCCAACTCTCCTAACATCAGCAACTGCAACTATGACTTCAGACGTTACGTTAACATCAGGTAATTCACTTTCGCGATAAAAAGCTGGAAATTGTGGGCGCAACATCAGCTCTTTTTTTGCCTTATGTCCATTACTGCTCTCTGGGGGAAGGCGATATAGATCTACCGTTTCATCGGCTGCAAACGGAGATTAATGACATTAATCAAGGTGTTTCCAGAAACAAATAAGAGCTTCAGTGGATAGGACAGCATGATCAAGTCCATAAAAACTAATTTCAAAGTAGCATTTACCAAGCTACAGTGACAGATTAGGCATAAAGAACAAATTGGCAACACCAAGGAACAGTAAAGGGCGTACGTACGCCATCAAAATCTAGCCAAAAGCAAAGTATTAAATTATTCACCCCCATATAAATAACACTCAGAGACCCCAAAAGCTATGCATGGACACACGAAATTGCAACCTAAGGGTTCGTTTGGCATCGCTGTGGTTTTCTGGTTTTTTGTTTTTCAAAATCATATTATACATGTCATATAATAAATAAAAAATTAGTCAAATTTATACTGAAGACAGAAAAGTGGAAACACCTTTTTCTTGTTTCCTATTTTTTGTTTTTTGTTTTCTAAGAAAATATAAAACTGAAAACAAAAAACAATGCCAAACAAGCCATAACATGACAAACTACTAAGCATTAAGTTTTACAAAATTTCACATATTTCCTACTTAAAAAGTTCGTTTTTGTGAGAAAATTCCTTTAAAAGTATTGTAGATAAGTGCCTGTCATATAATAAAATAAACCTTCAAAAACAGCAACTACTTTCTATTTTCCAGCTAAGAAGTCGAAATTCCGGCTAGCTGACTAATTCCCTTAACTTATTCTTTTGTATCAGAGTATCAGACTATCAGTTTCCTCCCCTTTCCAACTTTTATTTCTTTCCTTCTCTCGACTTCTTTATTTCCTCCTTCATTGATTCATTCAACTACCACAATTGAGCTGACTATGGAACCTCGCCCAGACCCTCTTTTTTTGCTCCATTCCTACTTAGCGCTACCACATTAACCGTCATTGGCCACAACACTATCACCACTATTAACCATCAATGCCACCACTGCCACTAATTACCTGCACAACTACTCATTCTAGCCACCACTGTCTACACCATCATTATCCTTTCAGCCCCAAACTTGTATGCCCTAAAAGACCAAAACTGCTGCCACAAAATTCTCTTTATTTGTCATTCCCATAATTCCCATCATTATCCCAATCCCTCCTTCCAGTTCAATTTTTAAGGTCCAGCCTACCACTACGGTATAAAACAAATCTAAAAAAAAGCAAGAGTAAATCAGAGAGAGATGACAAACAGATACAAGAAATATAGAAAATTTATATGTTCATTTACCACAGCAAGTCTACACTGGGACTTAGATGGTTAAATGCTTAAGGTCGACCAGAAGGTCCTGCTACTTAGAGCCATGATGGTTTTTAGACTACTAAAAAATTTCTCAGCAGTAGCTTGACCACTATTATTAAGGTGAAGAGTGAAACGTCAACAGCAGAGGGCAATGTCCACACTAATAAAGAAAAACTTTTTGTTACAAAAATCTGTGTATTTGAAAGGGAAGGGAGCTGACTTTAACCACTTGATATGCTCATTTTGAAGGGAACTACAAAAATACTCATTCTAAACATTCATGAAGGCATCAAATATAGTGAGGAATATAGAATTTTTATAAGACAGTACAGAAATCTAGTGGAAGAAGGCTTCTATCACAAGCTAGCTCATGACCTGATATTCTTAAGGGGATGGGGAAAAAAAATTAAAAAAAAAAAAAGGAAATTCTCAATAGTGGCCCTCAACCATTGCTACATTAAAATGGTGACCCTCCTTTTTTTTCTTTATTATAATTATTATACAAAATGACCCGAATTAAAAATATTATCTCACAAATGATATTAATGAGGCTAACTTGGCTAGAAATTAACCATGATTAGTGAAAAGAAGGAAAAGACATTAATGCCTCCTTTATTACCCCCTCACAACCCTTCACAACCTTCATCACCACCAGTCCACCACCACCTCCCTCTTTTCTCACTCTATCTCTCCTCCTTAATAGCTGAGCCGAAACCCCTACCCTCACCCTTACCTGACCCAAAACCAACACGGCAGTAAAAGCCTGCAACAAACTACCCTCCTTCACTCCTCGCTGTAGCCCCTGCCCCTCCCTCGCTGCCACCACACTAACAAAGCACGGCAACGCCTCAATGGTGGGTCTAAGTAAGGGAAATCCATCCCATCATCAAAATCCTCAACCTCATCTGAAATTAGGGTCAATCCATTCCAATTTTTGACATGGAGGGAAAACATCTTTCACCATGATAAACAAAGATAAAATCATGGTTCTTGCAACCAACGGTCCAACCTCATCTTATTGGGATTGGCTTTGACAATGATATTTACGGGGCTGAAATGCAATCTTTGATAGACCAAAAATTTTAAAGCCCTGTACAAAACTGAATCAGAGAAGAATGTAAGATAATGTAAATTTAAGGCTTCTTCCAGTGTTAATTTCGAGATTTAGTTAGGTTCAGGTAGATGTGATTCATGTGAATTCAAGGGAGCTTTTTTCACATGAAACTTAATTTGAAGTTAGGCTCTTTTTTTCCTCTCTCCCAAACACAAGTCTTCTTTATTTAGTTCTTGAATGCTTTAGATATTTTTGTCTATTATTTGTAGCTTTTAACACATCAACAATCCAGAATTGAGGTTCGATATTTAGTATCAGGGTTATAGAGTTATGGTAGTTGTTATTTTAAAACCATCCCAGAATTTTATTTAGATGGTTGAAGTCAAAACAGGTAGACAAGGTGAGTGCCAGATGGATACAATGTCAGGACCTAGTAAGTTTTTCTGCTTGGAATTTTAGGTTATTAACTAGTTGAAACTTATAGATTTTAAGACCTTTACAGTTTAATCAAAGTGGTAGAAGACACTATTTTCCGACCAAAGATCTTACTATGCTGCAACACAAAAGGAGGGTCAAATTACCCAAAAAGGTGATGTAGAGCATGAAGAAATTTTCTTATTGCTTAGATATACCCCACTGGAAAGGTTCCAGTAGCTTTGATGGTAGGAGTTAGTAGATGGCTGGCACGTTTCTTAGTCTAGCAGTCTAGCCAACCAGCAGTCTGCAGAATACAAGAGTTGTACACTTATTCATCACCTCCTTGTGCAGTATGATTTTGGCAACATTATGATGCTCCACAAGCCAGTAATACCAAATCACCCCCCCACCTCGCCTACTTCAATCTGACTATTCTTCACTGAATACAACTGAAAAGGCATGAAGTCATATTAGCTCCTTAGAGCTGAGTAAGGACTTGATCATGACTTAACTAATCAAAAGATGCTAGGCCCTAAATTTGGAAATGGATAGGATTGACATGGAAATTCGGGGTCAATGACACTGCAAAATCAAGAACTTTTCTTTCTTGATTTTCAAGGTCACACAAGCAGAATATTTTGTTCCTCTTAGTCAAAACAAACAAGTCAAAAAAACACTATTTGTAAGAAGAGCGGCACTAGTGTGCTCCTTGATTTTGCAGGTTGGATAATAACATGATACTCACCCACCACCTTTTGTGCATAGGCAACACTGCCTTAGAGTTACTATAAATTAAAACAAGTCCAAGTAAACAGCCATAAATAACCACAAAGACAAGAGGCAATCACTTACCTTCCTCTGGGTAGTCATAATATTCTACAACATAAGCTGTAATCCGACCTTTTCTTGTGGTACTCTTCTTTATCTAAACAAAAATACATCAAAATTTGTTAGAGTAAAAGGCAAAATCAAATATTACTACCAAACTGAAAAATATGAAACACATCATAATGCAAGCCCACAGTTCTATAAGAAATAAAGCAGCCTAACAGAACCACGTATAATAATCCATCAACATGTGATATTCTTGCCAAGTGAAGACAGATTAGAAAACACAAAAGGGGATGCTAAAATCAAACAATAAGACAAGCTAGTCTAAGTTTCTCAGTTTTGGTTTCATAAATGCATGTTCACTTAAAAAAAAAATCCGCGTATCTAAGCACCTAGAAAAAGACCCCTGCAGCAACAGTAGCCCTCTTTTAAAATTTAAACAGAACTACACAACTCCCCTTCTGAGTTCTAACCCAAGACAACTTACTACAAACAGAACCACAATCATCCAACGCTTCCCTGAAAACCACAAAAACAGCATCCAAAATGAAGAGCTAGAAAAAGAGACGAGGCCAGTGTTCAAACCACCGGTGATACTGTTATAGCCAAATTTGCCCAGACTCAGTGGTCAACCCAACCAGAAAAAGAAAATGGAATCAAATACTATATGTTTTCCTTGAAAAATCATTTCACATTAAAAATGTTTTACGTCAAACCAAACAAAAACAGCTTTCGTAATCTTCCAAATGCATACAGAAAAACAATCCTCGCAATAGACATTAAAGGTTGCAAGAAGTTAAATTGGATTATAAGCCCATTCGTGAAAAATACTTTAAGATGCACCTCGGCACCAACCAGGATTTGTTTGGGAAAAATACCATATTTCAAATCAAAGGTGAAAAGACCACATTTGAAACAAATCTGTAAAGATTGTAATAAATGGAACAAAAAATAGAAATACTCAAAAATACCTTACACCGAAACCACGCACCACGAAAACCACTAACAAAAGTCCTGGCCTCAGCCAACTGACCAATCTGAAAACGAACACTATGTTTCTTTCCCATGGACAAGCCTCAAAAGTTAAGCCAGCATGACAAACTGCGAGTTACATAAATTAAGTGAATGATATAAATTATAAACAGATAAAATATGGTACATTCCTTTTACTAATTAATAATACGAAGTGGGTTTTGGAATTTTATTTCAAATCAAGTTCCGCCGAGTCTAAGAGACCTTGCGGGAAAGAGTTCATACAAACACGTTCCGAACAATTACGGGTGACAGTAAAGATCATAAAGAAAGTCCTAAAACTGATTCAGGAAAGAATTAATCATAAACCCCCCAAAATCATATCACAAATTCACAAACAAACAGCTCAATTAATTAGAATTAACAGGTTTATCAATTATGGCTCCAAAAAACGCATAAAATTCTCTTTGATTAAGAAAATCAAATTAAATTGCACATACAAGAATTCTAGGAACAAAATCAAACCCTAAATTAACAATACTGGCAATTTTATCAACGACAAACCCTATATCGCGAATTGATATTCGATGAGTTTCAAAAAAAAACATAAACAGGCTTACCTGAGAAGCTGTTTCATGGACGAGTGTTGGTCGGAAGTGTTTTATTGTTAATGGAGAATTGAAAGTATGCTTTAAAAGTGTTTTCAGAAAAAGAAAATATGCTTTCAAATTTCAAAGGAGGAGAGAGAAGTGCAGCATAAAAGGTACGCCTGATCACGGATCGGATATCCGATATCCGAATCCGAAAATTTACAAATTTGATTTCCGTATCTGATCCGAAATGTTTCGGATATCCAATATCCGAAATTTTTCGGATCGGATACTTCAATTATCCGTTATCCGAAATTTTTAAAAATTATTTTTTAAAATATTATTTTTTCCGTTTATTATAATAAACTATTTCATTATACAATGTGTTCTTTTCTTTTTTTTTTGGGAAAAAGGGAGCATATTAAATTACTTAATCAAACGGTTCATACAAGGCATCATCAAAAAATCAAAACCAAAGCTTCCCTGATTGTCTATAACAGAACAAACAGAAATAGAAAAGCTAAAGCAATAAGAGTTCTGCATCCAATTAGTTGCTACTGTCCTGAAGGTCTTGCTCATAAATATCATTCACGCAAGTTGGAGCAACATCATGTGGTCTTTCATCATCCTCCATATTAATCGCAAGCTTCCATGTCAATGTAATTGAAGTCAATATTACGATCAGTCTTCAGAAATTCTCCAATATCCCTCAAAATGACAGCTAGTTCATTAGTTCCATAATTTTCTAGGATTTGCTTGCAAGCCACGATCCATCGCTTCTTCTGAGTTCTGATTACACAGCTTGCACCTGCCTCTCCGGAATTTCTCCATGATCCGTCATATTAACCTTTTGAGTACCTTGTCCTGGCCTCTTCCACATTTCATACTGGTTACGAATGGCTGGAGCTTTTCCTTTCCCCTGAAAAACAGAATTAGTGGCAACCAAATCAACCATAAACCTGTTAAGCATAGTTACATGATGAAGCATAGCCAGGGCAGCAACAAGCCAACAACGGAGCAGCAACAACGGAGCAACAAAACAACAGGGCAGCAACAACGGAGCAGCAAAGCAACAGGTCAGCAACAGCAATATCAGTACAGCAACACAGCACCATTAATACATCAACACAGCACCTGGCAGCAATAAAAAACAGCAATAGACAAACTAAAAAAAAAAACAGCAAAGCAACACACAAAACCACTAAACCAATTAACCAAGCAAATATTAAACACACAAAAACATATTAAACACACATAAAATAATCTCTACAAAGCTCCAAGCCACTAAAAGTCCACAAACTCCAAATTAGTAAATTACACCACAAAAAACAAAATAAAAAAAATTACAACTTCATCTTATGTATCTCAAGCTCCAATCTCCAATCTTCAAGCTCATCTTCAATTTGTCACATGTAATCATCAACAACGCCACTCGAAGGTTGCTCAATAAGTGGTAATAACTCTACACAACAATTTTTAAAAAGAATATAGAATAAAAAATTAGTTAGAAGTTAAAACTAAATTATGCAAATTAATTAAAAAAAACATAATAACTAATAAAATGTTTTACCTTCTTCAATTCTCTCAATATTTTCAAGATTTTCTTCAACTACTAAAGGACCACGAGTATTTCGCAACCAATCTTGAGCACATATCAAAGCTTCAACCATATTTGATGAAAGTGAGCTACGAAATGGATCAAGTACTCGTCCACCCGTACTAAATGCAGATTCAGACGCTACAGTGGACACGGGAATAGCTAACACATCCTTCGCCATAAGAGCTACTATAGGATATCTTTCCCCACGATTCTTCCACCAATCTAAGGCATCAAAGCTCTTTCCAATAGTGTTAGGTTCTCTTTCATCATTTAGATACTTATCCAAATCACTCGGTTACGAACCCGACACTCGTCCAACGAACAGTGTGTGCATGCAACTGATAAAATAATTTGATTCAAGACACATCAAATACTAAATTTTCTAGTAGGCACAATTCTATATTATCATTAAATCTTAAATCAAAGCAAAATTAAATAAGAATTCCCATTTGATTAATTTTTTCTCCAGTTTCAGACATACCCATTTGATTAATTTTAGGAGGTAATCAGAGAACTATTAAGATAAACTAGATTAAAAATTGTTAATTTATGATTTATGCAAATCTGATTGAGAGTCTTGTTGAAGAAGGGGAGTTGAAGGGAGTCTATTTCTCTTTACAAGACGAAAATGAAAAAAACGAAAGAAATCAACAGCAACTCAAAAACAGACTTCCTACATTCAAGATACTCAACAGCATTTCAAGTTTCAGATATACACAAATTAATCAATGGGTGATTCAAAATTTCATATAGCATTCAAGTATTCAAGTATTCAAAAAAACCCTAATTTCAGTAAGTTGTGAAATTTGTAAAGAGTGATGGAGTTTTACCTGAGCGAGAAGGAACTTGGAAGCAGTCAAGCATGCGGCGGCCGGCGAGAAGGAATGAGAGTTGAGAGAGGCAGAGAGGGAGGCGACTGAGAATTTGAGAAATCGAGAATGAGAGTCTGAGAGAGACAAAGAGCAGAAGAGGAGGCCACTGAGAAATTGAGAATGAGAAAGAGGGATTGAGGTTTACTGGTTTATACTTTAGTAATGTAGTCAAGATCATGTGGTAAATCCGTAAATTGGTAATACTAGTTAAATAATTCAAAGTATTATGATGATTAAATTTTAAATTCGATCACTTTCAACTTTATTTGGAAAATATGTACTCCGTATTTGTTTAAAAATCAAAACATTATACCCAAAGTTAATTCAATTCATGGGCATCCTTTTAGTTTTATTGATTATTGAATACTTTTAGTTTTATTGATTATTGAATACTCAATAAGGTAGGATATTAAATTGACTATTCGATTCGGTAAATCGGTAACGATAATCAATGATCACTCTTACTCATCATGAATGAGCGCAATTTATTTCTTGAAATTAATTCTAACTTCTAAGTTTAAGGTTTTGTTAATTACAGAGTAAATAGATCAGAAGTCATCTTTAAAAAGTACAGTAATAACATACATGATCTGATGATCGTTATATAATTACCATTAACCCCATAATACTCCATATGAATGACAATTAATTTGATTAACTTAAGTATTGAGAATAGCAAGATTTAGTGACCAGGTAGTATTTGGTGTAGACGTGTAGTTGATAAGAGTATCACCTCACGACTTCATGGGTTTCGATTCCTATTGGCTAGGGGTGCTTATGATGCGAGTCGAGTTTTCATTTTAGTGTATACATATGATGATACGAGTACATAAATAATGTTTTATTTATTAATTATTAATATAAAAAAAAAGTTTTTTTATCAAAATAATTTAATTTTTAGTGAATATGATATTATATAAAGGAATTCGAGCTTCTCACGAGCTTTCGAGTCGACTCGTCTCATTAACATTTCGAGTCAAGCTCACTCGAGTCGAGTTTTGACCGAGTCGAGCTCGAGTAGCTCGCGAGTTGTCTCGTCTCATAATCACCCCTACTACTGGATGTGGTTCTTAAAAGCTGGAGGTTCCCTTATCTCCCCCACCCCCTTCCCAAAAGCTTGCTATACGTAACTAAGTTGGTTTACTTGAAAAAGATATTGATCTAGTATGGTCGTTCTCCTTACCCACCAATATAAAACAAAAACTAAAAAAAAAAAAATTGATATAGTAGGACATAGAGGTGTCATTCAAGTGTTTGAATTCCGTGAAGTTGGATCGAATCTATTTTTTAATTTGAAACATACAAAATTATTATTTCCAAATAAGTCGATATTTGAATTTAATTTTTGTAGATTGTATCAATCGGGTGAATTTTTGACACATCTAGAACTTTTTTTTTAGATTAAGGTTTGACACATCTAGACTAGTACACAACAAAAATACATAATTGGAGTTCAAATAGAAAAAAATACATAGTTGGAGTTATGTCGACATAAGTAGAAACAATTTAAATTGAAAAAAGCCCAAGATTAAGGAAAAACAGTGCCTATACAAGTTTACATTTTAGATTTTACTATTTTAGGCCCAAAAAGCCAAGCCCAACTTAATTTTCGGATATCAATTCGGATACGGATATCCGTTATCCGATTTTTTTCGGATATTCGGATATCCGAAATCTGAAAATTTACTATCCGAGTTGGTATCCGATATCCGACTTTTTCAGATCGGATATCCGATCCGAAAAAAAAATCGGATCGAATATCCTAAAATAACGGATCGGATACGAATCGGATTTTCGAATTTTCGGATATTCGGATTTTCCTGCACAGCCCTAATAAAAGGGAGAAAAGCTTAATGAGGGGAAATGAAATTTAGATTATTGACACGCACATAATAATGTCAACTGTCAATATTAATTCTCATTCAACACAAGCTTTTAGAGGTTTAAAAAGCTTTTAAAGACTCCGTGGTTTCAAAAAAACAAAAATTCAATCAAGCTTTTCTCCATCTGTTGTGCACTTGTGGAGTATACTAGTACGTAAGTCGGTAAGGCGTACTTATTTGGTGTGTAGAAAGTTGAGATGAGAATTAATTTCATGATCTCCTGAGGGAAGTTTTGACCACTTAAGTTATTCCTCATTCTCGTTGATTTTGATTTTTATATGTAATAGTTAGTTAATCGTTCTCTTATTTTACCAAACACTCAACATCTAATTATCTATCTTTATAGCTAACAACTTGTTAATTAACAATTAACAATTACATACACAGCTAATAATTACCTTTATGGCTATACATCTCCGGGATACATTTTATTATGTATTATATAACATGGTTATTTTCGAGATTTTGCATAGATTATGTGGGATAGTGTGGACTATTAACCATTTTAATATGTATTAAAGAAACAATGGTAGGGAATTAGGTAATATATTGCGGAATTTCATGAATCATATTTGTTCGCACCTAATCATGATCTACAAGCATAACACATAAAAAAACATATAAATTAAACCTTTAATGTGTGATTTCCACGTGCGACCACGAACTTTAAGAGAACAAGAACCTCAAACGTGATTCCTCTATTTGGTCCACGGGTTAGAATTGAACCTTCACTAATGTTAGTTAGTCAGACATGAACACTTTGAAACACCTTCTACGAAAATGAGGAAGGAAAAACCGGCCACGAGCACCACCACACGCACACACACACAAGGGGGAAAAGAGGTATAGGGGTTAGGGTTTTTGGGATTATTTGATCTTCAATCAACTTATGACTATTTATATGAAAAACCTAGGCAAGCCTCCATTATATATCATATACTTCGTATATATAATAGAGTCTTGAGCAAGCCTAAACACCTCCCATTTAGTCCATATGGTCCACCACCCTCTATAGGGCCCAACATTAGGCCTTCTTTCTTTTGTTCAATCCATCACCATAAAGTGTGACCTCATGAGATTCATTTTATCGGGCTTTAGACTATTTAACTAGCCCAAAAATCATTGATCACATCTAACAACATATATTGATGACCTAAAAAATGAACTGATTATTTCCATAATATTGATCTAAGAATATATCTAGCAATGGCACTTGACGAATACATAAATCCTTCAACAACAACTTTAATGGAGCTCACACAATAAACATAAAGAGGGTGTTTGGTTAATGGGATAGTTGAGGGAGGATAGGATAAAAGAGGAGGGATTTAAGAAGTCTTTTGTTTATTTAGAGGGATGAGAATTAGGAGAGGAGTTGGGAGGGGGGTAAAATATGGAGTTATCCCTCCAAATTAATAACTAAGGGGGGTGGTATAAGAGATGGGGATTAAATTAATGGGTAAAAGACATTTCCACTCTTAATGAAAGAGAAAGAAGAAAAGAGTAATGAAAGGATAATAAGGGTAATTTTGTATTTTTATTAGTTATTCCAATCTAATCCCAACCCATACCAAATAATGGAATACACTATTTTTATCCTTGTCCCATCTATAAATTCCACCTTCTTATCCCACGTCCTTATCCCACTTAATTTTATCTCTCCTACCAAACACCTCGAAAGGGAAAGAAAAAAAGGGGACTTTGTGGTTTGTGTTATTAATTTCTTATTATATTATAGATATATCTTCCTATACTAACTTATATATGTGGTTAGTCACACTGTGTAACAGCTATCATGGTGTTACTTGATTAATGTTATAGAGGTTACTCTGTTAGGATTATAGGGGTTAGTTATTAATATAGGGTAAATCTATTAGTGTTGCAGGTTACTTTGTTATTTAAGAGTATCAATAAGTATAATAAGAGGTTACTTAGTTTTTACAAGCTTGTGGTCAGGCATATAGAAAATGCATTGATCTTCTTTGTTAATAAAAAACTAGTTTCTTTTATTTTATAATCATAATTTTTTGGATTTTTTTTTAAAAAAACTTTAAAAGCGTCATTTTGCTATTAAAAAAACTTTTAAACAAAACCCAATTTTTAGCTTTTTGGCAAAATAAAACCTGATTCTAAATTTTTTTTGTTAAAGACAACCTAGTACATCTAATTGACTTAACTAACTTATAATTTATTCTAATTTTCCTCTAAGTCTCGCTTGCCCATTTAATAATTAAGTTATTTATAAATTTAAAAAAATTAAAACCACCACCCCAACCACCCTTTCCCTTTCCTCCTCCCCTGACAGCACCACCAAACCTCCATTTGTAATCCCCACGACTACTAGTCCTTACCTGACCACCATACCCGCACCCGACTCCCTAAAACTGACCGCCCAGCCACCCCTAAACCCCAAATTTTGACCACCCCATAATCCTTTTCCCCCTTATCCCCACCGACGACTATCACCATCATCTCTCCTCGCTTTCCCCTTTGCTTAAGTCTTCTTCTTTCTTTATTCTCCTTCCACAACTCTTCCATCATCTTCCTACACTTTTCCATCCTTTTTTTCTTCTTCTTCACACCAAATTTCAATTGAATTCTTTCTCTCTCTTTTCAATACCTCAATCTCCCACCAGAAATCACCTCATCAATTTACAATCCTTAAATCCCATTAATTAATTTAACAATTATGTATCAAAACATAAGTGACACCACCACCAATTCACTATACTCCCGTCAATTTCATCAACCCCCTTCTCAAAACCCTAACCCAAATCCCAATCCAATTGTTAATTCTTACACCAATCCATGGCCTTAATCTTCCAGTTTAGCTCCCCCTATTTCATTCTTCCCATGCCCCACCTTTTGCTTTTACATACTTATTTGTTTCGAAGGAAGGTGGTGGTCGCCGCCGAGGATTAGGGGGAAAACGAGGGTCGGCCGGCGATTGAGGTAGGTCGCTGAGGGTGGGTGATCTAGGCGGCGGGTCCAATGGGGGAGGGGTGGTTGGTGGTTTGGAAGGTGATGGATTTTTTTCAATAAATTAAATTTAATTATTAAATAATTAGGTGGGTTAGAGGGTAGTTAGAAGAAATAGGAGGAAATTAGAGATAATTAAGTATTAGAGGGTAATTAAGTAAACAAGTTTCCTCTTGCAAAAATAATGAGTGTGGTGGTTTTTTTTAACCAAAAAACTTTTAGAAGGCTTTTTCCAAAATGGTGCTTTTAAAAGGTTTTTTCTGACAAATTTTCCTTATTTTTATAAAAGTATAAATTACAAGTTTCTTATTAAACTATAAATCATCATATGTTATAAAGGTGAAATGTATGAATAATGTAAAAGTCAAAGGCTTGCACACAAATGAAAAAAAAAAATAACGAATGAGTTGCATCCTTTAAACAAAAGTACATGTTATGTTTATGTTTTTGCATAATTTTCACGATTTGGTATGAAGTATATATAAATGTAAAAGCGCTACTTTCTTACATTTACATTAACAATTATTAAAATTCCAAATGTAACAAATAAACTAAAAACAAAAGGGATTGTATTATAAGATTTATAACATATATGAAGTATTATTGCATTAGATATGATGTGAGGTTTTATATGTTTACTTTAATATAATTACGCGATATAATCCTTTAAACATTCTAGTTTCCCCTAACATTAGCTGTGATATAATCCTTTAAACATTTTAGTTCCCCCTACCAGTTCTTATGTAGTGGGACAATGACTATTGAAACTTGAAATAAAATTGCACTTAGAATATCGAGAGATATCAATTGAAATGGAATACTCGATATAATACTTTAATGTATCTTTATATGCTTCAAAACGTAATGTGAAATTTTGTTAAATTAGTTTGATTTAATTTTACAAATATTTAACTTTAATTTACATTAAAAACTATCAAAATTCCAAATGTAACAATTTAACTAAAAATATTATAAGATTTATAACATATGAAGTATTTGAATTAGATAGATCTTACGTGAATTTTTATATACATTATTTTATAATAATATTTTTTTAAGGTAAGATGAGAGATCATACTGACTGACACCTCTCACAAGTTTAGCCAGCCACCTCGCATCTCAACGCTTAAGAGTAAAGGGGGGAGGTAAGACAATTTTCTTACACCCAAACTAAACATGGGCAACGGGCCGTGCCGTGCCGTGCCTAAATTTGGCACACCCCAGCCCACGGCACGGCCCACGTGCCTGGCGGGCCGTGTCGTGCCGGGCCGCGGGCCAAACCGTACCACTTTTTATTTTTTATTTTTTTATTTTTATTTTTAAAATGAACGTAAATAAAAAATAATATATAAATATTTTTTAGTACAACTTAATTTTATATAAATAATGTTATTAATTTATGTTTATGTTTATGTTAATGTTAATATATTTTGTTTTTAACAAACTTTATTTTAATTAAGGTTATAAAAATTATTTATCTAATTATGTTTAAGTTTATATAAATAATTTTATTAATTTAGCAAAAAACAACAATACATATAATAAAAATTAAATTACCACTGCCGTGCCAGACCGTGCCACGTGTCGTGCCGGCGTGCCGACCCACGGGCCGGCCACCGTGCCTCGTGCCGTGCTCGTGCCGATTCCTAGATTTTTGTTCACGGCACGGCCCACGGCCCACAGGTGGGCCACCGTGCCGTGTCAGAATCGTGTCGGGCCCGTGCCGGCGCGGCCCATGCCCATCTTTAACCCAAACATTTATTTAAAATAAATACATGATATACTTCTCTAAATAATGTAGTTTCCCTTATTATTATCTTGAGAGATTTCAATGGAATACTCCATATAATACTTTAACGTTTTCTTTATGCTTTAAAATGTAATGTGAGAGTTGTTAAATTAGTTTTAATTTTAATTTATAAATATTTAACTTCTATAATGATCAGTGACATTTTAATTATGAGACATATTACTTATAATTTTGCATTTAAAATGCAAAAAAATATATGAGACAAATAAATCATAAATAGAGGAATCAAAGAAGAGAAGTTGTTCACTAGGCTCATCAACTAGTAAAGGGACTATATTGTGGAAAGTAAAGATTCATTTGTTTTTGACAAGAATCATATGATTTTAGAATAACAATAATTACATACTTGTTAGAATTAGAATCTTAAGGTTGATACTTCTAGGTTTTTTATAACAAACTTTCTCTGTCCAGTGATATTTTATTTAGCATGCAAGTAAATTGACAAAAATAAAAATGTGCAATTAGGAATACCATGTTAGAACAAAAAAAAGATAATTAATAAAGCTTATAGATAGACCAAAGTATATAAATATTTGTATGGAAAAGAAATTACGAAAATACTCACAGTAAGTGCCTTATCAACTAGTCGTAACATACTTTATATTCTCTTTTACTTGAAAGTAAAATATCAATAGGTAGTGAATCACAAATTTAATTACGAGGACATTTAGTCATTATCTAAATGCCCAAATGCTAGTATTGTATTACGTGTACTTTATTATATGATTAAAAAAGAAAATTTAAAAACAAATAACTCAAACTCTTACAAGTTGATTAACTAGTGAATCAGATCATCCACGGACCACTGTCACTTAGGCATCTACTTCACTTACCTCATATTTTCTTACAATTAACAATCATTTTTTTTTTTAAAGAGAATTATTAATCATCAATTAATAAGATAAACCGTACTCCGTATTAATTTAATAAGGTTTCAAAAAAAAAAAAATGAAAACCTTACCATAATTTCATTATTTAAGCCATTTTTTAATAAAGCACCTCCATTACATTTTACCCTAGAAATATTTAGTCATTAACACAAATCAAGCCAATTTAAAAAAAAAAAAAAAAAAAGAAAGAAAAACACATAAAATAAGTTCTCGGGTTTGAGCAGCAGCTGCACCTTCGACCTCAAATCCCAAAATTCTCTCTCTTACATATTTTCTCCTTTCTATCTTTCTCTCTCCCCCCTTTGAAATAAAATTCCCTAAAAATTTGTCCAATTAAACTTTTTCTTGCTTCTTTCCGTCTGAAACGTTTCAGGTTCGTCTTATTCAATCGATCTATTATTACACTAACACTTTTCTTGTCCGATTTCTATTACTTTGTCTGTCTATTTATCTATTTTACCCCCAATTTTATTCATTCTTTTCTGGAGATTTTTTTTTTTTTTTTGTAGTTCAACTTCTAGTTAGGGTTTTTGAGTATTTGGGATTAGGATCCTCTTTAATTTCTTACTCGATTCTGATTTTCTTTGCTTCTCTACTCAATTCATTTTTGGTTGACGCAACTGTTAGGTTTAATTTGGTTAGGGTTTTTGCCTTCCAATTTATTAATTTTTTTTTGATTGATTTTTTTTGATGTTATTGATTGATTGTATAACTATACTTGCTGCTGAATTTGTTGATTACTTTACATATTTTTGTTTTCATTTTGTGCATTTTGTGCTCTATGTTTCAGTGTACATGCAGATGTTTTCGTTGTTGTTATGATATTGTAATTGTTTTGTTACAGTGGGAGGAGCTGATAGGGTGTAGTTGGCGGAGTTTTCGGTTTATTTATGCCTGCAACTATGACCGAGGAATCTGCTTGTGGAAGGTCGTTGGAGAGATTATCGAGTGCGCAACGCTGCCATTCAAGTGATGCATTGGTTGAATGTCGGTCTTCCGATCAGGTTGAGAATGGCACCCCTTCGACTTCACCTCCGTATTGGGATATTGATGGCAGTGATGATGATGGAGGTAATTTTGGTTCATTTTACTCCACCTCTGCTTATTACTGCTGTTTTAAGTTTTATCGTCACTGCTTAAGAAAGTTAATAAGGAATCAATGAATGCGCTTTACATGGTTTTCGCAAAGGATGCCAAAGATACTGAAATTTCCTGCTGATAATTTGCTCGATGGAGTAGTGCAAAAGGGAATGATTGGCCTAAGATACTCTTAAAGAAAGTGCTCTCTTATGGCCTTTGAAATATAAATGTTACTCAACTACCACTTCTAAGTATATCGTCAAGCATATGGGAGCAATAGTCTTTCATGTGTCGTTATATGTAATGTTGTCTTATCAAAGGAACATTTTTAAGATTTGACCACGGAAAGCTGAAAATTTGTATTTGTATATGGTGACATTCAACTTTGAGTACCTAAGATTAGCGGAAACTCTCAAAAGGTAGGATATCCCTTTTTTTGAAGCTGGAAACTTGAAGAAATTTTTGGAATACCTATTCCCTAGCTATAAGCTAGTTTTCCCTTCCTATGGATCTTCAAAGTCACTAACAACCTTGTAAATACAAATACCAAACTTCAGTTGTCGATAAGTGTTTGAGCCTCATAAGTTTCTCATGTCTCGTAACTGATTATAAACTTTAAAAGAACTCGAATTTTGATATTTTATCAAGAAATCGGGGTCTTGAATGTATGGTAAATTGCAACCACGGTGTAATATGGAGACATTTTTAAAGTATTTCATCCGTTTTATTATAGTTATAACACTCCAGCTTGGCAATCATTTTAAGAAAGCATTAGATTAAGTGAATGGACAACTTAATTTTAATAATTTTAACATCAATAAGAAAAAGTGTTAAGTTGTTATGGTTTAAATTTCTCAGATTGATTCATTCATTTACCTCTCTAATTCCCTTCCTCATATAGTGTGCCAAGATGGTGTGTTGCAACAATAAAGAAGCGGAGGAAGTATTAAATTTGTTTAGTGGTTTGATAATATGTTTTGATTATAAAACACTCACTGGCAAGTTTTTGACTTTTATGTATCCAAGCTGTAATGGATCACATAATATTGCTGTGGAAACTGTTGTGTAATGTTCTTTCTATTGGCACATGTATTGGCAAGGTCATCCTTGTGCTTTACCCCAGTTTAGATGACTTGAGATCCTTGTTTGATTTCTTGCAGGGCCAAAACCTGTTGATCTGTATGGTAAGTACACATGGAAGATTGATAGTTTTTCGACAATCAACAAGAGAGAGCTTCGAAGTAATGCTTTTGAAGTTGGTGGCTACAAGTGGTTAGTTACTTAAGCCGTATTGCCTTGCTATAATTGTTACCTTTTTTTTTCCTTCTCCCTTTTTGTCATATTTCTTGTATGCTCTGTGAAGGTCAAGGTTTGTCTATTATATTAATTTTATTTATTGTGACATATTACCTCTACCTTCTTTTGATGCTTTCCCCCATCATTCTCTGTTATACTATTTGTGTGCTGTCCCATGTAATATTCCTTTCCAATGTCTCTGTGTTTATCCCTGTGCATCCTTGTGTCAATTCATGTTTTGATTTCTTAGTAGCATTTAATTTGCATGTGCCTTCATGAATTATGGAATACACAGTCCATATAAACTCCATACTAATGTGATTGCTGAAGATATTTGTTTGTACTTTGCACTCTACAAGCCTATATGAAGTTTCGCTTGGTTAAAGAAGTTTTGATCGTGGCCATGTATATTGATGTTCATTTTCTTAACGTTTACTGTATAAAGGTTAATGAAATAATAGTTGTTAGCATTTGGGGCTGCATTCAGTGATTTTAATTTTGTGTCATAATGTTACTTCTGCTTTTGGCAGGTACATTTTGATCTACCCCCAGGGCTGTGATGTGTGTAATCACCTTTCTTTGTTTCTTTGTGTAGCAAACCATGATAAGCTTCTTCCAGGTTTGTTTCATTTGTCCAGTTACATTATTCATGTCCTTGACTTCCCCACCACCTCTACTATATTGATTTCAAAGCTCTGTTCACCTAACTGTTTCTCATTTTTGGTGAGCAGGATGGAGCCATTTTGCTCAATTCACTATTGCTGTGGTGAATAAAGACCCAAAAAAATCAAAATATTCTGGTCAGTAATTGAAAATGTGTCTTGATCTTTGGACGTGTTTTTAAATGGTTTCTCTGATGTTAATACGATATGCACAAAAATACTGCAGACACATTACACCGTTTTTGGAAAAAAGAGCATGATTGGGGGTGGAAGAAATTTATGGAGCTATCTAAAGTGTCAGATGGTTTTGTGGAAGAAGATGCGCTTGTTATTAAGGCTCAAGTTCAAGTTATCAGGTAGTTTTCTTAATAAATATCCCTATATTTTTTTTAGAGAGATAAGTCTTCTGTATTAAGATAAGACTGGATTTTCTTCTGAAAAGCTTTAATGTTTGTTGATTGTATACAACTATTTAAGCCAGTCATGGGCTCATGGCATCATAACTATTGTAATTTGTCTGCTTGTTCAGAATTCATCCTCTAAAAGCAACAGGTTTTGATTTATGTAACCTACTTATATCATGGGTTTGCTTACTAGATTGAATTTTAGAGAAATGTTTCTCAGCCTGATGTCCATTACCAAGGGATGGCAATATTAAATGGATATCCGCTAACTTGCTCCACCTGCTTTAAATAAATGGCATAAAACCCGAATTAAATGGATGATAAGCGGGTAATAAATGAAGCGGGTGATGGATCGGATCGGATGTGGATGATACTTTACTTCACCCGCTAACCATCTACCCACCTGTTTAACATATATTATTTTTTTTATCTTGATGTTCAGCCCATTGCCATCTCTAATTACCATATTGAAGTATTATTTGACATTCCTGTTTTACTTTGACATCAAACTTGCTGTTTAGTGGTCTGTTTTGTACAACTAATCAAGCTGGAACTGTCAAAACACGTGCCCAGGGTGTGCAATTTAGAATTGAACTAGCCTTCTAGCCCGTGCGGGTTGTTTATTGAAAGTTGTATTGAAAGGTAATGATTGAGGAAATACCAATAAATCATTATGGGGTGTAATGTGTAATCTAAAATATAATTAAAGAAATTAGATTTTTAGGGCTCTAATTCAAAATGAGGCTTTAAAGAAAGAAGGTGAAGGAACTAAAATTAAAGAGAAAAAAGGAAAAGGTTGAATTGAATAGGGGAGATGAATAAGAAGTGTGTATGAGAGATGAAAATATAAGTTTAATGAATTAATTAAGATAGTGTAATAAAAAATTAAAAAAAAAAATGTAAGAAGACATGTGGCACATCTAGTGTAAAAGAAGCTAGAAAAGTGTAATAGAATGGAGACATGTGTATTTTCCGGTTAGAGTTTTTAAATACTAAGTATAGATTATGGAAATCTGCTGGGTTGACAATGTGATTGACTTATATGTCAAGTCCTTTTATTCAGTGCATGGAATTATGTTTCTTCAAAGTTGTTTAACTTGATTTTGACCAGTTTCCCATAGATAACCATTAGTAATTTATGATTTTATACTTGTATGCCAAGCAGCTGTGTACCGTTGTATGAAGTTATCTTATTGCTGATTTGTCTTTTGCTTGTAGGGAGAAAGCAGATCGGCCATTTCGTTGTCTTGATTGTAATTATAGAAGAGAACTTGTTCGGGTGTACTTGACCAATGTTGAGCAAATATGTCGGCGTTTTGTTGAAGAGAGAAGAGGGAAGCTGGGAAAGTTGATAGAGGACAAAGCTAGGTGGTCAAGGTAGTGTTTCTATATCTATGAACTCAATCTTTGTCATTGCCGACAGCATTGTGAAATGGCTATGTTGACATGATATTTATCCCTCTGTTGTTAAACAGTCAGTTCATGGTAGATCTTAGTCTAAAATGGCTCTTTTCTGTTACTATATTCCTGTACCGATGAAATAAAAAGTTGATGTACATTGTTGTTCCCACATGTTAATATTTTTCCGTAACCATAAATCATAAATTTTAGTCAAAGCATAGCATGTGAGTAGTGCGTAAGTCAAAGTGCTGCAATTTTAGTGAAATGGAGGAAGTATATGTATATCTGAAGTAATAATTGCATTCCAAAATTTTTAATTGGATTTCCCCTCTCTTGTGAATTGTGTATTATATGTGTATATATGTTATCTTTTTTTACAAAAATGTGAATGAATATCTTTTCTATTAATTGCTATGCAAATTTTAATCGGTTTTTTGTTCTTGCAGCTTTTGTGCATTTTGGCTAGGAATGGATCAAAATACTAGGCGTCGCATGTCGAGGGAAAAGAAGGAGATGATATTAAAAGTTGTTGTGAAACATTTTTTCATAGAGAAAGAAGTCACATCTACTTTAGTTATGGACTCATTGTACAGTGGGCTAAAAGCTCTTGAAGGTCAAAGCAAGGGCAAAAAAGGAAAGGGGAAATTGATAGAGGGTGAGGATACACCTGCTCCAATTGTTAGAGTAGAAAAGGATGTTTTCATTTTGGTAGATGATGTCCTATTACTTCTTGAGAGGGCTGCCATGGAGCCGTTGCCTCCGAAAGATGACAAGGGTCCTCAGAACCGTACAAAGGTGAGTTGTATTTAAGATTTGTTTCTTTCTCCGTGTATTCAGGGTCAGCATATTTGTGTACCTGGTCATTATGTTTGGCATCCACTGTAGCTTTCATATAAATTTGTTGAACTAAAATTGTGGCTTGTTCTTCCTATATTATTTGGTTTTAGAAGCACCCACCATTGGATTCTTGTGGATGTTACTTTTCATTTTCCATTTCAGGTCCTATTCATATGTGCATGGAGTCATTACAGTTTTTGTTTAAGAAAAATATTTGTGTTGCCTTATTTATATATAGTATTTAGTTGTGTTTTATTTTTGAAATTATTTTAATATTTGAAGTATCATCACTACAAGAGTACAAGTATTTTGTTGTTTCAATGATAAGTTTCGACTGCTGCAATTTAGTTGACTGCATGTTGCTGATAGTTTGGTGATTTTTGCTGTGGCCTTCTTTGAGCACTACTAGCTGTGTTATGTTTATTGCAATATGGTACCAGCTCATAATACTAAAATAGTATTGAGCATTAAACAAGTACTGGATTTTATTTATTTTTATTATTATTTATATTTATTATTATTTTTTTTATTATTATTTTTTTTATTATTATTTTATCATTTGTGGACCTTAATAAAGTTTATTGCTTTGGAGGATGGAGATATTTTCTATCCCTTGGCCCCTTGTATTTACTTGTTCGTTTCCCTTCATTTTAGTGAGAATCCATATCTTGTGTAATAGTTGTTTGAATAAATTGACACATCTAGTGGTTTGCTTAGGATGGAGGTAGTGGAGAGGATTCCAATAAGGACTCAATCGAGCGTGATGAAAGGCGTTTGACGGAATTAGGCCGAAGGACAGTGGAAATTTTTGTACTCGCCCATATTTTCAGGTCATTAAATCTTTTTAAAGCTGCTCTTCATACTAAATGTCTTTTTTGTGGCATAACTGTTTCTAATACAGTCTTTACATTACAGCAACAAAATTGAAGTGGCCTACCAGGAGGCTGTTGCACTAAAGAGACAAGAAGAGCTCATCCGTGAAGAGGAGGCTGCAGGGCTAGCTGAGAGTGAGAAAGCAAAGCGAGGTGCTGGTGAGAAAGACAAAAAGTCAAAGAAAAAACAGGTTGCTATTTTTTGTGACGTTCAGAATCTGATGCTCAAAGTAATTTAGCAACAAAAGTGCATAATTGTCTAAGGGGACTATTTGTTTTCTTGAAAACCAGTATCTGGCTGGATATGAATTATGATGAAGAAAAAGGGAACTGCTTGTAATAGTGGTTCTATTTGCATTAGTGCTAAGAAAGTTTTATTACTGTCAAGGTCAAGTGATATAATGGGATAATCTCTTCATTTGCATCAGTGCTAACTTGCAAAGAACTAAAATATCATTTAGATAACTTACTGTCCATTCTTTAAGGTTGAACATTGTTTATTTTAACACTGAGTTTTTTTTTTTTTATATATTTTTATTTATTTATTTTAAAATTATACTGTCTGTCCAGGAAAAATATTCTGCTAGGCTTTATCACACTAATTAAGGAACTTAGAAGGGTTTGGGTTGAGCATGTGGTAGAAAGAGAATTGGTGGAGGGTTCCACTTTACATGAGTTGATTAAGAAAATTTTCCATTTAAGTAACAGTAAGATAATTTGTGAACATCCTCAAATGGAATATGGGATGATTATTTGTGGACTGAGGGAGTTATATATATATATATATATATTGGATGTGGACTTGAAATGTTTGGCGATACTAAAATGTTTTATATACTTTATGTAGACATATGTTTAAACAATTGCCAAGTTGGACTAAGGTTCTAATTGTTGTGTTTTATTTTTGAACAAAAGGCCAAACAGAAGAGAAATAATCGCAAAGGAAAGGACAAATTGAAGGATGATAAACCTGTTGTCACAGCACAAGAGAAACATCTGCTTGAAAATTTGACTGCTGCAGGGAAAGGCCTGGTAGAGCCCGAAACTGTGACTGACAAGAATGACACACTTGACTATGTGTCTGATGTGTCTGATTCTGTGGAATGTGCTGTGGACATGCTACGGCTTGATTCAGAAGATAGAGATGCAAGTCCTGTTAACTGGGACACAGACACATCAGAGATTCACCCTCCTGCAGAAGCCAGTGGTAGCGAAGTAAGCAGTATATCAACGGTGCAAAATGGAGTAGCAGATAAGAGGAGCTCATCTATAATGGATGATAGTTCCTCCACTTGCTCTACTGATTCTGCTCCTTCCATTGTATTAAATGGATCATACAGATCAAATTCCTTTACAAATTATAATAGCCAGAAATCACCATCAAGGTAAATGTCTGGCCACTACCTATCTTAGAGCAATTGTGATCCATTTTTTGACGATGAGATTTGGTTTTGTAGAGGAAAGATCCATCAAGGAAAGGGATCATCTGAGGAATTTAGTGGTGGAAATGATGTAGATATTTGGCCATCTGAACCAACTGAAGCTGTTTTCTGTAATGATGCTTCACCCAGTCGCAAAGCAGTTGAATTTAACGAGTCTGAGGGTGCTGTCACTTCCTTGCAAGATAGGACAAAGTGGCCGGAGCTGAATTCAGTAAAAAAGGTGAGTATTGTATTGTTATATTCTTGCTGTTTAATCTGATTTATCTCGCCATTTTTTTCTTTCTATGATCCATTTGCTTATTACTTGACATGTTTGGATGAGACTGTTATGCCGTGGTTGTTTTGAATGATGTTTGTTTTCCTGGTTGATGTCGAGACTGTTATTGCATTCAGAAGGGTTTGGCAATATGGTAATTGGTATTGTAGTTCTCAGAATTTCACTAAAGAAGACTCGGCTTGTGTCGTTTTGTTATTGGGTTTTTATGCATTATCTTGTAGGATGTCTTCATTTCTGTATTATTTGTGGTTATTCCAGACACCGCACTTTATATAAGTTGCGAACTTGAATCTTTTATTTAACTAAGTATCATGGCTATTGCCCCAAAATGGTTTGTTTGGTTTAGCAGGAAGATGATGTTGTGTTGCCGCAGAGAAAGCCAAGTAAGAAGGACAATAAGGAGCATAAAGATCATATTGATACAGTACTCTCCCAGGAAAGAGTGGCAGTGGCACCACAATCATCAAATTGCCCTCCCAGAAATACAACTCCTGCACCGGCAGTTAAGCCAAATTCTAGCTTGAAAATTGGTCCTCATACTGATGTGGTTACATCTGTGAAAACATTTTCAAATGGACATTTACAAACTGATAGGGCAACTTTGATGACATCATACTATACAGCATCTGCGTCAAAACCTGATTCGACAAAGGCTACCATTCTTAAACCGGTTGAGAAGCTTGCTGGACAGCAAGTTGCAGGATTGTCAAGGCCATCAAGTGCTCCTCTTATCCCTGGGACCCTACCAGCTCCCCCAGTTGTATCCATGGTGCAAGCAGCTGCTTCAAGCGCTCCATTGTTGTCCCGTTCAAGTAGTGCTGCTGGACGCCTGGGTCCAGATCCTTCCCCAGCAGCAGCCCATCCCTACGTTCCGCAGTCCTGTAGGAACGCCATTATGGGTAACTCATTTAGTGCAAGCTCTGGTGGTTTCACGCATCCATCCCAGCTAGCAAGTTCAGGGGTGAACACATCAACTACATTCTCTCACCAGCATTCCTTATTATCCAACCCTGTATATCTCTCTCAGGCTTCTGAAAGGATGGAACCTAATGGTGTCAGTTCAAGCATGTCTTTTACTGCTAATCATCAGGATGAGGCTCTAGGTCAGCAATGGATGGGGAGCCCCCAGAGAGATATTAGCAGAAGATTGATGTATGATTCTCAATCAATGCTTAATGATACACCAAATTTTGATTTATATCGACCCATGAACAGTGTACCCCATGAATTCTTCCCCTCGGAATTGCCAGCTGTTACTTCCGGTCGTTTGGTCCAGACTGCATTGGCTGATGAATTTCCCCACCTAGACATCATCAATGATCTTCTTGATGATGAGCAGGTTATTGGCAGGACTTCACATGGGAACACAGGTTTCCAGGGTCTTGGCAATGGTCCCACCCTTTTCAATCGGCAGTTGAGTTACTCTACTGATATGAGCCTATTGAGCGAAGCAGGATCTCTGGGCAGCTCTTGTAGGTTTGATAGATCTAGGAGTTACCCTGATGATGGCTTCCAGCAGGATTATGGTGCAGGCAGTCCTTATGATTCAGTCAGAGAGTTCATCCCTCAAGGTAATCCTATGCCTTATATGAATGGTCAGGTTGATAGTTTAGTGCCAAACCAGTGGCAATTGGTGGGTCCTGATCTATCGTTGCTAAGCATGAGGAATTCAGGGGTGGATGGCTACTCTTATAATATTCCAGAGTACTCAAATATGACATGTGGCGTAAATAATAATTACGCTATGTTCAGGCCTTCCAATGGACATTAAAGGGCCATTTTAGATAACATTTGTAATAAGTAATGAAGGGAATTTGGTCTTGGAATCGGGTGGTTGTAATCCTGAGAAACAACATTCTGTAAAGAGTGATGCTGGCTTATTTGCTTTCAGTTTTTAGTTGATACACATGAGGCTTTTGTTCTTTTGTTTCTGGGCATTCTTTGCGACGCAACCTGATCTTCTGTCGGTATGGCTTTTGCTTGTGAGCATGTCATGTGTCTATTAGAACTTTCAAAGCATCACATTTCTCTATTTACATCCACAGAATTTCGATGGTATAAAAGCAGAGTTGCGAGCTTATTAGCAGAGGTGTTCATTAAGATTTTAATAGACACATGACACGCATATGACCAACACTTAACTAGTCAACGTCTTACAATTTAAGTTTATGATGAAAATCCGGCGATTGGTATTTTCTTGCAAAAAATTTCTTTTAAAAGGTGTAGTAGTTTATTGCCAGATTTTTTTTAAAAAATAATAAATATGCTTGTTAATTGAAAAAAAAAAATCAAAAAAATAAAAATAAAAAAATAAATTACACCTCCAAAAGTTTTAATAAAAAAAAGAGCTCAAATGTTGTGTCCAAAAAAAAAAAAACAGGTTGTGAAAAATAAAAGTACTGTTAGGTACCTCTTCCACTTTCTTTATTTGCAACAACATTTATTGCATGCACTTTGAGGAAGAGGTTAGGTAATGTATAAAGTCAAATATTAATTAAAATAGGGAAATTTCCATTGGTATACCCGTGGTTTTGACTTTTCCCATTGATACACTTCAAAAAATTTGCCTTCCCATCGGTACACCCATGGTTTGGTCTTTTTCCCAACCGTGACCAACAACGTTAAAAAGTATTTCATTAAGTTAAAATAATTAAGGAAAAGACTATAATACCCCTTTTAAACATCTAATGTCTCAATTTGCGTGTCGAAAATTGTTCGGTTAAAGTTTTGGGTGTCCTAGTCGTTAAGGATCCAAATTAACTTCGAAATTAGCAAAAAAATAACACAAATGTCTCATGTGCGTGTCAAAAAGCCTCGATTTGCGTGCCATTACTTTTTTGTGATAATAATTGTTCGGTTAAGGTTTTAGGAGTCATTTTGTCCCTTTATGGATCTAAATCGAACTCGAAATTGTCAAAAATTTAACAAAAATATCTCATTTTGCACGTCATGATATTTCTTTTTTGTTTTGTCATGACACGCAAAACGAGACATTTTCGTTAATTTTTTTACAATTTTGAGTTCGATTTAATTAGACTCTTAAAGGGTCAAAATGACCCCTAAAACATTAACCGAACAATTACTATCACAAAAAAGTAATGGCACGCAACCGAGACAATTTTGACACGCACATGAGACATTTGCGCTATTTTTTTTGCTAATTTCGAGGTTTAGATCCTTAAAGACTAACATGACTTCCAAGTGTTCCAACACTTTAACCGAACAATTTTCGACACGCAAATCGAGACATTAGATATTTAAAAGGGGTATTTTAGTCTTTTCCTTAATTATTTTAACTTAATGAAATACTTTTTAACGGTGTTAGTCACGGTTGGGAAAAAGACTAAACCTTGGGTGTACCGATGGAAAGGCAAAATTTTTGGAGTGTATCAATGGGAAAAGTCAAAACCACGGGTGTACCAATGGAAATTTCCCATTAAAATAATTTATACATGATGTAGCTAACGTATCCCTTATCTTAGTTCTCCATTCATGGTGTTAAACTTATTTTGATAAATTTGCTCATTTACTTACTCTAATCAATGATGTGTTGCAATGAAATGAAAACGAATGGAGTACTAATACTCGTATAAAGTTTTATAAAATCAATTGTGCATCGCCATGTGTGTTAATTTAAGTTTAATTTTATCAATTATTCAGATGTAGAGGCAACAATAAGATTATAATGAATGTGCATTTTTTTTTTGTCTATTCAATACTCCGTATCTTTTTCTTTTTTCTTTTTTTTTTTGAACAATTTTTTAAATTATTATTTTATTTTTATTAATTGATCTTTGTTTATTTGGAGGATTATTATTCCAATGTATGTTAAATTAGGACAACCCAAAAACAACTTTACTACAAAGTAACTTTTTAGGGTGACAAAATGACACTCATATATTGATCACAAATTAAATTCTCAATCTATTAAAAACATTTGTCATGGTAATAGTCATGGTTTTTTTGTGAGATTTGACTTGATATGTTGATCCAAAAAACTATTGTTTCATAATTACAATTATATAAAAATATAAGTAAAGTAAATAAAAATTACGGCTATTTCACCAAATGCCACTGAGCAATTTAAAAATTCACCAAAGGTCATCGGACTTTTCAGAATTCACCAAATGCCACCCAATTTTTAAAAAATTCACCCGGTGCCTTTAATGACCAACGACCGTTAACTCCGTTAGTAATTAGGGGTTAATCATAAGACGTGTCATGATGTAATTGGACCATTTATCTTAATTCATAAAAATTTAAAAAAAAAACAAAAAAAGTTAAAAAAAGTAAAAATTTTAAAAAAAACCCTCCAAAATTTTCCCAGCCACCCCACCACCGCCAAACCCTAGTCCCTCCCCTCATCTCGCCGGAAAACGGCCGGTCACCACCGGAACCACCAACAATCGGACGGTCGACCCTGTAGCTCCCCACCTGACCCACCGCCGACCCCAAAACCTCCCTCACAAACTGCCCCGACCCCATAAAACCGCAAACACGAGCATCACCTACCCTAAAAACCACCCACACAGCCGCCCATACTCTAATAACCACCAGTAAAAAGCCTCTCCTCCCTTTTCCCACCGTCGAAACGACCGATTTTGAGGGTGGGGAAAGGGAGGAGGGGCTTTTTACGGGTGGTTTTTGGGGTCGAGGCGGATGTGTAGGTGTTTTTGAGGTCGAGACGAGCAGTGTGGGACCGTGGGTGGTTTTGGGGATCGGTGGTGGGTCAGATGGGGAGCTACAGGGTCGGCCGGCCGATTGTTGGTGGTTCCGGTGGTGACCGGCCGTTTTCCGGCGAGATGAGGGGAGGGGTTAGGGTTTGGCGGTGGTCGGGGTGGCTTGGAAAATTTTGGGTTTTTTTTTTTATTTTTTGTTTTTTATTTAACTTTTTTTTGTTTTTTTTTTAATTTTTATGAATTTAGATAAATGGTCCAATTATGTCATGACATGTGTCATGATTAACCCCTAATTACTAACGGAGTTAAAGGCCGTTGGTCATTAATGACACTGGGTGAATTTTTTAAAAAACTGGGTGACATTTGGTGAATTCTGAAAAGTGATGGGATTTGGTGAATTTTTAAATTGCTAAGTGACATTTGGTGAAATTTCCATAAAAATTAATACTATACGAAGTTAAGACCGTCAATGGACACCATTAAAAATACGCATCCAAGAATAATCTTTACATATCTTTGAAAACATTTAATCAAATACTGTATGTATTTGACCAATTCAATATAATATATGTTAAAATTTTGAAATCAATTTATACACAAGTGAGCGTGCATGCCTATAACTATTGCCTAGTTAGAAATTAGGAACAATTAGAATTAAATTAGCAACAGGGTCAATAATATATACATGTACATCAAATTAAATTGATAATTTTTGTTTAAAAAAAAATAAAATAAATTGATAATTTAGTACAACCGTTATTTGAAAAATGACTACCGTAAAATTTTAATGATATATAATATGATCGGATCATTTTTTCATGTTATAAAATGCCCACACAATTAGTTTTATAATATCTACAATATAAATATAAATTTTGAAAATTTTCATCCAACATATAATAAATATTGTTTTGAGAAACTATAAAATAAGAATAAAAAATACATAAATAAAACTAAAAATTTGATAAATAAAAAAGTGTTGATAATACTTTTTAATACCATTAATAAAGTAATATAATTAATCTATCTATACTTAGTATTTAAAAACTCTAGCCACAAAAATCCAAGGAAGCCACGTGTCATCATCCTACTACATTTCCCCGTTATTTCTATTGCAACCCAAGAAAGCCAGGCCACGTGTCTTCTTTAATAAGAGAACCACAAAAATCCAAGCCAAGGTAGTATGACTCAATTCATCTTTTCACTCCGAAAGCCTTTTCATATCTCTCTTTAATTTTAGTATTGATAGCTTCAACTTCTCCAATTCTCTCTTTAATTTTAGCATTAATCCGGCTCAACCTTCCTACTCTTTCATCTAGCTTCACTTCGAATTAAATTACCAATTACTATCTTTAATCAAGTTTTCGGTTACACTTTACCCCCAAAATAATTTATTTATTGGTATTATGATATATCTCCAAAATAATTTATGCAATTCTAACACTATATAACAAAGTTACTTCATTATCAAATTCATTCTTTTTTACTATATCAATTGTATGCTGAGAGGGAACATTATCAAATATACGGTGTATTATGCTCAATATTCAAATACATATAAAACTAAAATATAATATCCTTATAATAAGCCCGTACGTCGTACGGGCCCATAAGCTAGTTACTTACAAAAAACATGTCAGCTATAAACTATATATAACCATCAAAACAGTATGTTACATATTTCAAACGACTATTATTGTATGGAGTAAAATTTTTAGATAATTTTATCATTTACTACATCAAATTATCAGTTGTTCATTTGTGCATACATTCCTAACAAAGATAAATTAGTAAGGGCCTATTCATTTCAGCTTAATTTCATTTCAGTTTAGTTCAGCTCCAATCAATTCAGTTTAATTCAGCTCCTAATTTCCTTCTCTCATAAAATATTCAATTCAACTCTATTCAGTTCAGTTCAGATCAGTTCAGTTCAGATCAGTTCAGCTCCAATCAGTTCAGTTCAGCTCCATTTAGTTAAGCTCCATTCAATAAATGTAAAGAAACCCTAAATACCCCAGTTTTTGGAATTTGCATGAGCTAATGTTTAATTATTATGAACTCTTATTAATTGCTCGATATATATATAAACAAATTAATAGAGAAATTTACGTTACTAAAGTTAATAATATTGCTCTTGATGGTGTTAGTGTTCTGCCTCGCTCCCGCTACGCCTCATGCCCATGTCTTACATACCACGTATAAAATCATTTGATATGTGATAGACAAACTAGAGATATTGTTATATATTTATATACATCCGGGTGTACCATATACTCATGGGTATTTTGTACTTATTTTGATGATTAATCTTGGATTAATTGGGTGTACAGTACACCCGAGTGTATATAACAAAGTCTAGACAAACTAAGATTACCATTAGTGAGAGTCTGAGACAGGATTTAGATGCATATGCACGTTGTGCATCGCATTTTTTTCATTTCTCTTACATGTACACACTTTATTTATTTCTTAGTATTTTTAGCTCCTTTATTATACTCCATATGACAAAATATTAAACATAGTACATATTTCATATGTACTTGCATGCAAATTAAAACTAAAGATACAATAAGACAACATAGGACATAAATAAGTGTTATTACTCCCTCTATGTTTAAATAAGTGTTACAAGTTTACCAAACACGCATGTTGAGACACGATTTTGACCATAAATTTATCTAGTTATATGTCAGTAAAATTATCTAAAATTGATATTATGAAAGTATATATTATAATGAATCCAACAATGTATTATACATAACATTTGTTTATTATACATTACTAAATTAATCAAGTCAAAATCATTGTGTGAATAGTGAAAAAAATCAAACCGTAACACTTATTAATATAAAACACGGAGGGAGTAATAATCTTTGTAATACTACAAAGCTCGCTAATCTGATAGAGCTTTGGTTTGGCGTCAACTAGTCAAATACATGATTTCGTTACATAAAAGAGCTATTTGAGCATCCTGGAATTAATGGTCAGCTGCTCAATTGACCTGCTAATGGCAGTCAGAAACAACCTAACTTGCTTTTGGTGTTGGAATGAATCAATTAAATTGAATTTAAGACTGCATGCACTTTAACATTGACATATATAATGAGTAATGACCAAAGCTATTTGACATAATATGATCCACTTGAGGTCATACTTTTACATACTTAAATTGTATTAGGTCATTTCAAAAATTGTGTACTAGCTAGTTTTACACCGTACTCAGTAATAGCTAGTAGTGAGTGTTAGTTAGGACAATTATTGCACACTTTTATTGACATAAGTAGGATCTACTTGTTAGAATTATGGTTTTTGGAAAAATTGATTTTTATTAGCTAAGATATACGGAGTACTCTTAATATAAGTTGTGACCTTGAAATTAAAAAATGCATGTTTGACAAATTAGTTACCGCTCATGTCATTGTATAGAGAAATAAACTTTTTTTTTTTTTTTTTTTTTTTTTTTTTTTTTTTTTTTTTTTAAGAATAGACCTTAAAAGTTTATTTTTTATAGAGAAATAAACTTTTAAGGTAGTAAATAAAAAAAATAATAAAAAAAAAAAATCAAACCGCAATCTCTATCTTTTTAAAAGTTTAACTAAATGCTTATGAATAGTCTTATACCAATTATATTTCTAAAAATGTCTATTTATTTATATACCCTCATTTATGCATACGAATCATATGTATGGTATTTTTATTTTTATTTTTTTTACCGGTGTAGTTTTTTGGCTTTTCTTCCTTATCTTTTAAACAGTTTGATATAACTCTTATAATTAGTGTTTAGACAATTATATACCCTTTAGGGGGCGTTTGGTTCGCGGAATATAGGTATGAGGTATGGGTTTAGAAGGACTAAAACCCATACCTTATGTTTGGTTGTCAAAAGTATGATTTTCAAACCCATACCTCAAACCCATGAGGTATGGGGTTTAGAAACCTTGGGGGGGAGGTGGGTTTGGCCCATTCCATTCCCCTAGGTATCAAATATAAGGAGGGAAGAATGAAGGAAACAGGAAAATTACCGCCAAAGTCCATCTTCTCTTCTGTCGTCATATTCATCCTTCACCCTTGAGCTGTTGAGCAGCAATAGTTCAGCCTTCATCCAGGTAATTCTTTTTTTTTTTTTAAATTTAATTAAAACCTTGTTCTTAAGGTATTATCAGTGACACAGTGATGCATAATTTGTTTCTTAATACGGATGGTACAGATTTTATCATGTTGATTACCCTCCCACGAATTTTCGTTGATTGATTAGAGATACATAAGTATTCACACATAAATTAATGATAACATATGGCAATAGATGAACACTTTTTTGAAGATGCTTGTGATTTGACTGAACGGTTGAATGTTGTACTGCTGAATTTGGATAATCATATCTCTTTGGTTGGACTCATGTAAATTCCATGTTTGGCATCCCAGTAAATCTTGTTCTTATTTTATGATATTTCCCTTCTTTTTTTTCTTCACTTTTTCTCCAAATTTGTTGTATAATTATTCTGCATAGCTATATATTTTTATCAAAGTAGTCATATTTTGTATGAAATTTATTGAATTTTATCATAATAATTGTATATATTTAGCAGATTTTTTATTAACTCAAAAAAAAATTACCGACATATAATTGTGAAATAGTTTTGATGTATGAAATGGATGTTCATTATTGCGGGTCCACTATTGTGAGCTATCTTTGATTTCATTAGCATATATACATACTACCTGTTGACTTTTCTTTCTTAATTCTTTGTGTGGATTGCCGATTGCATGCCTTTCTTTGGCTTTTGCTCTTGTATTTTTCTTTTTGCTCCCACCAAAGGTTGTATATATATTAGGCAAAAAGGCACTTAGACAATGAAATAAGAATATTAGGAAAACATATGAGTAAATACTAATAATCAATTTATAGGGTAATCCTTTTTGTGTTGTGTTTTTACAGAAATGGAGTCATGTGGACTATCCTTGTTAAGGAGGAAGAGAAAGCGACAAACAGAACTACTTGTATCTTTAATAGTTATAATAAATTTCATGATTCTCATGTATTTCGTGCTACGTAGTTTAGGTGTAACTCTACATAAAATACACCGAATTAGAGATAAGAAACGTAATATATTAGTTAATTTAAACTCGTTGATTAGAGATAGTGATGTTGCCTGTAGGAGTGAACTGCGTATGAACAGACATACTTTTGGTGTACTTTGTGAGATGATAAGCGATATTGGTGGATTGAGAGGGACTAGAAATATGAGCTTACAGGAGATTGTAGCTATGTTTTTGTATACATTATCTCATCATAAAAAGAATAGGTCGATAGGACATTACTTTTATAGGAGTGGAGAAAGTGTTAGTAGACAATTTAACCTTTGTCTCCTTGCGGTTCTAAAGCTACATCATCACTTGCTCAAAAAACCTACACCTATTACAGAAGATTGCGAGGATAGTAGATGGAAATGCTTCCAGGTATATTTAACATTATTAAAATATTATATAAAAAAGCTCATTCTTTAATTGATTAAAAGCAATGTTCTATATACATCCTATGTAAATAATCTAGTGTATTTTCATTTTAATTGTAGAATTGCTTAGGAGCTCTAGATGGTACATTTATTAAAGTTCATGTTCCAAATGAGGATAAAGGAAGGTATCAAACAAGGAAAGGAAACCTTGCAATGAATGTTTTAGGTGTTTGTACACCTAACATGGAATTTGTTTTTGTCTTACCTGGATGGGAAGGCTCTGCACATGATGGTCGTGTTTTACGAGATGCAATTTCGAGGCCTAATGGTTTAAAGGTGCCTCAAGGTAAACCATATGATTAAAAATAACCATATGATATATAACAATTTTGATTACTACAACTAATAATGATTTCAATCTATTCTATGATTTTTAAGGTTGTTACTTTTTGGTAGATGCTGGCTACACTAATTGTGATGGGTTTCTTGCACCATATAGAGGGCATCGTTATCACTTGAAAGAATGGGGGGATCAAGTACCTGTAAGTGCTGAGGAGTACTTCAACATGAAACATTCTAAAGCTAGGAATGTAATTGAGAGAACTTTTGGTTTGTTGAAGGGAAGGTGGGCAATTCTTAGAAGCCCTTCTTTTTTTTCAACTCGCACACAAGGTCGCATTGTTACAGCATGTGCTTTATTACACAATCTAATTCGAAAGCACATGCCCACAAATTTTGAGGTTGATGAGTCATCAGATGAGAGTGAGAATGAGGATATTGGTGATAATGTTGAATACATTACTCAAGTTCAACCATCAAATGCTTGGATCGACTTTAGGAATAATTTAGCGCAAACTTTATTTAATGCTTGGAGAGCTAGGAAAAATAACGAAACATGTTTTTTTTTAATGAATAATGACTCTCTTTAGTCTTGTCCTTGTGTTTGGTGTTTTGTGAAACGATCTTTGTATTTTATGATTTTTTGTTTCTCATATGTGTTTTATGTTAATCAAGGGACATGATATTTTTATTTAACTTTTAATTGCTTTCATTATGTGATAAAATATTGCTTCCTACATATCATAAATAAAATATCTGGTTATGTATTCTTACTTAATTGATTAATTAGGATGGCTACAAATGGTCAAAGTTCTCAAAGTGGAAGAGGTAAGAATAAGCGCTTCTAGAAGAAAGAGGAGGAAGAGGCTTTGATTGATTGTTTGTTGGAGTTAAGTTGTGACCAACAATGGAAAGGAGAAGGAGGGTTTAGGAATGGATACTTGAATCAGTTGGAGCTTATGTTGAACACTAAGTTCCCTGGATGTGGTTTAAAAGCCATTCCTCACATTGAATCAAAGTTCAAATGGTTCAAAGATAAGTATGCAATAGTTTCTGAAATGATTAACAAGACATCCGGGTTTCAGTGGGATGAGGAAACTAGTACAATACAATGTGACAGACAAGCTTATGACGATTTTTGCAAGGTAACTAATTTCTTTATTTATTTTTTAAAATCTTGCATTTTACTTAATCTAATATAACATATAACTAATGTTTTTAGATTCGTCCTAAAGCTGGAGGATTATGGAAGACTCCTTTTCCTTACTTAGCAAGCTAGATGATATATTTGGTGTTGATAGAGCTAATGGGCTTGCGGCTGAGCTGCCTGAGGACTCTATCCATAACCTTGAAAAGGACGTTGTTCACCTTGATAATGATAGTGACAATGAAGAGTTATATGATACTCTTTCACCTGGTTTAGCTACAGATTATACTCAACCCCAACCTCCTCCTGCTAAGAGAATGAAAAAGGAAAAGACTCCAAAGACTAATGAGAAAAAAAGAGCTACTCGATTTGAAAATTTATCATCTATTGACAATATGGCAGTTGGATTCCCTGGTTATATGAAAGATATGAATAATCATCTTGCTACTATTGCGTCTGCCATGAGTACAACACAAGAGCGTGAACAAGAGATTGTTGAACAAAAGAGAAGGCTATTATCTGAGATTGGAGGTTTGCCTGGAATTACCCAAGCTGAAGTTATAAGAGCTGCTAGTTTATTTTCATCAAATCCTAGCCAAATGGAGATTTTCTATTCAAGTCCTAATGATGAATGGAAAAAGGAGGTGGTGCTTGACCTTTTGAGTCGTAATGCTTGAAATAATCTGCCTATTTTCATGACAATTTGCCAAATGTGATGGTTTATGAATTTGTTTTCTTTGAATAAATATGTTCACTTGGAATTTTAAACAGGGTTTTTGAGTGTTAGTTTTGATATTAAATAATTATCTCAAGTATTGTGATAATTTTGAATGTGTCTGTTTAAAATTTAACTATTGCGTTGTAGTTATTGTTCTTAGAGAATTGGCTTTGCTTGTTAATTAAAATAAAGATTTTTGAAAAAATAGAGTTGGTTCCTCATTCCAATAAATTTCTAACCAAACAACATGTAAGGGGATGAGATCTCATTCCATAATTGAACCAAACACATGGTATTAAGTATCAAGTTCTAACCCCATACCACTTTAACCCCATTCCTGATTCCAAACCCATACCACTTTGCGAACCAAACGCCCCCTTAAAATTCCAAGCTGAAAGAGATTTCTGGACATGAGTAAGTATTGCACATTTTTTTAAATTTTGGTTAAAGAGAGAAAATAGATGCATAAGCAGCCTACCCTAGTTGTTGGATAAATAATTAAATATAAGAAAAATAATTTTTTAATTTATATAACCATTTAAAATTAAAGTTAGTTGATGATAGGCCAAGTAAATTATAACGAAAAACAATCTTAAAATTTTTATATGTTCTTTTATTGTAGATACACAATATTGTAGGTTGGTTTGTTATTCAAAGGAACAATAAAATTATACTTATGTTCATTTACTTTCCAATAAGAAGTCATAACCTTGTAGGTTCAACTGTTCGAGTCTTGACTTGACCCTATTTTATTTTGAGGGGTGGAAGTCGATGAACGTTTAAAGTGTCACATACATACATATCATGTTAACGACTTAACGTTAATTTAAGTAGATATATAGATGATAGATCTATATGGAGAAGGCATTAATTTGTTCGCTATAGTTTTAGGAATATAGTATATGTATAGATTATTAATCCAATCCCTAACCGCGTTAATTAGTAAATGCTAATCTTCTTCTCAATCGGACAATGTTTGATGTCTTGATGAAACACATGCACTAGCTTAAGACTACTTAAGAAAGCTGAAATTTTATTTCTACACTTTTTAAAAATAAAATAAAATTACAAGGTCCCTCTTATTTAAGAGGCCGTCATTTTATTGCTAATAAAATTATTACGTATCAAAAAAGTACGTATAAATAAATTGTCATCAAGAAATTAAAAAATAAATAATTTAAACTACAAAATGTTGCACTCTATACATTAATGCACATTTATCATATCCTAGTTTATGTGTATGTTGTGTTAGCTAGCTAACTGTATGTTTTTGTAATTACATGAAATAATGGGTGCATGCAATGGCATGCAAATGATACAAGACCACTTAAAACTAGCTAGCAATGGGGGCCCTTGCCACCAGGGATGTACGAGCATGAAGAGCTTCCTGAGTGTGGCGACGCCCCTTTAGGCAGCAACTGGAAGAACAACGACGACATAACATCACTCTTCGCCAACCATTCCTCACCGCGAAAGTGTCTAATGGCAACCACATCATGAATATTTGCCACAAGAACACATAAAATTAAACTTATAACGAACAATGATCTCATGCTTAATTTCAAACCCATGATCGATATATAATATAAAAGAGTATGAGACGTGTTACTAATTTAAAGAGTTGTTAATAAACGTAAATAAAGCTTTTTGGTAAGAACTTAATCACTTCGTTAAAGCTTTTATGGTTGTTTGTTGTTGGATAGGCTACTTAGAAATAGATATGATGATATGAATGTGGTATGATTGTATATATATAGGTGTTAGTTCGTTTTAGTTAACGTGATCAGTGAACGAATTTAACGCTGTTTTAGTTGTGTGTATTATTCAACGTTATATTTCAAAGGACTTGGGCAAGAAGGATTCTTTGTTTGACTCAGTTATCGGTCAATCACTTTGAACTGGTAACTACTTCATCTCCAATTAATAATCAAATCTTTTACTAATGAAAATCCCTCTCCATAAACAAACACTGTTCAAATACAAATTTAATTTTTAATCAGTAAAATTTAGTAAACTTCAAAGAACAAATACAATAGAAAATATATAATCACTAAAAATAATTTCAGTTTAAAATAAAGTGAAAATTAAAGAACTTAGCCTAAAACTACTAGTAAAACGACAATAATTTTAGTTAATTATATAGAAAAACCAAATACGGATTAACTATTTATTATATACATAAATGGTCAATTATTATTTATTTTTTATGTTTTGATAAAAAAGTATATATATACTGCCAAGCCACGCACTTATGTAGGTAAATTTATTCTGATAAGTTAGGGTATAGTTTTGAGAAAAGATTATACATGGAATTAATTAAGGTTGTTTAACATTACATAAAAGCAGCGAGCTGAATTTTTGGTAGTTCTAATTGATATTTCATCACCTTTCAATAAGTCAGCATTCCCTAATAAAATTTAAAAATAAATAAATAAATAAATCCTGCAAGTCTAAAATACAAGAAAGTCAATTCATTCTACAAATATTAAGTATCTTTTTCCTTTTCCATTTTTTATTTATTTTTTTATTTTTTATTATTTGACATTGACATATCAAGTATCAACGTATAAAAGGTATGATTATAAAGTGGCCTAATGTCATTCTTTGATTGAGATGAATCGTATGACAAATTGACAGCTTTGCTTGGCAACTTATTTCAGCACTTTAGATATGATTGAAATAAATTATTTTGACGAGTACCTAATGTAAATAGAATTAGAGGTGTTGAAATGGACTTTTATGTTGCTAAATCAATATTGTTAATATTTTCTCAAAAAAAAAAAACAAATATTGTTAATAGCAATAAAAGTATTAGGATCATAACATTAGCGTGATCGATGTGTTTTAAAAAAAATATTAATGACATGTGATTGTTAGGATATATTTTGAATAAATTAAAGAATGTCATGATTATTGACGAATAATAATTGTAATATACTCCCTTCGTCCCTTATTTTTTGCCTCATTATTAATATATGGGTCAAACTTATAAAGCTTTGACCATGAAGTCTCACTAATTTATGAGTGATAATATATTAATGTGGGATATTGTTTGAATCGTTTCATTGCATATTTTAGTGATATCTATTTTTAATTTCTATGTATGTATAGAAATTGAGATAATTACATTTGAACACGTGTCTTAGAAACTGTAAAAGTCAAATGGGACAAAAAATAAAAGACATATGGTGGTACTTGGTATAAAAATTGGTTCCCTCAAATTTTGCATGACTTATTTGAAAAGGAAATATATATAATGTTGATGATGACTAATTATGTGCAAAATAATAATAAAATAGTTTAGTAATGAACGAAGGGAATAAAATGGTGTGTTGGTGAGTAGAATATTGCGTCCTTAGCTTTGACAATTGAAGCAAAGTCGTCGAAAGGCACTTTGCAAACTTCTAAGGTCGTTACATGCAGGCTTGAGCGTACACATCTTAAGTTTTGGGAGCAAACTAACCATATGGCTTAGTCAAGTCATAGATTAAGTGAAGACTCGGACTCCTACTCTTGGTTTTGTTATACGATTAATGCATTTACTCAGCAAAATAGATTGTGTTTGTCTAGGATTTACTACCATAACGGTGTATCCGTGTAAGTGTTTGGTAAATGATACGGAGTAATGAGATGTATGTATTTTTTCGTAATCTTGCCCAAATAGGCAAATATGTATTTATCTTGTAAGATTTTATTATTAACAACATAATATCACTCATATTTTTATTGAAGGAAATACGGAGTAATTTGACAGTTATTAATATTTTGCATGGTAATTATAATTGTCCGTGGAAGCTTAAACTGCTGATGGATGATGTTAAGAACATTTTGGAATTTTCTCGGCCTTCAAGTCCCAACATATCTATCGTAAGGAAAGGAAAACCAGACAACATATTATTTTGCTTCTCTAGGGTATTCAACTCCGAGGCACCAAAATATTAATCCTTTTATGAATAGCAAATTTTCTTATTTTCTATTTCTTGAAAGATTAGGGCACGGTCTTGCGAAAAGACGTTCCTAATCAAATCCTCGTATTTACTTCCAAAAACAAATAAGACTACATGTCAATTTGTGACTTGGTTGACCCTATTCCAAACCTGATTAATGAGAGAGAACTCAAACCCGACCCAAATGACTCAAAATTGACACTATTCAACCCAATTACCATATTTTGTAATTATTGAAGCCACTTGAATCAAACGACCTGAATCCGACCTGTTGATCCGAATTAACAAATCTACATGGTGCTTAACACTAGAAAAGAGAAGAAATAAGGTTGATCCAAAAAGCATAATGAAAGTGGAAAGGTGGAAGCAGCCCATAATATTGGGGGCTTCATTGGCCCATAATATGAGAATGAGTATAAATAGGGTTAGAAAGAGAATGGAAAAAGGATAGGATCAATGAATCATACTTCATAGGGTTGAAAGCAGTAGCCGCCAAGCATATTGTAAAACCCTAAAATAATGATCTATAAATACCTCATTCTGTCACAATCATTTCAATTTGGAGTAAAAACCAAACAAAGATCGATCCAAATTCATTTGTTTAGACAGAGAAACCACGGTTGAGTTTCTCAGGAATTCTGTCTCTCTTTCTTAACCGTGTTTCTCTGCCTAATCTGATGGACTCTGGATCTAATTCCACATATCCCTCAAATAAAAAAATTAAAAAAAAAATTAGACTATTTTTTTTTTTTTTTTTTTTTTTTTTTTGTGCAGAGGAAATTCAACTTTGGTTTTGAATAATTCAGAATATGTCCCTGAGATTGTTAATATGTTAGTATTTAATCTGATTCGTCCAAATATACTGTAATGGCCCATTTTGAATTAAAATTGAAATTAATTATCAGTTGCATAATTGTTAGTCTCAATTTTAATTTCTGGATGCTATGCTTCTCTGATTACGGAGTATTTCTTTTTCTGAAACCCTTAATTTTAAATTTTGATCCAATTCCAGTATTCCATTAGATACTTGGGACATATTTATCGAATTAATTAAGAAGCATTCTTTGGGAGGTATATTTTCACATATCTTCAAGATGAAAATTAATTTAATAAGGGTTAAAAGGTGTTAAAGGGTTTTTCCAATTTAGTTGTGACAAATAAAGTCCCTTAAGCATATTGTTCCATCAGACAATTCATCCTTAATTGCAGCCATATGATCATTAAGCACGGAGCAACCAGTATCAGTCTTTCTCATGAAATAACTCAGTCTAATTTGTTCGGGTGTGCACCGGTTTCTTTAATTATACCTTTTGAATAATGAGAAATGGAGTAGGTGACGTGGCACAAAAACGTTTTTAGTAACGCTTTTTAATAGATTGTATTATTGAGTTTATAAAAATTGTCGAAGATTATATTGTTTGGATTGAAATCAAATCTTCCATCTTTCCGTGCACCGTCTAAAGTGTCTATAGAACTACAGCCAATTCGATTATGAAATGCATCTACTGACTTTTAAAATTTGTTATAACATTTTATCCGGTGGAGTTGTTAAATATCTGTAGAGAAAAGAGGATAGGACAGAATATTCAGCAAGTCTTAGCTGGAGGAGGCATGGAGGATCACAACTCTCCTAAAAATAATTCAATAAATGGTCTGACTTTTATGGTAATCGAAATATCCTAAAATTAAAATCTGCTTGCTGGTGTGAATGTGTGGTGGACTGGTGGTGTAGTTGGGATAGGAAAAAGATCATCAACTTCATTATATTTCGTATTATTATGGTATCACCGTTGGGTTAGCACTTAGCAGGCTCGACGAAATCTATTTATAAGATTAATGATAAGGAAGACTATACATAGTATTAGATTAAAGATCTGTTTTAATACGATTATTTTCAGTTCAGCTCTAATAAGTTCAGTTCAACTCATTTCACTCAATGAAAACAAGCCCTAAAGCATTAAACCATTCTAATAAGGTTCCTTATAAAAAATTTCGTTATAGAATGTTGTTCATTGTATTTTCCCTTTTGAAAAAAAAAATTAAAACAATAAAAAAATTATCTATTTGCAAGACTCTTATTTCAGTAATCTGTGTTAGCTGTGGACCCTGTGGTATCTATTGTGAGTGTTTTGTGACTGCTTCTCTTCTTTTATCTTGTACAACTACATTTTCTTTTCTAATCTATCCACATTCCAAAGCTATGGACTTAAACTTTGATAGAAGTTGGGATTGATGAATTGATTGGTTATAACCTTCTCCTAGGATTCGCATTGGAAGGTAATTTTCAATATAATGTTGCCTTTTGGCATATTTGGAATAGGGGTGTCAACGGGGCGGGGCGGGGCGGATTTTGGCATTCCCATCCCCATCCCCGCCTCACATTTTCATCCCCATCCCCATCCCCATCCCCATGTCGGGTCTGAAAATAATCCCCGTCCCCGCCCCGGCGGGTCCAACTCTAAAACCACCCCCGCCCCATCCCCGTCCCCGCCCCATACCCGCCAAACCCCCACCCCATACCCGCCAAACCCCCGCCCCATCCCCGCCAATTCCCCGCCCCATACCCGCCAACTTAGTATTGAGAAAAGCAACTGTCTTTCAAGTTTCAAGTGTCAACTGAAACCCTGCAGACTTCATAGTAGACTAATGAAAAAGTAGCAGTGCATACAAATCCCATTAACTCAAATCCAACAAAAACCACTGCAAGATCAACCATTTTAAAAATAACCATTTTAAAAAAAAAAAACACTAACTCCAAATTGTCCAAAGTCCAAATATTAAAAATAACTACAAGTCTACAAATATTCAAATACATAACAAGAAATTCATTAGGCCTTGAATTATTCGGTGCAAAGTCCACTTGTTCCAGAATCGATATCACATGTTTCAAATCCTTCCTCTAATTCTCCCACTAATTTAGCATATTCATCATCCTTAAATTCTCCACAATCTGCAAATACAATGTGAATTAATTAAAATAAATAAATAAATAATATTATTAATTAAATAAAATTTTATTTTAGCTATTTACTTTTAGAAGCAGCCCATATCCAATTTTGAGTACACATCAAAGCTTCTACAGCTTCCGGTAAAAGCCGACTACGATAAGGATTAAGAACCCGACCACTTGTGCTAAATGCGGACTCTGATGCAACAGTAGAAACAGGAATGCTCAATATATCTCGTGCTATTTGCTGAAGAATGGGATATGTGCCTCCATTTGTCTTCCACCAGTTAAGAATATCAAAATCTTGGACTAGAGGCACATTAGCAGCATCTAAATACTTATCCAAATCTGATATATCATGACTTGAGTCCTTATCTTGTTGTAAAAATTCAGCAAATTCTTGCATAAAGGTCTCTTCATTGGATTTGCTACTACTACCCAAATCAAAATCTTGTTGGTTGCTACTACCTTGAGTTTTACCCATCTTAGACCCATATTCATCAACCAATCTTCGTAGAAGATCACTAATTCTACTAACCTCAATTTCAAAGTCATGCTCATCAAAAATTTTTGCAAAATAAAAGCGAATAAGAGCCATTTTGTATCTAGGATCTAGTATTGTTGCCACTCCCATTAAGCCATTCACACTAGCCCAATACTTGTTATATTTTTGTAACATAATGTCGGCCATTTTCCTTACATAATCATGAGGAGATAAAAGCCAACCAGAAATAGCAATTCTCAAAGCACAAATTTTAGGAAAATAAAGATTGGCCGTAGGGTAATTTGTTCCTGAAAAACTAAGGGTAGTTTTACTAAACACTTCCAAATGTTCACATATTTTCTCAACTTTTTCCCAATCTTCAGGGGTCGGTGGATTCTTATATAAATTATTACGAGCACTTAAAACAACAAACACTTCTTTATAACTAGTAGCAATAGAAAGCATTTCATAAGTAGAATTCCACCGGGTTTTGCAATCAAGTGCTAACTTTCTACTACACTCAGGAGTTATTTGCTTAGCCACTTGTTCAAACCTTTGTACTCTCTTATCAGAAGCAGTCCAAAACACAACACTATCCCTAATTCTTTGAACACCATTTGATACCACAGCACTTAAACCATCTTGAACAATCAAATTTAATATGTGAGCACAACAACGCATATGAAAAAAATCACCTCGCAATAAAAGTGAGCCATATGGAAACACTCCTTTCAAAATTTCCATCATTGCATCATTAGTTGAACAATTATCCACGGTTATAGAAGACAACCTAAGATCAAGATTCCATGATTGAATGCTTTCTTTCAAAGCATCAGCAAGAACCTCAGCAGTATGAGGGGCGGGGACATATAAAAACCTACCAAAACCAATGAAAATAACATATATTATTTGTCTATTCAATACTATTGTGGATATATGGGCTCATTATTATCATCCATCATCACAACTTATAATTCTTATGATTTTAAAATTCACACAAAAAACTATAGCAATACAAAGACAACCAAAAAAAAATAAACAAGTTATAAGTAACCAGAAAACAATACCTTATGATCCGACTTTGCAACTTCCATGTATTATCAATAAAATGTGAGGTGACCGCCATATAACCTTTTCTCTGGTTGTCAGCTGTCCACATGTCAGTAGTTAAGGCAATCTTACCCTTTGCTTTCCTCAACAAGGTTGCAACATTCTCCTTCTCAAGCTCATATCTTTTCATAATATCTTTTCTAGTTGTGTTGCGAGACGGCACTTTAAATCCAGGTTGGAGTGTCTTGCTATATTTTCTAAAACCAATATGCTCAACCATGCTAATTGGATACTCATGCAAAATAATCATCTCTGCCAAGTCTCTTCTTCCATCTTCTTGGTGGAATTCGTAAGGAGCCAATGTCATCGTGTCATTCTTATCATTCAAGTTTTTTTTTGTACCAAACATTCTTGTTTGTCGAAGATCTTGACATACTCTCTTTGGACATATTTTTATATGATCTTTCAAATGAGTAGTTCCTGCTTTTGACCCACCAGCAAGTAGCTTGGAGCAATGGTTGCACTCAGCTTTTATCACATCCCCAACTCTCTTTCTCTTAAAATCAGACCACACTGCCGAAGTATGCCTACTAGTAATTGGTAGGAGAGAAGGATCGGAATTAGTCTCTAGAGGACTTTCATCATCATCTATTGCAATTGGAGTATTACTAGCGGAAGTGGGAACACTAGCGTTATTTGACATCTCAGACAAATTCTCCCCTGTAAAAATTAAATAAAGACAATTAATGCACTAGACATATTGACTACAGTATTGAACACATTTGACATCTCAGAAACAGCAATAATAAATTAATAATAGCAAATTAGCAATGCACAGCAGCAAAGGCAGATCATGCTTCTAGCACAGCTATCGGAAGATATCATGTTGAAAGGCCTATCAATGCATAATGTCATACTGTAACTGCTATGTTAATATATTGTTGCTGCTGCATAACCAGTTAACCACCTATCACACTAAGTCACTAACCACTACATACAGGATACAACACAAATTTATAGCCACTGAGCCACATAGATACAAACACAAACGCTCACACACACCATGCATCATTCATAGGCTAATAGCCAGTCATTTTCAATTCAAATTTAGTAAAAAATCAGTATATATATTTTGAACTACAATACAATCAAAATTCATCCCCACTTAATTATATACAAAGTGTGTTAAGTTAGTGTGTACTACAGAGATTGATCTTAGTAAATGAATTAAATAAAAAAAAAAGTAACTAAATCTATAATGATCGAATAAGTGGTCAAATGACATAATCCGAATTTAGTTATCACACATAAGCTAAAATAATAAACATAAACTTATAAGTCTGAAATTAATGAGAAAAACTAATTACAATCTATACATATTTCGACTTTATTATATCTATTTTGTGAAATTAAATATAAAAAAACAAGTAATGAAAATTCTAGATTAAAACCCTAATAAACTAAAAAATTTGGAGGTCATCATATTCATACATTATCATACAAAAAATAACAGTAATCAACACGAAAAAATTTGATTTTTTCTTTCCTAATAGTTTCACTAGAACAATTTCTGGGAAACGGGGCAAAGGGTAACCACTCACTCACCGTCTCTTAAACGAATAATTCACCACCAACAATCAGTGTTCTAGCAAATTAATCACCTCCATATAGATCAAAGCAAACCACTAATTAAAACCCAAAAAGGGCTACAAATCCTAATTCATGCAGTCTTTAAACAGCATTAAACCATTAATCATTCTTATCTTTGTACATTATTCAGTCAAAATCATATTTTCCAGGACCAATTAATGACTCTTTTAGCTAAATTGAAAACTAATGAAAAGTACTCATTCTGAATACTTTTTCTGATCAAAATTTGACCAGCACATACGAATTGAAACAAGAAACTCAGCTTACAATCACAACAACACCACACAAATGCAACAATTAGGAGTGTTTCAAGAATGAACCAAACCAAATTACAAATTAAAGTCACACCGAACAGAAATCAACGGCAACAAATGTTCTAATTTATAGCAAAGTACTAATGTAAAATTGTTAGAATGGTAATTTAAGGAGGTGTATATGAGCAATATGGCAATTGAAAAAAAAAAAGTTCAATAATTGCATTAGATTGAAAGTATCATACAAATATAACACGAAACCCTAGCTCAATCAAATGAAATATTGAAAACCGCAATCGAACAAATCATAAATAAAAGACGAATCACATACTTTCAATCGAAAACCCAATTAAGAAATTCTTAATTGAACATATTGAATTAAGAAAACTCAAAGATAATAATGCGAAAACGTTTACCTAAATTGAATGAGTTGCAGCCTTGCAAGATCGAGGTTGAAGAAGAAGGATCGAAGAGATTTGATTGCAGACGAGGACCACGAGGTTGAAGAAGAAGGATCGAAGAGAGGGGTTTGAGGCTTGAGGAAGAGATTCAGCGCTTGAGACTGTGAGAGGAGAGAGTGAGGCAGTGAGGCTAGGGTTTTTGTTTTGAGAATGAGTGAATGACTGAATGAGGGTGGGTATTGGGTAAGAGAGTGAGGCAGTGAGGCTAGTCGGGTCTTATGCGGGTATGGGGTGGGTATAAAGCGGGTATGGGTCGGGTATGGAGTGGGTCAGGCGGGGCGGGGCGGGTACGGGGTGGGTCAGGCGGGGCAGGGCGGGGCGGGTATGGGGCGGGTCTGGGCGGGGCGGGTATTACATAACAACCATCCCCGCCCCATCACCCATGGCGGGTATGGATTTTAGACCCATCCCCGCCCCGCGACCCGCCAAAGCTAGACCCATCCCCGCCCCATCGGGGCGGGGATGGGGCGGGTCTCCTACTAGACCCGCCCCAGTGACATCCCTAATTTGGAAATTGAGAAATGATTGTTTTTTTAGATGAAAACGTATCATACATCCTGATTCATTATTTAACAGGTTAAGGACCTGTTCTGATTTACTAAATTGAATTGAATTGATTAGAGGTGAACTGGGTTGAATTGAATAGAGTTAAAATGAATTGTTTATAAAAGAAGGAAATTAGGAATTAAAATAAAACGAGAACAGGCCCTAAATTTATTTTTGCAGGGGTAAGGGAAAGAGGTTGCCTCTACTTAGATTAGGAGAGTTTGAGTTGGGCCGTTGGGGTGGAGAAGAACGTGCAATGCTATTGTTGGCTCATCAACTTGCAAGCTATGGAATTGGCCATAAGACACATATTCTAATGAATAGAGCTTTAAAGGAGTGCTACATCATAAGCTTACATAATTTTTGTATAGGAATAGATCGCATTGTCAATGATTAAAGTGACTATAATGGTCCACTCAAGGATAGACATGTGAATTTGAGAAATATAGTAAGTATCATTTATGAGAAAGTTAGAAATGTACAAGTCCAACAAGGGGGTCACTTTCTAAGGGTACTTGATTGTTTTCTACTACATTATCTACTAATCTACTTACATACTTCTATTTAGCCCACCAAAAAAAAATTAATTTTTTTTAAAATAAAAATATCAAACAGACCGCTTCTTGTAGAGAGGCGGTCTCTTTGATGCTGCTAACAGACTGACGTAGGTTTCCTTTTATAAAAATATCAAAGAGACCAACTATTAAGGTAAGTGGTCTCTTTGATGCTGCTATTGCATTTCCATTTTGGAGTTGCTCTCTTTCTTCATTAAAGAGACCGGTTATACTTAATAACAGGTCTCTTAAGTTATCTCATTTTTTTACTTAACAATTATTAATAATTTTTTCTTCTATTTATAATTTTATATCCTATATTTGTACAACCAATTTTAATATTTTTCCACAAATCTAAGTAAAAAATCATAAATTTAATGTAATAGTTTTATATTACTATTTGTTTGTAACATGTTATTTGTAATATTTTCAACTTGTAAGATTGAATTTTTAAGTAGTACGGAGTATTTGGTTGTATTATGGATTTTTGTGTCCTATTTTAGATTGAAATCGATTTGGTGAAATATAATTTTTTTATATATAATTTTTGGATTGAAATTAATTATGAACAAGATTTGGAAAAATTATTTGTACTTTAACAAGTAATCAATAATTGATAGTGACTCACCAAGTCGGAAATCCTGGATCCGCCACTGTACCACCTCCCCTTAAGGTTCACATTCTATACCACAAATGAAATATAAAAGCAGGGTCGTCTTAAACATTTTCGGATCCCTGTTCTAATCTTAAAAATAAGGCCCTTATTTAAAAAAAAAATTACAATTATAATAATGAAAAAATAAACTCATCTTTTTTTCAGCTTTTTATTTTTTAATTACTCTGTCAAGGAACATATTAATTTGGCAATCCAATCATTCAATTAAAAATTTTTGAAAATGAAAACATTTTACATTTGTGCTTGAACTTTACGGGAATTGCAATACATTGATGGGGTAATTAAGTTCTAGAAATCTGGTAAAATTGTGTTTATTTAGCTCTAATTCGCGTGTGTACAATAAGTTAGTGGAAATAGAATTTTATATTTTTTTAACAATTGGGCTCCAAAAATGTTGAGCCCTCAATATTAGGGGGCCCTGTGCTAAGGGTTTGTTTGCACAAGCCCTTAGCCGACCTTGGATAAAAGTCATTCAAGCATATAAACCAAACAACTTTAAATTATTATGCGATGTGATTAATATACCATATCTTTCTAATATGAGATTCCATACCAATCCATTTCAAAACATATATTTGAGAAGTTTAAAAATATCAATACAAAGGTCTGACTTAATGAATTGAACATAGCCTTAATCTCTTTTCTTCATTATATCACTTTCCTTACGTAATAAATATTAGATAAGATGTTAATAATAAACTTTTTTTTTTTTGAAAGAATGTTAATAATAAACTAATAACGAAGATAGTAAATATCTTCAACATCTACTTGTCATATTTGCTTACTCTAAATTTTATATACTACATCCGTTTGATATTATTTGAAACGATTAGACACTTTTCCTCTCTATTTTATGTCAAATTGTTGCAAATAATATAAAACGGAGGTAGTATATATATACATTAAAAAAAAAGTATCAATAGATAAATTTGTATTTGCAAGCAAATTAGCCAAACTATAAGGTTTGTATAACCGACCAATTATACTCTAATCCCTCGTTGTTGGTGAGTGGTGACATAGGTGTATTATAAAAATTCATGCACGTAAACTAAGCAATTTTAAAAAATGAAAAAAGCTACGATTATGATAGAAAACAAAAATCTAAAGCAAACAAAATAATGGAGTAGTTAACATTTTTGACAAAGAAAGGAGAACCAACTTTAGATCCAAATAATATTAATGAAACAAGTGGCCTCGAAGAAGAAACAAGTAGGCTAACTAATCTACTTGTATATTCCATCTATTCTACTTTATTTACATCCCAACACTATCATTCAACTACTCTCTAAAATTGACCTTAATTAATTCGGGTCGGGCCAATTCATTTAAAAATAAACCATAACTTAATTGATTGATTAAACTATAATAAATAATTATTAAAAATACGAATATTATCTAGTTTTACAAATAAATGGATGAGATAATAATTGAGCCGCGGACCACCGTTTAGTGGCTTCTTTTTGTAGGCAACAACCAACAAAGCTCCTAAACTCCTCCGACCCACGACCCTCGGGTAAGCTGGGCGGGTCCCCGAAACAAATCGCACACATTAAAGTAGCCCAATCGGGTCTTTCACCGGGTAACAAAAATGGAAAATAACCCAAATACAATTCCATTAAAGTTAGGCCCAAACTCCAAATATCACCCGCGTATCCATTATAATTCCCACCGTAGGTATCGGGATCAAACCTCTCGGGACTCATATAAGCACACGTGCCGACGTATGAGTTACAAGGATCCAGCGTCCTACCCATGATCCTCCCCACACCAAAGTCAGAAATCTTGACTTCCCAATTAGAATTTACTAGAAGATTCGAGGGTTTAATATCTCTGTGAACTATCTTATGTGAGTGAAGGTACTTTAAACCATTCAATATTTGTGTTGCCACGTTGGCAAGCAATGGTTCAGAAAAAGTGCCTTGGTTTTTAAGAGTATGATCAAGTGTACCACCATCCATGTACTCCATTAGTATTGCCAAGTCTCCATCTAATTTTTCAAAAACTCGATGGCATCGAACGATGTAGGGAGAATCCGACGAGATCATACGTCGGAGGATTTCCTTCTCGCGGCTGAGCTGACGGAGGTGAGTTGGGTTTGGGTCAGAGGAGACTAGCTTTAGAGCATAAACGGTACCGTTTTGCTTGTGAGCTACTTTGTAGACAGTTCCGCCGTTTCCACTACCAAGAACAGATAGTTTGGTGAAATCAGAGAGTGAAATTGATTGAACAGAAGAGTTTGTTGAGACGGTTGTTGCGGTGGTTGTTGCGGCGGTGGTGGTGGAGTGAGAAGGTGGTGGGAGTGGTAAAGGGAAAGATGGGCGGCGTTGGGAGTTTTCAGGGAGAGGGAGACGGAGGTTGAGTTGTCTACGCTCTCTAACTAATGCCATTTTTTTTAGAAGGAAAAGGAAGTGTTGATGAGAAATAAAAGAGGGGTTATATATAGTAAAATAAAATTAATAACATTTGAGATAATTTAATCAAAGCACGTGCATTTAATTTAATACATTTTGGATTTAAAGGAGAAGTAGGGAGGAAATAGAGTTTGGATTTGATAGGGATTTTGGAAGGATATGATCAATCATGTACAAGTGTATAACTATAATGTTGGTAGCACCTATATTTTATTAATTAATCAACCTTTAATTAAGAATCGTCTTGGGTAACAAGACTTAGGGCCTGTTCTCTTCCGTTGAAATTCAGTTCAGTTCAGTTCAGCTCAACTCCTGATTTCCTTCTCTTATAAAATATTCATTTCAGTTCAGTTCAGCTTAGTTGAGTTCAGTTCAGTTCAGCTAAGTTCAGTCAATGAGAACGAGCCCTTACTCCAATCTTAAATAAATAATATATAGCTCAAGATTATTTAAGTTACACAAGATGATAGGTTAATAAATTAACACATACACCTAAAATATCATAAATTAAAGGGATTTACAAGTATGTACACTTTATTTATTGGGTTATTAAGACACAATTTATATAATGGGCAATTATGTATATTCATGTGGGATATTGTTGTTAGTTTCGTCTTAATTTTATATTTTTAGAGTTTCAAATTTTTTTTGTATATTATTTATTTATCTATAATTACATATATGAAGGGTTGAGAGAGCGGAGAATAGCTCAAATGGTTAGAACTTCTCTGTTCTCTTCCGATTTCAGGAAAATAATGTATTAGTTAATCAATTAACTGATATACAATATACATACGAGTAGATCTTCAATTAAGAGTTGCCTAAAGTGATCTATTAACCGATATACCATATACGATTTGATGTTTAATTAAGAGTTGCCTAGAGTGATCTATTAACCGATATACATACATATACGAGTAGATGTTTAATTAAGAGTTGCCTAGAGTGATTTATTAATCGATACCATATACGAGCAGATGTTTAATTTAGTTGCTTCAAAAAAAAATTATTATTATTTTTATTTAGGTTGATATACCAAAGATTATTGTAGCTATACAAGTTGATAGGATAAACTATTATTTGACATAAACTACCTAAACATTATCGTAATTATTACACAACGTATGATAACTTTCTTGTGTTAGTTGTTACCGCTTATAAGTTTTAACAAATAAATCTAACAATTCCACTACAAATTACAACAATATTACTATTGACCTATCTCAATATTACTTCCACAGTTCCACTTCAAATCCTTGGTGCTTAATTACTAGCTGATTAATGTGTTAATTGTCCAAATTAAAGTGTTAATTGTCCAAGGAGGATTCACTAGAGCGGTCCTACTTAAATTTGGTTGTGACGTTTATTTAAAGATTAATAATAGCCAGGTTCATGTAATGGAACCTCAATTTCTACACAGCTTCTCACTAGTGGAGTGACTGTGACAATGAGATAACGACACAAGAGGCGGCAACCAATGTAATTCATGTTATTATGGGAAATTTATTATTTTTATTTTATAGTTGTATACTTGTACTATGCAATTTAATAATGATAGTTTTTTGGTTACTTTGTATTTACTTAATGGATATAAGTACAATAATTCATCATTTTCATAAAGGAGACAAATTAATAAAATCAACACTCCTCCCACTTTAGCAATATTAAGTTTTGACAAACAAATATTATATCGTTTGAATTTCATATTAGTGATGAAACACTCACACACACACACATTATTTCTTCTATTATTTCACTTAAATGATTACTCAGTATTGTCCAACTTATTACAAAAAAAAAAACAATGGTACTTTTTTTTTAATATTTTATTTATAGAAAAATACTATGGAGTATCATAATTCATAAGCAATCATGTATAATGTCTTTAAAATTTAATCAATAAGAAAATCTTGCGTAGACTTAATGTTTATACACACGTAACTGGCATTATATTCAACAAAATGGCTCCTAATTTTAATATAGTAACCTTATTTCTTTACATAGTAACCTTTTTTTAAAAGTTATGTGACCTTTAATGTCATTATGAACTTAAAGTACGGCATTATATTGAATTGTGATCTAATTTTAACATACTGGTGACCATTATATTAAAAATTTCATTAAAAAAATTAACCTATTGTAGCTTTTAATGTCACACTAATTTAACCTTTATATTAATATAGTGACTTTTTTTTATTACTTCCCCCATTTCATATGAAAATTTTAAGGTACAGTCGCCTATACCTAGCAAGGTACAGGCAAAAAACGCGAAAAGAACATGTAGCAGTTTTTAAAGAACATAAAGTTGTTTTGTAAAGAACATATAACTGTTTTGTAAAGAACATCCAATTTTATTTTTTTATACATCTAAAGAACATCCCTAATATTTATAAGGAACATGAAAAACATGATTTATGTATATTCACCATAATTTAAAAAAAAAAAAATCATAGAACATTTCACAATAAGTAATTAACATTATATCACAAAATAAAAGTACATTACACTGACAATTAAAGAACATGAACATATGTTCTTTTCACTCTTTTTTAATATAAATATGTTCTTTTTACTTTAGATATGTGTTCATTACTTTTTAATAGTATGTTCTTTTCATTACAACAGTATGTTCTTTACATGTGTGTAATATGTTCTTTTCGCGAAACGACTGTACGATGCAAGGTACCAACGCCTGTAGGAACCACACATTGCATTTCATAATGTTAGTCGCATATGAAATCAATCATACTGAAATACTATCTGAAAATTGGTAGTGCCAAAGAATAGCTCAACCATTAATTTCAAAGGGGTTTTAAACAAAGAATTATGTTGTTTTCTTATATATGAGGTGTTACAATAATGCGACTTTTTTTGATGGTCGGAGAAACAAGTCTTTCTAATATTTAACTTCAAGAACATTATATTTAGTACATGATGTATATATAGGACAAGTTTTTTATAATCTGAACATAAAACAAATAAATCAAGTAAATAATATGACAATACACCGTCATATTTTTTTTAGTTAGCATTCAAACTAGTGCAAGTTTTTATATGTATATATACATTTAAAGTCAAGTAATTATAAGATTAATTTTTATCATTGACCTAAAATAATGAATAATTAGCTAAAATAAGGTGACTTAGGCCTCGTTCTCTTCACCTTATTTTGCTGAACTGAAATTATTTTTACTGAATTACTTTTTTTTTTTTTTCCTGAAGTTAAGAACTTAAATTAATTTTACTAAAATGAAATTATTTTTGCTGATTTTTTAATTATAATTCTTCTTTTAGAAAATTGAACTTATTTTTACTGAATTGAAATTATTTTTACTGAACTGAACTTATTTTTACTGAACTAAAATTTACTTATTATTATTTTTAATATTATTTTAAGGTGACATTAACGATTGCACACTTGCACTTTGGCTGTGACAAAAAAACCAGGCTGGTTTAGATAAGTATAAGTTTTAATCGGGTTGGTTAAAATGGGCCCCTTTGATTTGGCAAGTGGTGATGAGTAGAGTTAGTGGGATCAAAAGCGATTGATCGATAAATATATGTCATACTTTGGATCTTCGAAACATCATGATATAAATAAAAAGTTCCATTATATTAATCTTTGAATTGTATTAATTAAGATAATTATCTTGCTAGTTTTGGTAGGATGATGGTTCTTTTAACTTTATTTGGGCACGTAAGCAATTTTGGAACATCATCATTTACATCAATGCGCGCAAGGAAGGTGATTAGGAAGGAGTGAGTCACTAACTAAGCATTTATGTATGTGAATGTTATTTCATGGAAACGTCTATCCCTTTTTTACTTTTGAAGAAAAGTCTGCTTATTACTCCGCCCACTTGTTCATGCACTCCTGTCGTTTTAACTGCGCAATCATCGTTTCATAATCATTAAAAATAAATACTACCTCCCTTAATATTTACTTGCAACTTTAGGGTATTATTTGAGAGATATAAAATATTCCAAAGTTGTAAATAAATGTTAACGGATGTAGTAATTAGATATTTCTGTCTTTAGTTACGTCACTTTTGTTTTCGTGAACTCTTAGACAATTTTTAGAGTAGAAAGTGGTAATTGGTAGAAAGAATGAAGGGTGGCCCTTGCGACATGAAAGAAATAGAGAGAATTTATTAGGAGTACTTAAAAAGGAAAGCGATGCAACTAGTTTAAAACTTCCTTTTTAAAAAAGTAACGCAACTATCAAAATGGAGGAAGTAATTAGATGTTACTATCTTTAGAGGTTTTTTAGTGTCCAACAACACCATACCACCACCCGACACACCAAAACACTCACCAAGTAACTTTTGATCAGTTGAGTAATGATCGAGGGCTCGTAGTCACATCGTGTGGCCCATAACATGAAAATTTGTGTTGTATTTTAGTGCAACAATTATACGAGTAATGTATTATTATATCTGCCATCTTTTAGTTTTGAAGAAAAATATCAAACATGAGATTTCTTGCAAATTGACTTCTATCAAACTATCAAAGTGGTTGAACCTTTGAAAAAAGAGTCCAATTTCATCACACCCCCAAAAAACAATGCACTCTGGAGCTGCGGGGAATCGAACCCCGTGCCTCTCGCATGCGAAGCGAGCGCTCTACCATATGAGCTACAACCCCAGAATTGTTAGTTGCTTAATATTTCTAATCTTACTTAATCCTATTAATGTTGTGGAATGCAGACTTCCATAAACAGTATTTAGAAGAAGTTGTTATGCTAGAAAGTTCTCTTTAGTCTCTACAATCCTTGATCCTTTCCTAGAATTCCTTTGATAACAGAAAAAGAAGGAACCCAGTAGAATCTATACACTTGATTAAAGATTCATGCCTTTGATTATGATTTTGGACTGGTAAGTTGGACAACATTACAAACGTTTTTTCAGTGTTCCAACAACCACTAACCCTCTAAAACACATACCGCCTTCTATATTTTGCTCTTTTCTAAGGAATTCTGATGTTATTAGGATTGATGGGAGTAGCTTATATTACTGAGCTTG